CATATTTGAACTACTGGGTAATAACTGACAGGTATGGATGGTATTTATTGTTTACATATAGTGTATATTTATTATCACATGCTCTTTTAGCATTAGTCTATTGTATAATTGCATGTATCATTTGAAATTACATATATTCCCATCTGTCCAGGGAGCTTGGGTTGTTCCAAAATACATGCATGCATTTGCACTGAGTCAGATGTTTCTTTCAGAACCCATTTCAAAATAAATGATGCATTCATCTGTGTAATTTCTTCTCTAGATGCCGATGGAAAGGTGGCTGTCAAGTTTGGAGTTCTTTTTGCTGATGATAGATGTGCAAATCTGTTTGAGGCTCTCGTTGGAACCCTAAGAGCAGCTAAGAGAAAGAAGATCGTCACCTATGAAGGAGAGCTTCTATTACAAGGCGTGCATGATAATGTTGATATAGTTTTACTCTAATTATATTGATAAAGGAGTGTCATAAGTTTATTCAATATAGTTTGCATATTCTGAGGAAATGTATCATGCTGTCTTGGTGTGCTAGTTCTTTTAGTGTCTCATTTTTAACAATAATGATAAATCATCATTCCAGTCAATTTATACCGCTCAATTACTCTCGAGAATAGTTTCTATGAAGGCAAAACATATATGATACCCATTAAAAGCCACAAATTGTTTCAGTTTCATGTTTAATTTTTCCCACATTAATAGTCAGACTTCCTTATCGCAGTGAGTATTAAAGGCCTCTAACTAAAGACATTAATTAGTTTCAGTCTTTGGTTTTACTGATTGAACATTGTTACCATGTACTTATTTATCAAAACTCCTATTGTTAGGCTAAGTCTAATATTTTTTTATAATTTCATGTTAAAGCGATACCAAATAATGATATTAATAGTCACATTTAAATCCAGCACTTAATAGTACATGTATGTTTCTAAGAGCTTTACATTGTAATTATTGTTGCAAATGCAAACTTGTTGTAGAACCAGTTTTTTAGTGCATGTTTAGAAATTCTTGAATATTATGATCTGCAGAGTTCCCTCTGTAAGATGAAGTGACTATTATGAAAAATAGTACTAAATATTGATTTGTGTAGATATGAGACTCTGGTAATCTCTATGTAAATCATTATATGTAGATGATATTGAATGATTCAATCACTTGCTTTTATAGATACCAACTCTAGAACATATATTGTTTAAAGATTGTGAACCTTGAATGATTAAGTAAGATAATCCAAGTATTAATTTCATACATTGAATCTTCTCATATTGACTCAGGTCATACATTACATAGAAGTATAACTCATGTTTTTTTTTTTTTTGGTCATCTTCATACTATGAAGTCTGTGACGGTTTTTAAACACCCTTACTGATGTTTTTGGAATGTATGTGTCATACATAAACATGCCATTGCCATATAGGGTGCACATGTATGCATTTTCTAGACTTCAATTCTAAATTTTATAGAAAGCATTGTGTGTATAAATCTTTTGTTTGGGTTATACAAAATTGTATTAACAACAGATGTGAATATTTTTATTTTTTCATTTTTGTGTTATAGGTTATTCTTTGGTGTTATTCATTGAAATTTTCTGCATCATTTTATGGCAATGTCTTGAAATAAGAGCCTCCCAAAATGCTGTGACCACATTCCTCTGATTTTATATTTAGCAAGATATTTGTATCAATTTACTGAACACCTGTTAAACATCTTTTGAAAACAAATCAATATCGTTTCTTGCCAGAAAAGTCTTGTTCAGACACACCACAGCAAACTTTCCAAAAATTGTCTCAATAAAAATAACAATACCAGCACTGTGACAAAATAAATCAAAGTGTTGTGCATGTCATAAATCTATCATGTACAGATTAGAGAGTACTCAATTTTCAGGACACAACAGTAATGGTCACTAATGGACATGCAAAATAGTTTAAATTTTGCCTCTGCAATTTTAAAGCGGTTTACTGTGGCATGTCTTTACAAAAGTGAAGTTGTATTCCTTTGGTATTCCTGTCAAATCTATACATATTGGATTTTAAGTAAGGTGCTGTTAGAAGTATCATTTTGTCTCAGGGTGATAGAATATATCATCAACACTGTAACACTCTAATTTATGGACTTTACTTTGAAATGAATTTACATTTGAGAATTGTTAAAAATATATTTCAATTTCAATTATATGTAGTCTGCTTTTGTAGTATTTCCAGCTTTACATTATTTAACAAGTGTGTGACAGAGGTTCTTGTAAAAGATATATCAATACTAAACGCAGATTCATGTATGCGTTCATAGAATATAGGCAGGGATTTATGAAAGGAAAAATAGCAATACATTTTCACTGTTTATTTCAAGTGTGAATAAAAATGACCTGTCATGGAAAACTGAAGATTTCATTTTTTTGTATTGTTAAGTTAAATGAGTCATTTAGTTCAATTTAATCAATAAAATTATTACCTTTCACAAATGTTTTCCCTTTATCTACATACAATGTATCTAGGTGTGTGTGTGTGTTTCTTATTCTTCTCTCTTTATCTCTCCCTCTCTCTCTCTCTATCCCTCCCTCCCTCCCTCCCTCTTTTTCCTCTCTTGGTCTGCCCGACTAAATTGTAAAACACAACTTACTCAGTACAAAGACAACATGTTGTGGGTTTTGAGAGCTTGAATTCCTTACTGTAAGTTTTATTGCTCGTTTGTCACCTATTGCATTTTTTAATTCCAATTTCATTGGGCAGACATCATGCAAGTCCTGTTTGATTCTAAGATCATTTAATTCCCATTATTACCAGAGTATCATTTTACATAGAGTTGATGTGCTTCAGGCTCTCAGCAGGCATTACACACATCGACAACACCAAAGGCAGAGCAACTTGATTTCTTCATAATTTATTATAATTATTCCACACTTGCATGATAAGAGTACGTCAAAACAATCAATATGGCTTGTTCAGATATGCCACAGGAACTCACCGTGGTTGAATGTGTGAACGATTGCCACCTGCGCAACAAACATCATACATATATTTACTGAGATGTGAAGCATATAACGGTTGCATCATTAACAAAAATGGCCATGGTTTACCACAGGCCCACAGCATATCTAAACAGCTTTACTAATAAGGCTTCAAAGGAAAGGAAAACATTAATATGTACACAGGGATAAAGATTTTAATCTCAAATTTAACACTTCCTGGTGAAGTCTGACTTCCTTACTATTGCAATAAGTTTTGTCTGTTGTGCATATTTTACACTCTGCTTTGTGCGATAGAAATAGTTCATGAACGATATTTACAAATTCTTGTTGCCCTATAATAACATTCAGGGTTATGATCAATCTTTTAAAACAAGCAAACTCTGACTTGTTTTCTAGCCAAGTCCACACAATACTGATCGTGAATTTATAAACAGAAGTTCTTTTGATAACATATCAATGTTTTAAAATTCCCTCCCCATCCATCCTAACTTAAATAATCAAACAGTGATAGCTTAATGCCATTTTGACATAAAGAAATATATATACAATCAATGAAACCCCTGATTTATAATCATAACACATTTATGAGTGTCACAAGATTAATTCCCCTAAATCACTTCCAGTGAATTCTCCCTCTCCCTCCTGTCAATCTTAATGACATTTATTCTGAAGAAGAAATATGAATATGTTTTAGAATAAATGGCAAACATAAAGAAGAATCAGAGTACATGTAATACTATTTTGCTGACAATATGAATAGTTCTCATTAAACAAGGTGAAATCTGCATGAAGTTCAATTGAAATCTGCACTAACAATTATGCATCAGTATGTATGCCTGTAAAATTATGAAAACGAACATCCACAACAAATTGAAAAAAATAGAAGGAAACATTTTATTTGTCAGTGGGTCTACACTATAGTGTAGCATACCTACAAGCCATCATTCAATGTGCAATTTACTACAGCACAGATACCTCCTAAGGGCTGGCTCAGAAACCGTAATTTCACGTACCAAGAGCCATCCCACAAAACGGCTCATTCATACATATGATTTCTTGATCGTTTACAGTCACATCACCATAATTGACAAGATTCACATGTATTAAAAGTTATAGGCGCCACTTCCCCTAGTCCAAAACCTGTGGGACAAACAAACTTCGGAGACGGGGAAGTTCCCTCAAATCAGGAGTTAATTACTAAATACACTGTATACTGCTATGTCAGACAAATCTTGGCAATGGTTGAAACTTGTACCCACTATCATACAGGTATACAAAATTGTCATTACATTTGAGAATGGGTCTAATGGTTGTACATAATCATTAGACATGGATTCTTATGGTTAGGTCCAATAAATGTCTCTATAAAACCATTTCATGCTCAAACAAAAATGAAAATACAGAAATATGTAAAAACAATCCTTGATTAATGAGGAATTAAAACCTTCCCAATAACAATAAAAAGTACAGGGAAGTAGTGTAGGACTCACATTTCGTTGTTTTAGTAACTATGGATGTGACCTCTTGAACCATTCCTCTGGTTTGAAAGATATTATCATTCATTCATAGTACATACAATACACTTACATAACATGATAGATTTCAGAATTGTTAATTTACTCCTGACAAGAACTGTTTCGGGTAAGCAATATCATTTGCTGTGATTTATCAGGGTCAACTAAAAGAGTTGCTATTATTTTTAAAGTCACATTGGCAGAAAACTCCAGGAGACTTGCTTGCTGAAATTTAAATTTCTTAGTCAAAGGTAATACAAAGTTTTGGGAAATTTTGAAAATTGGGTGGATAGTGAATCTTTACAATTTTGATATATTTGGATGCCCCTGTGGATGTATTATAAGCACTAAAAAAAATTAATCCCGAAAACACTTCTGTTTTTGAGAAAAATTTAATATCAAAATTTACCGGTGCTCCTGGTAAATTATGATAAATTTCAAATAGCGCCTATGGCCGTATAATGTTAGCTGCGACCATGAAAATCTCAGAATATGTAGTTTGGATATATAATATCCAAATGGGAATAGCTAATCGGTCCATTTTAGTCAAGAAACATTGTTTCATAGCTAAATTAATATCTTGACCTTGAGAGGGAGCTATACAACATAAATAGTTTATAATTTATAATTTCATAACTTTAGACTCGATTTCAACTGCGACAAATGCTTCCAATATGTTAATTTGAACCAAATTCAAGACCCCATACCAAAACTTTGTAATACCTTTAAGTAGAAAAGAGAAAATTTGTTTATTGCAAAGTTTCCAATGTGAATACACAGCTTCGAAATTATGAGAAGTACTGTTACATCTCGTGACTGGCACTACAATCACTCAATACATTTTGAGCATGCAAATTGGATACAGAATAGGTGGGAAAAGATGCTTCACCTGAAGTTGCATCATTACCAGATTTTACAAGAACATGTATTTAGATGCAACTGAGATCAGATTTACGTAGTTAAGACTGATATTAAATTGTTGGAGCTTTAATACAACGTTTTAGGATAGAGACACCAGTATCATCCTCTAAAGTGGGACTCTGATTTTATAGAATACATGATTACTCAAAAAAGGTTACAGAATGTCCCTTTATAATTATTTCTGATTAATTAAATAGATGTCACAAAGGTATGAACATCAGATCTGCATTTTCTCAAAAATGAGTTTTAAATGCAATTCTTCATAAATACAAGTTAAGTACTATGTATAATACTTTAGACTCGCCATACCCTTGCAACATTCTCAAAATATCCTCCAGGTTAAGTCACAGCTCATGAGATTATACTTAACAATATGCTCTTTTATATTTATAGAGAGGACTTGATTTTAATCTAATTATCTAATTTACAATCATGGAAATATGACAGAAAGCATAAATTAATCAAACAATTACTAGACAATGTATGAAAACGTATACAAGAATGTCAATACACCTTTATCAAACAGGGATAATTGTAAAAAAGTGCCACTAGATGAATTGCACTAAACATGTTTCACAACCACCCAGAGAGAGCTCAGGGATACAAACATGAAACTTACGAGCTGTGACTTAGTGAAATTAACCTGGAGGAAACTACGAAGATCAGCTGACCCTAAGCTCCATAGCCCATTCAGGAGGCCTGCTATTATAGGCAACACCAGTACAACTGTTTACTGTGGAAGTATTGGATGGTGAGATGGTCGGCTCTACTGGCTTGCTTGCTCCTAAAGAGAAGACATTGGAGAAATGGATCAAGTTTTTTAAATTGTTTTCAATTTGCTCACTGTATCAGAAACCTTTTTCAAAAATATTGAATCACAAGTTCCTCATGCTAGGTTTACATTATGTTCTGTTTGGCCGAAAGGTAGTAGGATTTTGGCCATTTTTTCTCTGTATTCATCTTTTGTTTTGCCAATTTTTTTTATTACGTACTATCATGTTTTGTTGCGTTCATCGCATTTTACCACAGCCTACTAGGTTTCTTGTCCACACCGTGACTCATGGAACAACAAGTTATTTTCAACACTGTTGATTATCTTGAGAATCCTACCTGCATCTTCATCTCCAGCAAGCTCTGATGTATGTTCTATGAATGGTAATGATACATCATCACTGAAGGGAGACTCCAATAGCTTTAACACTCTGTGTACCTGGAATCAAGAGGAAATGTTTGTCGTTTATTATGAATTTCATTTCTAAATCTAGCATTTCATTGAAATAATTTCATGCTTTTAGTATGACATTTACTGTGATTAACATAATACACGGTTGAGAGTACAGCCTTTAAGATTCAGGTTTAGTATCACATCATATATCACAATAATGTAGCTTATATTAATCGCCTGCATTAACAACTTTATTTGAACACAAGATACAATCAATGATACTGGTAACAAAACTGGTAAAGTGCAATTACAATCAATCAAACCATTCACTGGACAATATAAGTTTTTTTTTGGAAGAGATAATGAGATACAGCGTCTAGTGCGTGAGATTGCACAGGACTTCAAGACAGGATCATCATGAACAGCTTCGTCAACGACATCTTCGAGCGAATTGCCGGCGAATCTTCCCGCCTCGCTCAGTACAACAAAGTACAACAAAGGTGGCTTCTATTGGTAAATCAATAATGATAAATCAAAAATCGATTTTAGCAACTGTCCACCAAAAAGGTATATCATGAAGGAGGAAGGAGGAAGACGTGTCTTAACCATTTCAGGGCCAAAGGAAGTTTTAATAGCCTATATTTCAATATTGTATCTGTTAGTAATTTTCTTTTTGGGGGAAATCATACTTTTTCATCCACAGGGATTTTATTGCTTCTCAAATCAGCATGAAATATGTAATTGAACATCAATTGGTAATATTCTGAAGCAAATTTTGGGCCAATCTTTCTCACTGAAGTTCAAAACGAGTAAATGAATAATATAATTCATCATCATTAAGTGATGGCTACAGTGAAGGTGGAGTTCACTCTGCAATGCCACAATGTTCTCTTTCCATCAGAACATTAGGGATACCTTCTATTTCAAGATTAGGATTAGATTCAATGAGGTCCAGGAAGTTGTGGGTGTAGCAGCCTAAGAACACTATTTCGCGGCACTAATGTCCTTTGGCAAGACATTGTCCTACATTTGCCACACTCCACCCAGGTGAAGTAAATGGGTAGCGGTAGGAAGGAATTCCTTGAATGCTGTGAGCACCGAAATTGGTAGCCTAGCAGAGCCGGGGTAATATTGGAGCGCTTTGACCACCTTGCAGGGTGGATATGTGCGGTACATAAATATCCAATATTATTATTATTATTATTATTCCTACAATAGACCTACCTCTGAGAAGTCTCCATTCTCAGCTTCCTTGATAGCGTTCTCTGCTATGTAGTTACGTAAGATGAACTTAGGGTTGGTAGCATTCATGACTTCAACTCTCCTTTGATTGAGTTCCTCCAGACTTGTTTCTGTGTCCTCTGTCTCCTTCATAAGCCTGGTCTTATATTCCTCTAACCACTTAGACCAGATGACTGAATCATCACTTCTCTTCTGCTCTGCTGTCATGCTCTATGAGAAATGAATGTGAATGAGGAGAATCTACAGTGATCTGACATATGCTGTGGATACATTTGCTCCAAACTTCAATATGTCAGAAATGATAGGGTAAGAGATAGGAGTGTGATCGAGATTAAGGTTAGGTTTAGGCATTATAATAGGAAGCTAGGAACTTCAGTCTCATCTCCTCCTATCTCTAACCCTAACCCAACACTCTTGCTTATACTCATGCTTTCTACACATTACTACCCTTTACTACTTACAATAAGTTCTTTGGCCTTTTCTAACTTGGCCATCTCTTTCATGAGGGTTGCACTGTCACCAAATAGTTGCTCCAGTAAGGATGGATTGCTCTGCGTAATCATCATCAGCATCTGCAGTTGACTGAAACATACAAAAAAACAAGATAATATGATGATGAAAGCTGATTACACACTGACTGTGATATGCTGTGTCAGAAGCTAACTCCTTGACTTTTTATGCTATTAATTGAACTGTAGTGCAATACTACAAAAGAAAAATCCCCTCTAACTAGCTCTCATCATTCTGTACCGTGTAACCGCTTTAAATATAAAGACCAGTTATGGTCATGCGATTGCATTGTGAAAGAAACGTTGTGGAATCGATCAGAAAAGGTTGATCATCTAGCATATAAGTATTGGTGTGTCGGCAAGGTTCTGGAGTCATCAAAATGATAAGAAATTTCGCCCAGTCTTGGTAAAGTTACAAGCACTGTACACAGAAAAATGTATATGGGACTACGCGACACGTGCGCGACACGTGCGTTATATCTATCAGGTCCAAATAGATATAATATTTTACCAAATATATCAATTAGTAGGCGGTTTCTCTGCAAAATTTGTATCATTACCTATTAGTCAAACCATATTCTTTCACATGATTGGTAATAAAAGCCTTTTTGAGAGAGGGCGTTTCCAAAACTGGTCTTTACCTTTAATATATGCAGTGTGTTTGCATTCTTAGATGATGTCTATGAGAACAAGAAGGGTGCTGTCTTTAAGTTATATATTGAGTTAACACAGTTCTGGCTTTGAGCAGACAATGTATTGTGTCCTCACATAATAATTATGACATATTTATACAATGATAGGAAAATGACATGAGGTCACATCGCTACACATACACATCTTTTCTACATATCTGCAACCATGACCAAGGTTTTATAATCAGATTCACAAAATCTTTAAACTGGCCAAAATGACAATCTGTCAGTAAAGACCACATTTATTTTTTTACCCCATTGTGTTTCAAATTGAAACCTGTAGATAATGAACTGATAAAGTCTACACTTTGTCTCATTTGAGCTTTCTTTGTACAGGTCTACTCTCCAAAGTTTACCTAATTATTAATTAAATTTACTACCTATATATAACTTTCAATTATTCATTACCTAGGATTAATACGAGGTGAATTAGCTTTCCTGAGTTCTTCCACACTACAGCATTGTGAGAGCAGGTACTCCTGTAACTTGCTACACTCTTCTTCAAAGCCTGGTGAGCCAGGCAGAGGGAGTGTACTCAGTGAACGGAAGACATTGGTGAAATCTGCTCTGGTTGCCTGCATGGCCTTGTGTAATGAGTCTATGAGGGCCCTGGAATAAATGAATATCATTCATTAAATAACTTTCATCTTCTGCAGAACTGATTAAATGTGTGCAAATAAATACAGTCATCATCTTTGTTTAGGTTTGAAGGTGGTATGGCAACAGTTGGAGATGTTTCCAATTGGTAGTGTGTGAGTGTAATTGCATATTTACAGATGCATCAATCAGATCTGATGCCAGTGCATTCATATCTCTGTGACATTGTACAAGCTGCCCAGAGTGCTGACCATTATACCAACTCAAATCTGCTATGGTACTTACACCCTAAACTTTACACATTACACAATGTCATAGTCAATGAAGTTTGTGCCAAAGCTATATAACTTTATACAGACAGATAGTTTTTTTTTTCTCCAGTTCCTGTATATACTTCTCTTTAACACCACAGGTATACATTTTTGTTATCAACTTTGTAAAGGGTACATACATGACATTCAACATATACATTACACTATACACTTTGCAACATGGATCTCCTGCAAATTGTTAGTGATGATTGTATTTGCAGTGTAACACTTTAGCAAATTGCAACCTTCATGTTGTGCTCCAATCATTTTGCTGCATAAACTATCCTGAATCTTTAAAGCCCAGTAATACCCCGTAAATAATTACAGCCACCCCACTTGCAAAATCCATTTGAGTTTCTGGCTTTAGAATATCTCGAAGTGTGACTATATCTACCTGTCTTCTGGAAGATTGTTCTGAAGCAAACCTAGCTTCTTCCTCATCTTTGTAATGTAATGCTCTTCAAACGTCTCATCAAAGAGCTCTAACTCTGCTTTGGACTGCTCTTCTGGGAGGCACATTGATAGGGCTTCCGCAAACTTGCCCAAGTTCCATCGACACATCTCAGCCTGACGGGTAAACGTGTAGCGCCCCCTATCATCTGAAAAATAAAATGAGACATTCATCTTATTGCTTAAAGCAGGTATGAATGACATGTTGCCTAAAATAGATTTTTAAATTATTAAAAAAAAAAATTATAGTTCATTCACGTTCTTTTTAACATTTTATACTAAAGATTAATTTCCGACAATTCTATCATTTTTCACAGATTATGATGCATCAGTAGCATGTATTAGAGTTAGCATTCTGGGTAGCATTAGGTTTATAATTATGGTCAGGGATAGAGTTAGGTTTAGGGTCAGGGATAGAGTTAGGTTTATGGTCAGGGATAGAGTTAGGTTTAGGGTCAGGGATAGAGTTAGGTTTATGGTCAGGGATAGAGTTAGATTTAGGGTCAGGGATAGAGTTAGGTTTAGGGTCAGGGATAGAGTTAGGTTTAGGGTCAGGGATAGAGTTAGGTTTAGGGTCAGGGATAGAGAGTTAGGTTTAGGGTCAGGGATAGAGTTAGGTTTAGGGTCAGGGATAGAGTTAGGTTTATGGTCAGGGATAGAGTTAGGTTTATGGTCAGGGATAGAGTTGGGTTTAGGGTCAGGGATAGAGTTAGGTTTATGGTGAGGGATAGAGTTAGGTTTAGGGTCAGGGATAGAGTTAGGTTTATGGTCAGGGATAGAGTTAGGTTTAGGGTCAGTGATAGAGTTGGGTTTAGGGTCAGTGTAAGACCCTAGAGTAAAGATTAGCAGCAGCAGGCAGCAGCCAGACCTAAGACCCAAAAGATTACTCACCAGTTGTATTGCATATGTGATCAGGATCATAGCCATCTAAGAAACCATAAGGACCATAGTCAATAGTGATACCCAAGATACTCATGTTGTCTGTATTCAGCACCCTGAGAGGAAAAAAATAAATAGAACAGTAAGAAGTGCGGAAAAGTAGAAGAACAGAACAGCACGAAGATAATGAATGACAAGAAAATTAATGAAATAATGGGTGAAATGGAAACAAAATTAGGAGAGGGTAAAGAAGGTAAAGGATCAACAACAATATATATATATATATTATTACAATCATTATAATACACTCAATTTACAATATTAGATATCATTAAAGATTATGTCTATGTAATGACTTGCCTAACTTTGTATTTAATGTTACAGAAGGAAAAGCGTTAGCTGAATTGTTTTAAAGGTTTACAGCAGTCATTGAAGCAAACGTGTTTCTTTTCTCTTTTTTATAAATTCATGATGTAGTATTTTTCAAATTCCTGCGATTGACTATCAGTCATTAATGGCAACTGAGGCAGCTATCACTGAAAAGAAAATCAAGAAAAATAAACAATTCTCACCCGTGACAAAATCCAACACATTGCCATTCAGCGACCATCTTAGCTGTTGATTTGACCACCTCTCGATAGAAAGCTAGATTCCTCTGGACCAGGTCCTCACAATGATCCTCATAGATCTAATGAAAGATAGACACATATTTTCAGAGTAAGTTATTCGAATGTACATGGTTTAATGACTCTTGGGTGATAGATTGAATGTGATTTTGCCTTGTGGAAGGTTAGGAAGTCTTAGAAAGGATTTATATACTCTTAACTCTTAAGCTGCCACCCATACAATACACCCAGTGCCACAGTGCTAATCCCTATTGTGCCCGCTACTAATCTCCTGTGTGCCAAGTTAATTTAGGGTTGGTTCAAGTGCGTGTAGTTTAAATTGTTACTATGTTTGATCCACTATAACATCTCATCTGTATATTGTATAAAAAAGAATTGTACGTTAAAGTTGTAGGAAATTTAACCCTCTTTCTGTTGATACCAATATCATTTCATGAATCTGTAATTTTGGTAAAGTAAATAAGCACTATCAGTGAGTTGTCAAACCAATCCGTTGTCTCATTTCCCGCACACAATCTGAGGGGCCATGATCAAAACTGACAAATTTGATGATAAAATATCGCAATTTTCTCAGGAAAATCCAATGTAACGGTATATGTGAAGCACACAAAATCAAAACAACAATAAACCCCCTCCACAAATACAGTAAGCATTCATGCGTGCACGCAATGCGCATCGCACAATAGGCATAAACAATTAGCTTGTGTACTTATGCACGAAAATGTGTCCGTGGCACGCGAGCGGATGAGAGTTTATGTGTGCATGGCATGTCAACAGAAACCCGGTTATGTGTGCGTGGCACGCCAGCGCATGCACAGAACAGTGTTCTTGGCACGATAAGAGTTAAAAGGTATTTCTGAACTATTAAATGAAGATATGGAAACTTATTAATTTCTATATTATTCAGGTGTGTCCTATTAAACAGAACTTTGATTATCCAGTACATTAAACCATTTTCAATTTCTAAACATACTTTATAAAGACTACCCTAATCATCTCAAAATCGCTGTAGTGTCTATTTGATTTCGCAAAATGTGATCCAAATTGTCATTCTTGTGTGTCAATAGAATATAGTGATATATCTATGGACTTTTAACCTGGAAACTCTTCACACCACTTCTCAATGAAAAAAAACCCTCATGGGTACAAAGTTAGAAAATTTAGGTTGAAAGGTTTCATACGTACAACAATAACAGTAACGTCATTTGATTTAAATTTTCTTCATGTTGAGTGTGAATTTCTACTATACTTTGATAAAAAAGATAATAATAAGGGGATTTGCCTTTGGATAGAATGACTGAATGGAATAATCAAGCATCTTTTCCAAGATATCCTTTCGTCCCACACTAGGACCCTTCCTGCCGGTCGTCCCATCAGCAGGCTTGAAGATTTCAAAGGAACCAAACCTGATAGAAAAATAGACAAGAAAGAACAAGAAAAAATAGGTTATTAAAATGAAGCAGGCTGTCAACCAATTTATTTTGTGTCAAAAGAGTATGAATGGTTCTGTCAGTAAATATTATTTGAGAGCTCAAGATTACATATTTACTGATAAATTGTAATAACGTAACTTGTCAAAGCAATTTTTTCATTTCTTGAATGTAAATTATGAAATTCAATGTTGCTTGTAAAACATTATTATGACATAATATGTAAAAAGTCCACAAACCTTAGAAATGTTGGTGCAATGCGGAGTACAATGGTTACCCTCTCCTGGATAGGGTTACCGCTATAGAAAATATCCCGCACGACCTTAGTGTCAGAGGTCACACAGCTCCCAGCTAATGAAGCAAAATGAAGAAGAAAAAATGAATATTATAGTATATGCGATTATAAGAGGTTTGATTCCATACCAACAGAATGAATGGCTTATCTGTGTGTGTGTGGGGGGGGGGGGAGGGGGTGGGGAGGGGAGTATAGCTTGACTGTATAAAATCAACCTTAAAAAAAAAATTCACCTGGCATTCTATAGGTAAATGATTAAGGAGTACTATGAAGGAAATAAATGAACACATAAAAACACAGAACCAAGATCTGAGTGGATCTGTGCATGCCTTGCAAGCCGTTTAACTGTTTACTGCGAATATATTTAAACTGCAATATCAATTTTTAGAAGTAAGAATCAAAGCTTATATCTTGAATGCAATAGCAAAAAAGTGTTTGTGTGATTAGTACACTCAAAGTAAGTAGCTGCAATATGACAGAGGGCGAAGATTAATTTCAATTTGTTCAAAGCAAGCTGGCAATAGCAGCTCCATGAAACACTTACAGCTACATCTTCAGGAATCATATCAGATTTTCAATCTAAATTTTTGTTGATTATTATTTTTCCCTCACTGATGTATCCAAACTTCCAAAGCATAAGAAATGTACATATACAGGCAATATTCAAATGTTGATAACATTTTCTTTTCTGAACAGGGGAACACGGGGTGGGGTTGGGGGGGGGGGGGAGGGGTGATTGTGAAACCAAAGTTGTCACATCATGTTTATCTATTCAAGTTTTTATATCCAGGCGGTCTTTGTACAAATTTGTATGAAACCCGAAATAGTTTTATTTAGTGTATGGAGTTAGGGGGAAAAGCAATCATTATTTGTATTCATTATTTTGCCAGTAGCCTGGCAAAACAACTGGATGGTTGCTATACAAGACTCTTGAGAGCAGCACTAAATGTCAACTGGAGTGACCATATGACCAATATTGAACTGTATAGGGACATTACACCGATCTCAGCCAGACTGAGAGACCGTCGCCTCCGTTTCAGTGGGAACTGCTGGAGGAGCAAGGGTGAAATCATTTCACAAATGCTCTTCTGGGAGCCCTCAAGGGGCAAACGCACCAGAGGGCACCCAGCAATGACTTACATTGACCAGTTAGAAAAAGACACCTGTCTACCAAGACAAGAGCTCCCAAAGATCATGGAGAATAGAACTGAATGGAAAAAGCTTTTCATATCAGTGCGAGTATGCTCGACCTAGTAGTAGTATTATTTATTTCTTTAATGTATAATGATTAATACATAATACTGTTACAAATGCAAAGGAAGTCTAATATACTACTTTAGTAACCTCCCCCCTCAAAATGCCCTATTACCAGGCATGTTATGTTTACCTCTTGTTGTTGGTACACCCAGATGATGCATGGCTTCACTACAGAGGAACTCTCGGATGGTTGACCTCAGGACCTTCCTACCATCAGCAGTCCGAGAGTACGGGGTCAGACCGGAACCTTTGAACTGGATCTCCCATCTCTCACCAGCTTGGTTTACAACCTCTCCTAAAGATCTGTTGTAAAGCAATAAAAAAGGGGAGAGGCTGTATGTTATGGAGAATTGTTTGGTAATCAAAAGTCTGTTTATTGACTATATGATATAAGTGGAAGGATTGTCATAAGAAGTCCCTCTATCATGTAGTCTATCTACTTTATGTTGCTTTGAGACTTTATTTTGATTGTTTTGAATCCGAATCAAATCAATGACCGTAAGTTGCTTCTCAAAACCTTTCCATACAATGATACATGCATACAATGTATACCGGTATGTACATTTATTATCTGATGTTCTCTCATGGCCTGGTTTTTCATAATACAGGCAGGACCACTGTAATCAATAAATGAAATGTTACTAAAAGTGTACATGTAGTGTACAATGAATTATTAAGCTTCACTGTTCCTTATTGGCATCATGATTGTTTCCCAGTCCACCTGCACACCCCAGTATAGTACGACAATACTCGGTAAAGAGGAATGTACTCAAATGGAAGAAGAAGAAGAAGTCATAATCCATTAAATACTTCTAAAGTAGGATTCAAATAGAATACAAACTAACATGGCAGCACCATCTCCTAGCTGGCCAGCAAAGTTCCCAAACTGATGACCACAGTAGCAGTGTGCTGCAGGATCACTTCCTGGTAGGGGCTTGCTTCCTGAGAAATATGCAGGGAAGTCCTCCCTCTTCAGCTCCTCTTCTGACAAGTCCAGTAGCTTCATTGCAGGAACAGAGTATGCTACTGTCTTGGGGTTGGCCACAGGGGTTGGTTTCACACGAGAAAAGCAGGCTCCAGGCACCTGACGAGCATAATTCTCAGTTTCTGGATCAATCGGCAAAGTCCTCAACACACGGTTGTCAAAGTTCAGTTTGTCGATTCGAGCCATCTTGTGAGGAGACTTGCTGAAGCTGCGGCTATCTGAAAATCGATGATGACCCCGCTGAACAGCGAGGAGGGATCTACTTGCTATGTTACCTATTATGACGTTTCAGGATCTAAAAATTGATGCGAATACAAGAGAAAAAAATCAAAATGATGTAAAAAGTACCACATAATGGAAAACAAATTGGGCTGTGCCTCAAGGTTGGATCTAGATAATTACCACTCACCAAATTTGTTCTAGACTTAATCGCTATTATTGTAAAGTAAGTATCGAATTGGTAACACGAACTTGCAACAGCAGCTATTTTTGGGATGTCAGCATATATAAATCAGGCGTGGATCCAGGATTTTCCAATAGGGGGGGGGGGGGCCGGAAATTTGAAAATCGTGCAGACCGTTTTTTCAAGGTCATATTAAAAGCACTATAGGCCCTACCGGTAAATATTTTGACATTTTCATCTGGGGGGGGGGGGGGGGTATAGCCTCTCGCCCGAAAAAGTAATTATCTGGTTTCACAATTCGGCTAGTGAGCGAAGCGAGTGATCAACAATTTGGGCATAATATGTATTTTGTAAAAGTGTTATTTATCACCAAAATAAATGAGAAAAGATATCAAAAACTCATATTCGGGCAGCCTGCTGTCCTCCCCCCCCCCCCATTACGAGCGAAGCGCGGAAGCTTTGACCTTTAATTAATTATTAGAGAGAGAAGACGATTTGTTGTACCATTCTCGACTCGTATTCCTTGCCAAAATCAGTTGCGCGGAAGCTTTGACCTTTTATTGTTTAATGAAATTATTAGAGAAAGAAGATGATTTGTTGTTCCATTCTCGACTCTTAATCCATCTCTAAGTTCAATTTTCCCCCTTCCGCGCAAAGCGCAGAAGCTTAATGTTTCATTGAATTCTTAGAGAAAGAAGACTATTCGTTGTACCATTCTTGACTCTTAATCATTGCCTATATTCAGTTTCCTCCCGCCCGCGTGAAGCACAGAAGCTTTGCCCTTTCATTAATAATTAGAGAAAGAAGATTTGTTGTACCATTCTTGACTGAATTTTGAATTCAGCCCCCCCCCCCTCCCGCACGAAGCACGGAAGCTTTGGCCTTTCATAGTTTAATGAAATTATTAGAGAAAGAAGATGATTTGTTGTTCCATTCTCAACTCTTAATCCTTGTCAGTTTCCCCCTCCTGCGCTTTGCCCGGAAGCTTAACGTTTCATTAATTATTAGAGAAAGAAGATGATTTGTTGTACTGTCATCGACTCTTTATCCTTGTCTGACTTGAGTTTCCCCACCCCCCCCCCCCCCGCCGCGCAAAGCGCGTAAGCTTTGACTTTACATTAAATTATTAGAGAAAGAAGACGATTCGTTGTGCCGTTCTCGACTCTTAATCCTTGTCTGAATTGACTTCCCACTCCCCCCCCCCCACCTCCTGCGCGAAGCGCGGAAGCTTTGACGTTTCATTAAATTATAAGGTAAAGGAGACAATTTTTTGTACCATTCTCGACTCTTAATCCTTGTCAGAAATCAGTTTTCCCCTGCCCGCGCGTAGCGCGTAAGCTTTGACGGTTCATTAAATTATTAGAGGAAGAAGACAAATCGTTTTACCATTCTCGTCTATTAAAGAGAAGGTTGAGTTCTGGGAAGAGGGGAAAAATAATTTGTGAGCATTACTCATTCTATTTATGCAAGTGTGGAAGAACATCAGTAAAGACATGTTCCCTGAAAAGCATGGCTCTTCAAATGCCTTCATATTCTAAATATGCATGTAACATCGTAAAAATCGGGGGCCGGCTTTTTACGCCACGTGTTCGTGTAGTCCCATATACATCTTTCTGTGCAAGTGTTTGTAACTTTACCAAGATTTGGCCACATTTCTTATCATTTTGATGATTCCAGAACCTTGCAATACTCACAAATTCTTGTATGCTAGATGATCAACCTTTTCTGGTCGGTTCCACACCGTTTCTTTCACAATGCAATCGCATGTCCAGAACTCAACTTCATCTTTAGTCCTTGTTTGAATTCAGTTTCCCCCCTCCCGAGCGATGCGCGGAAGCTTTGCGATTCATTAAATTATTAGAGAAAGAAGACGATTCGTTGTACCGTTCTCGACTTGTCAGAATTTTCAAAAATGTTTCTTTGTCTGCTCCTTTTTTGTCCTATGTCCTCTTACTGCCCCTACCGCCCCTGACTACGCGCCTGTTTTAAAGGGAAAATGAAACAATCATGATTGTGATAGCACACAATTAGGTTAGTAGAAAATTAATGAAAGGGAAAAAAGATCTATTACACCAACCATGGATAAATCACGGCCGGGAGCGTCATAGTTTTGTGTTTTCTGGCGAGGGCCGGGGCGTAGCAACCAAGCGAGATTTTGCAATGTTGAATGCTGAAATTACGCATTCTAGAAAATCCCCAAGCCCAATATGCAGGTTCTTCCTAGCTATATTTCTAAATTTCCTGGTGAACATGTCCCCCTATCGGCCCCAGGATTGCCGCCCTTGTCCATGATTACTACCAAAATGAGTTCAAATACAAGCACAAGCGAGTTGGTATGAGCTGAATCCAAATTAAGGCAAAAAAAGAGTTGTGAAGCGGCCCTACCGTTAATTTAAAATTTGACTGTTGAGTATATAACTTCTATTTAAAAGACATCCAAAATATTGTGCCCTTTTCAAATTTCTCACTAAGGAGTGATGACCCCAGGGGCTGTTCTTAACGCTTAACTTTGAATCCGCGGCTCGAGGTTTTATTTGAAACCCAAATTTCCAGATTAGTTTTCCCTTACTCGTCGTTACTGTCACTTAGCGCCATTTCCTTGTCTTTCCCCCTTTCTCACCCAACTTTTCTTTTCCCACCCTCCCCCCCTCCCCACCCACCCACCCACCCACTCAGTGTTATCTAGGGTATGCACATGTATGTTCCCTCTCTTTGAAAGCACCCCTCTATCTCCGGTGTGTAAAGTCATTAAGGGCCGGATTTTTGTGTATTACGGGCCGGATTTTGTTGCGTGAAAAGTAACTCTTTATCGGAAATTTTGGGAACACAAATTCGGTCCCTCCGACCCCAGAGTGGGAGGGAGGGGGGGGGGGGGGGGGGGGGTTTCTTCCTTATCTTTTCTCTTCTCTTTTCTTTTTTCCTTTCTCTTTTCCTTTTTTTCTCCTCTTCTCCTTTCTTTTTTTCTCTTCTTTTCTTCCTCTTTTTTTTCTTCCTGTTTTTTGCGCCACCAATAGGGGGGGCCGCGGCCGTTTCGGCCCCCCCTGGATCCGCCACTGTAAATCGCATGTTATTGTTACTATTAGTGTTCTGGTGTTAGCTCATTATCATCAGAAACAAACAGAAGGTAAGCAAATCGCTATCGGTCCATTATCAAAATGCTTTGAAATTTGTACGAGTAGAAAGATGAGTCGACGTCCATGCATTTTAGGTTTTGTTTACAATTACATCACTCTTCACTATCTGGCCGTCAAGATCAACGTGGTTCTTGAGGCCCGAGGGCGAGGCGCGAGGCCGAGCTGATCTGAGGCAGTTTGTTCATCGTTCATATCTCTTTTGCCTTAGCTAAATTAAGTATATCCAAGTGTTCTTACCCTCTTTATCAATACATATCTACCATTGATGTTGAATATTTGGGCCCAGGCCTGGATCAAAGCAGTCTCAGCTCACTTTACGTCGTCACACAAACAAAGGTCGGACTCGAGCTATCATGCTTTCATAATTATTTTTCCAGGCTTACGTTGTAGTCTTTACACAGGCTACAGATTAATTATTTAAAAATATATATATGTTAGTTTGATCAAATCAACGATTAATAAGTCATTCAATATTATTTTCAATCTATATAAAATTAACAAAATACTATATTCATTTTTATAAACATTATATTTCTTTAAAAATTAATTACCGCGTTTCTTAATTCGAATTGCTTTTTCTTAAAAGACTACAGTTAGGTACTTTCCCCAACTACGTAATCGAACAGTTATGGCTGCACACTGGTGTATTACATGTTGTGCATGAGTGTAACGTGTATAATTGTACATGTAGTGAGTGTATCATGCTTTGTGTACGTATCGCGAGATATGCATTGGTCGATCTGCTGCAACTCGAAGCGAGAGATGCCTGCCAAGCTAAGTCTAAAACGATGTAGGTCGAAAGTGTAATTGATTATCTTTACCTTAGCTTTACCGCAAATACTGGAAGAATTAGCTGATTCAGCAGTCGAGCTTCCAGATCTATCTTGTACTGTGGTCAGTTTAATTATTCTCATTAGTTTTACCTGATATAAGTCAGGGGAGCTGGAGGCAGTGCCAGAGGCCGAGGCCAAGGCCAAGAGGCAAAAGGGGCAACCGTCAAGAGGTATAGCCAGATCTTGACTGCACAATGTCCCAGGAGTAAAGAAATCAATACAAGTATCAAGTATTGAGCTGAGAGACATCATAGCACTGTTCTTTCCCGCAATCAAATTCTTATTAATTGGTGAAATTAAGGTACGTTCCCTTTTCTTAATACCTTTTTTGTTTGATTGTGACCAGTGCCAGTACAGTACGTACACTCAGTCTCAGCTCAGAGGAATGTCAGAAATTCAGATAATACAGTGGAGTGATTATTATGTGTTGACCTCCTTTTGTTTTCACTAAAATAAGGATACCGGAAAGTGCCTGTTTAACTACTGGTACTGCCCATGTTTGCTTCCCATTCCACCTCGGCACATTACACTACAGTCTACACTTACAACATGATCTGACACAGGTAATACATTCAACTCAGTAAGACACAGACTCAGAGACTGGGGATTTTTGCATCACTCATTGTATCTGCTGCTAGCGACAAGAGGTCCGCTAAAAAAAAAAAAAATTGTGAATTAAAGGGCCTCCTAGAAAATACCTGACACACCCCCAGCTCACACATAGGAGCATCACTATCCTGGCTGTGTATTAAAAGCTGTGCTTTTGATTCTCAACATTTCAAACACCACTGTACAAAACTCAACTGATTTCACTCAAAATCGGTACTTTTGTGACGATTGATGACACCTCAATAGCAGTAAAATACATTTTTTTTAACTTACTGATGTTAAAAAGAATAATTTAAAAATTCAAATTGTAAGTCTAGTGTCAAACTTTGCTTACAGCTGCATCGACATGATTGTGTACAGTCTATGCGATTTTGTGTGGTGTGTATATTTGTGTATGGGCATAATAATATCTTCCTTACAGCAAGCATGCAGTGCTAGAGGTCAATACGCGATAGCATTGACTCTCTATGCTTTGCTGGAGTGCCCCAGCTCCGGTCTGCGCCGCACCTATTATTCTGTTATTTACTGCTGATGGAAAGCCATGCCGTACATGTACTGTAAATCTGTTCAGTAGTATGCATGCGTGTGCGCGTGCCGTAATTTGAGTCACATTACGTACCGTTTTCATAATTGTACCTAAAACTTATGGATGATAAAATGTTACAGATCGAATCTCTGAAAAGTAGGCATGTCATGGTTTGGGGTAAACATGATTCTTGGTCATTTTGGGTTGGGGGTAAGGTACAAGGATGATCTGATAATATCCATGCAAATTATTTTCACACATGTGCCCCCCCCCCCCCCCTCCCCCAGCACTCAAAGGGAGGCTCTAATTCCTGTAGCCAGGACATTGTTTCACGAAATGAGTTCACCAAAGTTCCATTGAAACGTGTGTTAAGTAAAATACACATGTTTCAATGGGATGTCGGTGAACTTGTACTTCTGATGGTTCATGAAAAGCTGCCCAGGTAGATAATCGCATCTGATGGTTGTGCAAATGACGTTTTGTTAATCATAGTTATTGATTGGAACATTAGATTTTAAAAAAAGGTACCAAGAAATCTTGACATTCGTCAGATACTGATAAATACTATTAAAAGAGGACATAATCTGTTCAGAGCCAGTAAAGCGTCATCTCAAATATTTTAACAAAGAGCTGCAGCCCTTATGGCTCTCAACAATAATTGGTCCTCCAAATGTCTTATCTTACAGTATTTTTCATTTTTTTCAGGACGATCACGGCTGCGATGGACAAAATACTTACTGTTTTAACACGGGGAAGGCTCTTCCTCACTGTCACCTTGGCGATGATATGTATTCTGGGAGATTTTCTACTGACGTGTGCCACCATCATATCATCTAACTTGCGTAGAGCTCTCATAGACAATGGAACCCATGGCCTAGTTGGTCTCCTATCCTGGGCAGTGGTCGTCAACCCAACCTTATTACCCCTTGGAACATTAGTGAGGGAACCCTTTCTTTGGGAAATTCTTCTCTGTGGTGTCTTATCTTCCTTGGTAGATCTTGATCATTTTGCAGCAGCTGGAACTGTTAAATTACAGGTGGGACTGTAACTTGAAATTAGATTTTGATAAATGCATGACTGATCTACAGGTTTAGACACTTTAGGAATGGGGGCTTAGACTATTTTTTCAATCACAATTTAAAAAAAACTGCTTTGGTAACATAACCTGATTGTACATAGAGCTGTTTGCTAGATACATTTGTTTTTATTGAATCATATTTGCCTGTATGTAATCAATTTGGAGTTTGGTTGATAACCATTGCAAACCACTTAAGTGAAAGGTAAAAACAATAACCCAAATTATATTAAAAGAATGTAAGTACTCAGCTTTTTTTCCTCATGATAGCCTGTACAAAAGTATATTGCTTTTATTGTGTATATGTTCTATTTATTTTAATTTTGCTTTACATGTTACTTTTTTCAATATATACATCACCTCCTTCCAATTATCAATGTTTTCATATTTTTTTTTTTTAATTTCAGAATGCATTATCCCTAAAATCGAGACCTCCGTGCCATGCAACCACACTCATCCCAGTAATCTGTCTCTTCCTTCTCCTCATTGTAAGACTCTTCAAACTCCAAAGGATACGTCGTTTACCACTCATCTTGTTTGTTGCTTGGTTCTCTCACCACATACGGGATGCAGCAAGGAGAGGACTTTGGTTGTGGCCCTGGGGAAGCACATCACCGCTACCTTACTGGTTATATATTACTCTAATTGTTGTTATTCCGTACTTGGTGATATCTCTCATGAATGTCACAAACTATTGGACTGGTCCTTCAGTGGATTCCAAGCATCTTCCAAGTGTGACAGGAGTGCAGCATGTATAAGGTGCAAGTTTTACTCTAGGATCTCAAAAGAGAGAATCAATGTCAGCCTCAGGAAAGAAATCCATGGAAGCAACCTATGTGTGTTTGAAGAGTGCAATCTGTGTGGAATTTTAGTCATGATGACTTGCAAAGCTTTACTACAACAAAACTAGGATTTTCATGAAAAGAATAAACGATATCAGCAGCAGGGAATAACTACAAGCTTCAAACACGTTGTTCTCATTGTCACATATGTTAACTGCAATAATGTACTTTCTCAAAGCATAGGAAAGTATAAATGAAGCCATGGAGTCAACAAAAATAGTTTTGAATAAACAAGGATATGCTAAGAAAAAGTGGAAAGTGCAATCATGTTTAAATATAGCTGAAACTGTGTATTATTTATGTTGTGAAAAGTTGATATGGAAAGTTTATTTAACGTTTTTAAAGGAATATATCTTTAAAAAATATTATTTGTTGAACCTTAAAATGTTTTGTGTCATTTCATATTAATTCAACTGTGCAAGTTTGTAGGAATAGAATGTTCTACATTGTGTTATTTCATTCCAACATGGGTGTATTTTGACAACATGACATTGTTTTTACTTTAATTTTGATGTTATTTTTGGGGGCACACTTGTCTTACTCTTTAAGATATAAGGATTTAAGAGGAGATCGATCATTAGAGAATTTTAAGTGAAATGTTAGGTGTGAAAACATGGGCTTCCTATCATACACAATTTGAAGTTCATGCCTCAACTGGTTTTTCATATATCGCCAATGTGAAGTAACAGGGAAAGACAACATGACAAACCAGAACCACATGTACATACATTTATGAAAAAACAGAATTCTTACATCCACCTTGATGACATCTTCATTTAGCCTGTACATCAGTTCATTCCCCAATGCTCATATATTTAAAATTTATTAAAAATCAGAATAGGGAATTTTCAGGACTGTGAAGTTGTTATAAATCATTGTAATCTGAAACTAAAAAACCAATGGGCACATGCTATCCAAGGACATACCACGTGAACATTGCCAGTAAAAGGAACTCTTCATTCTAGTGGGAGAGACCAGTCTATCGTGATATTTGGTTTAGTGGTGGTTATTTTACCCGACTGCTTAGAAAGCATAAATGCTTGTTAGTAAGTAACCAGAGGACTGACGGCTTTAGGTCCTCTCTGAAGGACCTGGTAATGAGGATCAATGCCTTGAAGCTAGATCCAATATACATTAGAGAACCAGATCAGTGGAAGTTTTAGCAAATTCCATGAAGTATAAGGAAGTTATTTATTTTTATTTTTAAATCAATTAAACACAAGTTGACAACTCTGTGACATATGGAAAAGATATATTCCTTCATTGACATGGTGGAAATTTATGCCATTTTCTGTAGAGAGCAATATAGAGAGGATCTCCAAAGATACATCACAGTTACCAATATGTGTTTGATGTTTACAACTTAAAAAACTAATAACATTACTTTCATCTGATTTTTTTTCCTCAAATCTCCACCGATCCAATTCTCTCTTTTTTCTGCTCGTCACTGGAATTTTCCTAGTGCGCTATATAGATGGAATGTGATTGGTGTATCTTATGGGCCAGCCCATTATCCTATGATGCTCAATACATGCATACAAAACACAACAAAATACAGATGTTAAGTTACAATGCATATATGCAAGATTTATTACAAAATATAAGTTTACATTCATTTATAGCAGGTAAATTAGACCCAATAACCATTTTGAAATCTACCATATCCATTAAATTCAATTAATTTGTACAAAATAGTTCATCTACAATTATTTGATATGAAATTTGAAATTAAATATTAACATTGTAAAGTTCATTTTCACTTATTCTTAGATTCAAAATGAAGCCAAAAGCGATGCACCGTCATTCATTTCATTCTACAATATTATTTCAAATACAAATTGCAAATGACCGTATTCATATGTACTAAATACTGAAATGGATTTGAAATTTTCAAATTTAATTTTCAATTTCTTTAAATCTAGATCTCTAGATCTGGTCTAATCAAAGGTACTATTCCTTCAGGTTTGGTTATGAATTGTGTGTAAATCTGTTTAGAAATGTTGGGGAGAAATGGAAAGATTCAAATATAAAAGCTTTCATAGAATCTGTTGTCTGTTTTCTCCCTCGATTTGATAATAACCATGATTGTAGAAATTACAATCTTTTCAGAAATCTCTTTTATGTTTTCATGATATCATGACTACCCTTTTCATAATATATCATAATCAAAATACCGGAAATTCATTGTACATAATTATCCAATTTCTTTTTTTTTTCAACCAAGATACAGGACATATTTTACAATATATTTACAAAATAAGTCAATTATTCAAAATTATTACTTGAGTCAAACATATTCTGAATTTACAATATTTTTACTGAATAACTTAGATGTATATCTACAGATTTCTAATAAAATATTTATTAAAAATAATATTAAATCATAGGTTGATTACATAACATGTGATTCTAAATTTGATTTTCCAGGTAAGGTAATTTAGCCAAATGTAGCGGCCGGGCATGTAAAGTTACAGACATGATTTGTCTGTTTGGAGCCAGTGGGTGTTTAATAACTCATACAATGCTACACAGAGTTGATCCCCTTCTGGCTCTAAACATATGAATTGTTAGTAATATCAGACAGTGAACATTGACGTATCTCAATGATAGTTTCCATAATACATAGCAGAGATATTTCCCATCTCTATGTCCTAATACAATATTGTATCTCATGCAATACAATTAGGATTTCAACATGATGCATTTTGAGTTCCAGAAATGTCTTAATGTACCACTACGGTAACTATTGCTAATCTACCTACAGGCTTCAGGGATATCCAATTACTGGTAAAGAAGAAAGTCTGGCTGATGAAAGTTGCTTTTTATATGTGAGGTCCCTTGGTATGATATACAAACCATACATAGGAATGTACATGTAGGTTGACATTGTATCATCCACACACCTTTATTGATCTTGTTTGAATAAATACAATATTAAATGTCACAAAGTCCATGTATGTTCATTTGATGTAGGGGGTAAAATTTGGAATGAAGTAAAACTGGTACTGTATTTCCAATCGTATAATGGCTTAATTGTTATCAGCTGTGAAATCCATTTAAATTTATTGCAAATCAAGTAACTCAAATTCATTTCATTTCATATATATATTCATTCTCACAGTCCAAAATTATCATACACCCACTACACACAAAAAACAAAGCCAAATAACATGATTGTAAAAGAAAAATATAAACATCTGAAGACAACTAGTGGCATATTTGGCATATAAATAGGAGATGAAGGTGTGTCATAATTGCTCCTGCATGCTTTCTTGAGATGAAGATGGTTTTTGACAGACAAAGAAGGCACATTCATAGGAGTATCTCATCATGGATGCTGGATCTTGGATGTATGTTGATCTCACTGACGTGTTCTCTTTCTGAAGAATGAAAACAAAACAAAATCAAGAATAGAATCTACATGAAGAAAAGCTCTCTGGCTCACTGAAACAATAGATATGCGTGTACCAGTATGCAATGTGTTCAAGACTGGTAGGGTACTCGGGAAGAAAACTACATGTATCAGACCAAATAATATTTGATGGGGCATTCATATTTTCAGAATTCTGACTTCCATTATCTAACTGCAGCAATGAAGTGGCAGTTGCGATATTTTATTGTGATACAGATTTTGTATAACGAGATATCTTCTGTACGTATAGCAAGTACAACATACTTAAAATTTTGTTAATATTTGATAATACTATACCATTTTACTATGCCATTTCCATTTGTTTGCCTTGATTGAGTGAATGGTGTCTAATGTATATCTCCATACCACACAAACCCCCAAGTCTAAATACATTCCTATCTAATCAGAAGGTAAATCAAATTTACCTAGAATTCTATATTTTAAAAAAAAAAAAAAAAAAAAAAACTTCATAAATATACATACTACATAAAACATGATACAGATTATGAAATTATTTCATTTCAAACATCTTTATATATTTTTTTAATCTAAAAAAATAAATCAATTTCTTGAACATATGTATACCAGTAATTTTATATCAAATCATGACTGACTCACCAGCATTTTAAAGCCCATATCCAGAATGACTCTACGTAGAACATCATAGCTGATTTCTATGGAATCCTGATTAGGCATATTTTCAAAGTGATAAAGTAGAGGACCTGTTCAAAGAAAAATGTCACCATAATGATAATCACATTAATCATAATTATCTTCTATTGTACATACATTAAATTTGAATTTCATGAAAGATAATCAGTAATAGTGTCAAACTCTAAAATACTATCATCATCAAAGTCGATGTCATTACATAGTTTTGGAAATTCTATAGACCAAAGTAAGTCTTTTCATCTGTTACAAAAAGAGATTACTTAAAACTTTGCACCTGTTTCCAATATCTACCATGTTAAACCCTCATATGTAGCACATTAAAACCACACAAATCTCCTTGATGTCATTTATATCCACACTAGCACTGTCAGTGAATGATTAATTTATCAAAAGCACAGATTCATGCATGCTAGTTTGAATGATTGACCAACCTAAATTAATCCAGTGTCCACCAGGTTTAAGGATATGGTATATCTTCTCAATGTAAGCCAGGATGTTGTTGGCTGTATCTATGAAATATGAGGTAGCTACGCAGTCCCAGGATGCTAAGAGTAAAAAGAATTTAAAGTTATTCAAGAACATTAATAAATAAACAGAAAATATTACATCATACTGTTTTTTTTAAAGCACTTCATATACTGAAGTTGTGTTTAAACTGTTAACTGTTAACAGAAGTAACTACTGCAGTGCTTAGTATTATGACGTAAGGAAACATAACATGTTAGCATACATAGATCATAAATCAATTTTTGTATGTCAATATATAATATCAAAATATCAACTTCAAATATGACTTCAATACAGAGATATTGCAAGTTCAAATGCAGTCCGCTCAATAGACAAAAGAGCAACAAGTGACTAAATTAGTCAATGCTCCCATACGTGCTCCAAGTAATAATAATAATAATAACCTAGACTTATATAGCGCACTTCATCCTCGAAAAAAAATAACAATGTGCTTTACAAGTAGAATAGGGTCGTAAACCTGAGTCCGATTTGGGTCCTGTACATCAGGTTTTATGGTATCCTTTATTTTCTTCATGCTTTTTCATTGTTAACCCATAGAATGCCAGGTTAAGTTTTCTTGAGGTTGATTTAAGCTATTGTAAACTGCACAAATTATTTAGTAGGTGATTGGTAAACTTTAACCTAGAACATGTGCCAGGACAAGATTTCCTAAACCTGGCATACCAACCTTCATCTGTATAGACTTCAAGGAAATCTCCAGCTACCATAGAAAACTGTGCATCAGGGGAAAGGAGCATGGGGTTGATATCAGGAAAGTGGATTGGGCTGATCTGATTGGCTGATGATTTGTTGTTGCTAAATGCATGTATCCATGGATACAAGGTAAACATGTCTGTTTCTGTGGACCTGCAAGTATACAAAGAAAAATAAGCAGTTGTCTTTCATGAGCTGATTTAGACTATTGTTGAAGCATATTACACATTATTGTAAAATATAATGATCTCTAATTCAGGCAAAAGACATTTGAAGTTGAATGGCAAAATAGCCATTTCCAGCAATCTACGGTCTACATGATATAGATTCCTGTAAACAACTATTCTCATTTAAAAATATAAACAAAATTCATTGGATGTCTAGTCTTTTGTTTCTTCATTTCATTATGATATACTCTTGTTATAGCCTTTTCTTCACTAAGTAATAGCCAGATGAGAGGGGGATTTCCCTCCCCCCCCCCCCCCCCCAACTACAACAACAACAACAAAAATATATATATATATAACTTTTTTTGTAATGACAGCTATCCTGCCCAAAATCCAAAGGCTCTTTTCTCTTTAAAGAACATTTAATATTTTAAACTGAACTTTAATGGAATCAAATTCAAACTATGAATATTTTTTGTTTAAATAACGGCTTCAACAATTCTTACAACCAACAACACAAAGTAGTTTATATTCACTTACTTGTTGAGAACAAAGTGTGAAGCAATGAGCATGAAGAGACTGAATTCATTGCCCTGACAGCGGTATCCATTGCTTGCTATCTCAAAGGCTAACCTGCCTAACCCTGCACCAGGAACCAACACATCCACGCCATCTGCATTACTGAATGTGAAAAGAGAAGAGAGGGTAAGGAGCTGATGAGAGGTAGCAGTCAGAATTGCATCAAAACCTTACAAACTTATGTAAATGTACGAGCTTACTACATTGGATACAATTTGACTTTGGTAAAACCACTTACGTTTCATAAAATATATAATTCAATATGATTATGCAAAAACACAAACAATGGGAAGTGAGTGACTTGGCTGTAGATACAAAGTCTGCTGGTAAAAAGAACTGTAAAATATATAAATTACTAAGGAAAAATCTCAGAGTTAAAAAGAAAATTCAAACATCTCTCCCATAAACAAGGAACTATTTGAGGCTGGTGTCATCCTGTTGTCTACTGAGTTACAATGCTAAAGTATACAACAGTTACTTCAGATGAAATCTAGGTTATCTAGATTTTATCTCACCTCTAATTTTCCTAATAATTCTTAATATAAGAAATGTCAATCAAACCTGTTTATAATAGTGAATATCTTATCATTCATACATAATAATCAAATTAATCATAAAAGAGATTTCAGGTACTTGAAATAATGTGTATAGATGTGCTTTCAAAATAATGAACAAAAGAAACTTCAAAAGCATAAACCAAATACCTATATCCCCAATATCCTTACCATTTATGATTGGGGTATAACTGTTTGATTTCTTCAATGATAGGTTTATAACATGCATCCCTCTCTTCCTTGCCACCGGAGCTCCAATCTCGGAAGAACTGCTTTAAGGTGGTCACTACTTTCTCCATGTCCATCTTCACCACAGCTTTGGCCTCGGAACCCTCATCCTATGAAAGAGAGATGGAATAGTGTGGAGCAATCTTTAACCCTATACTATCTCAAGGTTCACTGTGACCCCCCCCCCCCCTACCTTGTCCCAAAATCATGACTGCCTCACAACTACCATATATCATATTTTTGCAACTTTTTCTGTCAAGTTTGAACAATTAAAAAAACTTTGTGAAAATTGTACCCCCCTTTGTAGAACCGAAATCAAAATTTTGCCTGAATAAAGAATGTGTATGGAAAATTATATGACTTATTGTTTCAGTGATCGATGTGAATTCATTTTATTAAGTCGATCAAGTAGATTGATTATATTTATGTTTAGCGCCATCTGGAGGCTACTAAATTCGTGTAAAGAAATGACACCCTTTTTGGTTTCCAGTGGATGAAATCTATTGATATTGGAGGCATCCTTGTGTAAGATGGAAGTTAGATGCACTTAAGAAGGCAGAATGAAGGTATGTAATGATGATATGTGATGAATGTTGTATATAAATGCAGTAATGATGCGATATTCCATGATAAAGTACCTTTCATTCGCACCTAATTCGTTGTGTACATTACATGGATGTAACTTACATTGCACAGTAGCCGAGACGGTCGGCTCACATACCGAATGTTATTGTTATGTAATGTACACTACGGCATGCGAATGAAAGGTACACGTATGCAAGAATGTAAACAAAGATTTGCCTAGTTTGAGTCAATGTACTAAGATGAGTACTTAGGGTGCATAATATGAGAAAGTTGTTATATGATTTATACAAGTTTATATTGATAATTAATAGATGGCTTAGTTATAAAGATACATGCTGTAATTATGAACAGAAGTGATACAAAGGATGTATGTCAGAAAGCCTGACTTAGTTCAATTAAGCATACATGTACTGGTAGAATTGTATTTAGTTTATATGCAGTACAAGTTAATGTGTGAGATAAGGAAAAGGTTCAAACAAGGGGTTAATTAGCTGTAAGGTGCATATTATTGATACGAGTCACCAGGTTTTCTCTAAGCATAATATGTATATTTATGAACAGTTGATTTATGATCCCTTCGATCTATTTTCATTTGTGCAGTTTTTACGGAGCATTTAGAGCAACAAGAGAATTGGAATAATAAAGAAAGACCAATAAACAAAGTCAAAGATGCTTCCGCTACAGTAAAAACTTCATTTACGTCTAGACGTCTCCACGACAACTGAAAGAGAGCTATTACATCATGGCTGACACTGAAGGTGAAAGTAGACCCCATCGTGAACCCAAGCCCACAGAGAAAGGACTACAATGGCAAGTGGAAATTAAATCCAAAGAGTATGACAGCTGCATTAAGTCCTGGAATAGAACCGCAAACAAGTTGCGAGTTTTACTTGGTGATGAAAGCGAAGCGTCGACAGTACAGGAGACCAGAGATGCTCTACAAAGTACTGTAGACAAACTGATAAACACCCAAGAAGAGTTGGCTGCACTTAGAGCAACTGCGAAAGTTGAAGACAACAGTGAAGACAAGCTAGATGAGGTTGAAACAGCACACAACAACATCATGAAACAGACTCTTGATGTATTGATAGCCCTTAGACCCTCATCTCGAACTTCATCTAAGAAGTCGAAGAAGTCTCTTCCTGTTGAACCGCAGGAGCTACAGGATTGCCAGGATTGGGTGAACGACATCCAGGTGAATGAAATCCAGGAAGAAGTTGAAGCAGTAAGTCAAGTTAGTCAACCCAAGTTAGACAGTGTGCAGAACGTTCAAGCTGAGACGATGAGATTTCTGGTTGAACAGATGAGGATGACGAGGCTTCCTTTACCAGAACCAGCAATCTTTGCAGGAGATCCATTGACTTACCCAGCATGGAAGCATGCATTTGATGTTCTCATTGAACAAAGTGGTATACAGCCTATGGATCGTTTCTTCTACTTGCAGAAGTACCTCAAAGGCCAGCCCTTGGAACTTGTGAGAGGATATGCACTCATTGGAGATGAGAGAGCTTATCTAGAAGCACTGGTAGCTCTTAAGCAGAGGTATGGAGATTCTTTCATTATAGCAAATGCTTTCAGAGACAAGCTAGACAGATGGCCTAAGATTTCTTCGAAAGATGCACTTGGTCTAAGAAAGCTAGCTGATTTTCTTCACCAATGTGTCACTGCAATGGATAGGATTGGAAATCTACACCACCTAAACGATGAGAGGGAGAATCAGAAGCTCTTAGCCAAATTGCCAGACTGGCTTGTGGTGAGATGGTCACGTAAGGTCATTGGATGGACAGAGATGAAAGGACAGTTTCCTCCCTTTCAAGAATTTGTGAGGTTCATAGATGAAGAGGCTAAGATAGCATGTTATCCAATCACATCTCTACACCACCTGAAGGATAGGAGATCTGATCAAGGCAAGCCTGTACCAGATGTTAGAACTCTCAACACCAATGTCAGATCTTCCAATTCAGACAACAAGAGACAGAGGGAGAGGAGAAATATTCAACGCTCCTGCTACCTGTGTAGGAAGGATCACCTCCTAGAAGAATGCAGTGAATTTGCATCAAAGGACATGACAGATCGTAAAAGGTACATAAGAGAGAAAGGTCTATGCTATGGATGCTTGAAGGCAGGCCACATGTCCAAGCATTGTAGATGGAGAAGTACCTGTAGTATTTGTCAAGGGCGACATCCATCTTGTCTACATGAAGATAGGAAGAAACCAGAACCAAAGACGGAGACAAATGTAGAAGACAGACCCATGGAAACTCAGACGTCATGGTCTCATGCTTCATTTAGTCAGCAACCTACCGGTACTAGTAGATTGACCACCATGAAGAGCACTATGATAGTTCCTGTTTGGTTATCTCATCCAACCATATCAGACGAGCGAATGGTGTATGCATTATTAGACACCCAATCTGATACCACTTTCATGTTAGAGAAAACCAAGGATGTGATGAATCTGCATGGAGTTCCTGTCAGTCTTCTTCTTTCAACGATGTCTGCTATGGATGAAAGAGTACCAAGTGAACGCATAGAGGGTCTGACCATCCGATCATTTGATGGAGAACAACGGTTCGCTCTCCCGACAACCTACACCAGACGGTTTATACCAGCAAACCATGATCATATACCTACTCCAGAGATGGCAATGAGAATCCCTCACTTATCCAAGATTTCACATCATCTCATGCCCCTGCAAAGTTGTGAAGTTGGTTTATTGATTGGATATGACTGTGCAAGGGCACTCATACAAAGAGATGTCATCCCTCCTGCTGATGATAATGGTCCGTATGGTCTTAGGACGGACCTTGGATGGAGCATCGTGGGTACTGTGAAGGAAGATGAACACAAGTATGCTTATGAGGATGATCCCGTCGGTGTAAGTCATCGATTGACAGCCTGTGAGATTCCTGCTGAGCTAAGGACAGTAAACAAGGATGTGTTGTTCGCTCATAACACATCAGTAAAGGAGGAGATCACCCCTGCAAGAGTGACGAGATTGATGGAAGCTGATTTCCTTGATAGAAAGGATGAAGGAGCAGCACAAGCTGTCAATTCAAGAGAGGTACTGAAGACTGTTCCAGAGGAAGACAGGGTAAAGAATGTCAGAGAGATTAACCTGCATCATGATGATTTACCTCTAGAGCGAGCTCTTGGTGTACAAGGGTGTGTCAAATCCGATGCATTCAACTTCAGAATCACACTTCAGGACAAGCCCCTAACCAGGCGAGGGATACTTTCCACAGTCATGTCTATTTATGACCCCTTAGGACTGTTGGCACCAGTTATGCTTATAGGGAAGCAGATTCTCCAGACATTGTGTAAGCTGACAGCAGACTGGGATGATCTGCTTCCAGATGTTCTGCGAGAAAGATGGAAGAAATGGAGAATAGACATACTGGAACTTCAATCACTCTCTATCCCTAGATGTTACAAGCCTGCTGAATTCGAGGCCGTGAAGTCGGTACAGTATCATCACTTCGCAGATGCAAGTACAACAGGGTATGGTCAATGTACATGTACTTACATGAGATTAACTGACGCCGCTAATAGAGTACATTGTAAAGACAGGCGTGATAAGAAAGCAAGTGACTACCCAACAACCAAAGGGGGTGTTACTGTGCAGGATCTTCATCTAGCAGAGATTGAAATTCTAAAGCACGATCAGAAGAAAGCCTCTGAAGATGAAATTCAGATCCTGAAATCTATCCAGAAGAACCAGAGTCTGCTTGAAAGAAAGAAAAGGCGTCAAATCAAGAAAGATAGTCATCTAGAGCTTGACTACGATTCATTCATTCAAGCACTTCGTCGTTTCACAGCTCTTCAAGCCAAGAGTGCAGCATCTCATAAAGTTCTGGGGTTCTGGAATCGCTGGAAGAAGGAATTTCTTCAGAACCTGCAAGTCCGACAGAAGTGGACTCACCCACAACGTGAAGCTGAAGTCGGCGACATTGTCATTGTGAAGGACGTGAATGCACCCAGAAACCAGTGGCCACTAGCACGTGTTATCAGAGTCTTTCCATCTGAAGATGGACACATTCGCAAAGTGAAACTCGTTGTGGGGGACTCCAGAGTATGTAATAGCGGTAAGCGTAAGAACCCTCTTCAAGAATTGGAGCGTCCTATCCACAAACTGGTGCTTCTGTTACCGCGTGAAGACCAAGAGGAATTCCCGGCCAAGGAACCCGACATTTGATAATTTCGCGGGGAATCCATTTAGTTAGGGTTAAACTTGTTATTTAAGCAAGACCTTAAGATTTCTAGTCAAGACTGGAATTATTGAAACAACAGGTCTGTGGATAAGACTAATTAATTTACATTATCCCCAGAAACGTTTATTTGAAACGGTCTAGAACGAAGGCTGTTTGCTTCTTCAGGGTCTGCACGTGAGACTATACAAATTCATTTATTACAGACTCTGCTGCCTGAATTGAGACTAATTGAACTGTGAAATTTGCAATTGGACAAATTTTCCATAAAGACATAAAACTTTCATTGTAAACTGCAATGCATTTAAATGTATGCATGTGTTGTTATGTATTTGTCTAATAACCATTTATTTCTTCACAGGTCAGTTCTAGTAATCTCTGAATCGATTTATCATGCTAATCCACTGAAATGTCCATGTTTATGTGATTAAGTGGCTATCACATTCCAAAAAGGGGAATTTATTTTTTTTAATTTTTTTTTTTGGCTAAAAATTGCTAAATTCCAGATATTTGTTGGTAGTATAGTGGTTATATTGCATTTATAGCATTTTTCACCATGAAGTGATATTTATTTAAATGTGAACATTTCTACTTTGAAAACATAAGCCATGTTTTTTGTGTTTTCTCATAGCTACTAAGATTACCGGTAAATGTGAAACTAGTAAAATAACATTTCTAGATAAAGCATGAAAACAGTGTTTATCAGTAATTGCATTTGGACTCATATTGAGACGAAAATCTGTTTAAAGAATTTAGAGGTATTTTGTTAAATCCAGTAAGGTAAATAGCACAGTATAGGTTTGGTTCAAGCCAGATACATTTGTTATATAGCTGTTGAAGAAACCTTGTGTATGGACTTATTTAATACAAGTCGAGTCAGTAATGCTGATAGAACGGGTATTTCCCACGTAAATGTGTTTTAAAGCTGATACTATTTGGGGAATTTTTATTTGATGGTTTGAGATAGTGCATCATGTGCCCTATGTGAGTTTTGAAATTTAATCTCAAGACAGAGATATAAACAAATAATTTCATAAAGAGTGCTGAACTACATTCAGTAAATAGGTTAAAAGGGATAGGTAATTCCTTGATAATGTCAATCGATTGTTTAGTAAATTTTTAGAATAATTTAAAGGAGCCATGTTTCAGTGATCGATGTGAATTCATTTTATTAAGTCGATCAAGTAGATTGATTATATTTATGTTTAGCGCCATCTGGAGGCTACTAAATTCGTGTAAAGAAATGACACCCTTTTTGGTTTCCAGTGGATGAAATCTATTGATATTGGAGGCATCCTTGTGTAAGATGGAAGTTAGATGCACTTAAGAAGGCAGAATGAAGGTATGTAATGATGATATGTGATGAATGTTGTATATAAATGCAGTAATGATGCGATATTCCATGATAAAGTACCTTTCATTCGCACCTAATTCGTTGTGTACATTACATGGATGTAACTTACATTGCACAGTAGCCGAGACGGTCGGCTCACATACCGAATGTTATTGTTATGTAATGTACACTACGGCATGCGAATGAAAGGTACACGTATGCAAGAATGTAAACAAAGATTTGCCTAGTTTGAGTCAATGTACTAAGATGAGTACTTAGGGTGCATAATATGAGAAAGTTGTTATATGATTTATACAAGTTTATATTGATAATTAATAGATGGCTTAGTTATAAAGATACATGCTGTAATTATGAACAGAAGTGATACAAAGGATGTATGTCAGAAAGCCTGACTTAGTTCAATTAAGCATACATGTACTGGTAGAATTGTATTTAGTTTATATGCAGTACAAGTTAATGTGTGAGATAAGGAAAAGGTTCAAACAAGGGGTTAATTAGCTGTAAGGTGCATATTATTGATACGAGTCACCAGGTTTTCTCTAAGCATAATATGTATATTTATGAACAGTTGATTTATGATCCCTTCGACCTATTTTCATTTGTGCAGTTTTTACGGAGCATTTGGAGCAACAAGAGAATTGGAATAATAAAGAAAGACCAATAAACAAAGTCAAAGATGCTTCCGCTACACTTATCATAGATTGCTCTGAAACACTGCTAAGTTTGCTTCTACTCCTTTTACAGGATAGTATGTCTTTTTACGTTTATGAAGTCATATTTCTAAAACAAGGTATTATAACAATACTTAGAAATGTAATTTATATATAATTAAACAATACAATACACATAGATTATTCAATAGTTATTATTAGTTCAAATGTCTGCTGAGTGCTGATACATTAATGTAATGATTTCTAATGAAAAATGCATCTACATGTCTAACTGTGTACCACAATTAACCTTTATATGTTATCAAAATTTAGACCTTTCTGAATCTATATGGAATGGTAGAAAATGTAATAGATATTGTTGTGTAAATTATAAAAGAGAAAATTTCATTTTATGTCAAACTTATTTGAACAATCATCTCATTATTCATGTTTTTAACTGAACAAGATAGACTGTGTTCCAGTAATATAGTCCTAAACATCTATAATTTCAATCACAGTAGATTGTTTCTGCCTCAGTACAATCAATGTCCAAATATCTTACAAACTTCAAACCTCACATTTATCATCTCTGAGCTGTTCTCAAACATATCCCTCGTACTATCTAGCATGAGTTTGATGATTTCAAAGTTATGATCGATGCAGTGTCTGATCTGTTTGAGATGAGGGATGAAGTCCGGTAGCAGATCTTGATGATACTTTGGAATAGATTTGAAGGATGCATGTGCCTGATCAACTCGACTTGAAGCATAATTCCTGTTAGAAGACAACATATGAGAGATTGTGAGATCGATAATTTATCCCTTCCAAAGATATGCGAACCAGTTTTAAGTAAGGAGCACTAGCTATGAAAACATTTTGCTCTAAATGGAGACAAAACATAGTGACATTTAAAAACATCTGTATGAGAGAAATAACCTTTCATAAAAGGAAATTACATAAATGCAGCAGGCTTGTCTCAATGCTTGCTGCACAAAAATGTCAATTTGTAAACTTAAATATATACCTAGTCCTAGAGAGGTCTATACCTCCTATATCTCACTTTTTGTTCTAATATTGTATTCTCCTCCTCCTCCTCCTCCTCCTCCTCCTCCTCCTCCTCCTCCTCTTCTTCTTCTTCTTCTTCTTCTTCTTCTTCTTCTTCTTCTTCTTCTTCTTCTCTTCTTCTTCTTCTTCTTCTTCTTCTTCTTCTTCTTCTTCTTCTTCTTCTTCTTCTTCTTCTTCTTCTTCTTCTTCTTCTTCTTCTTCTTCTTCTTCTTCTTCTTCTTCTTCTTCTTCTTCTTCTTCTTCTTCTTCTTCTTCTTCTTCTTCTTCTTCTTCTTCTTCTTCTTCTTCTTCTTCTTCCTCCTCCTCCTCCTTCTTCTTCTTCTTCTTCTTCTTCTTTTTCCTCCTCCTCCTCCTCCTCCTCCTCTTCCTCTTCTTCTTCTTCTTCCTCCTCCTCCTCCTCCTTCTTCTTCTTCTTTTTCCTCCTCCTCCTCCTCCTCCTTCTTCTTCTTCCTCTTCCTCCTTATTCTCCTCCTCCTTCTTCTTCTTCCTCTTCCTCCTTATTCTTCTTCTTTTTCCTCCTCCTCCTTCTCCTTCTTCTTCTTCCTCCTCCTCCTCCTCCTCCTTCTCCTTCTTCTTCTTCTTCCTCCTCCTCCTTCCTCTTCTTCTTCCTCTTCCTCCTTATTCTTCTTCTTTTTCCTCCTCCTCCTCCTCCTTCTCCTTCTTCTTCTCCTAGAAGTTTTTCTTCTTCTTCCTCTTCCTCCTCCTCCTCCTCCTCCTTCTTCTTCTCCTTCTCCTCCTTCCCCTAGCCTTAGGGGCTGAGTGATAAGATTTAATATGATATCACTATCATATTTCACATTATCACCTACCTCTCCTACTCCTAGAGTCCCAGCTCTTCCCCTCCCCCTTCTTTGACCAACACCGAGCTGGTGTGGCTACACCGACCAACATGTAAGCCTACGTACGGGACCACGATCTATATCTACTCACTTGTAATACATAAATGCAGCTAGAATTCGCATAAAATGTTGCCTCTCAAGATCTTCTTCATTTAACACGTTTTTATGTTCCGTGTCTGCTATTTCAGCTCCTTTTCCTGCCATTTTAGACTTCTTATTGCCTCTCAAGTCACCCTTCTTATCGTCACAGCTACGGCGTCTAGCATTGGACATTATTAATACAAAAAATAATTATTCTCCTCCGGTTGTTAGCTAGCTCCATGAACTGCTGGAACTACCCATCTGAACGGATCGCGAGCGCGCGCGCTGCAATTTTTTTTTTCCTTCATAGGTTTTATTCTCTCTCTCATAAAGAAAATTGTACATAATTTATAACATTTTATTCAAAATTACAAGTAATCTTCACATAAATAAATTTGCAAGTGAACCTTAATATTTCAAAACAAGGTTACAAATGAATTTTCATAAAAAAATACAAATGCAAATGAAGTTACACATTTACAGAAGACTATATTCACATAAAAAAAATTATAGTTTCACATTTTAAACAAATCGCAAGTAAAGTTTTTACAATTTCAGTCCTCGACCAGCTTGCATATAAATTTCCAATTATTTCTTTTCTTGTCTACAACATTTGTTCAAGATTTCCTTCAGAGATAAAAAAAAAAGGGTTAAGATAAAAGAAGAAAAAGGATTAAAAAAAAAAAAAAAAAAAAAAACACCTACTGCCCCCGCCCCACACAACACTATAACAAACGATAACAAGTAGGCCTACAACGGTATTAACATTTTTTTTTTTTTTTTAAACACATACACACACACAGAACGAACAAAAAACAAAAAACAAAAGAAAGGAAAAGCACGGGTAGAGAAGAGAAAAGGGGCTAGAAATATTTATTGTATCTTGAGAAGGAGAAAGAAAAATTAAAATCTTGTCAAGGATTCCCATTTCATTAAATAAATTGAAAGGGTGGGTATACTGTTCCAATGAAAGTTTTTATTCTTCATTTCTTTTTCCCAGTAGTCTATATTTCGTTTGCTTTTGGAGGGTTTCCCTTTTCTCTACTTTGGAAATCACAAATTTGATAAATCCAAATATGGTTCAATAATTGCTCTGTTTTTATGGAACATGCATGTACTGTCATCTATTCCTATATGAATTTCTTTCCATGCAGGATCATATCTTCAGAATTGGTAAATTAAGTCTATCGGCACATTTCCCCCAGATTTCTTTTATGTTATTACATTCAAATACTACATGTTCATAAGTTTCTTTTAAAAAAATTGCAAAAAGAGCACAACCCATTTTAATGAAACCTGAATCTATGTAAATGATGATTTGTATATAAAATATCATGCATGGCATTTTGGACTGAAATTCTTGCAGTTTACTATAAGGTACACATTTTTGGTTGAACAAATATCTTTCTACAAATATTACAAAGTGACTTTTGCAGCCTGCCGATTTTGTTTCTACATTCTTCTTAATTTGTATCTTATATACTATCTTTATAGTTATATCTTCAAATTTGAACACTTTCTTTAAAAACATAAATTCTAAACCATGGGCGTATCCAGGATTTTTTAAGGGGGGGGGGTAAGGAGCATTATTTTGTTGTTACCAGGGGAGGGCTTTTTTCATTTTTTAAAATTCTTTTTAAAGAAAGCATTGACTTTACCATCTTTTTTTAAAACCTGTTTTTTCCCCCATTTGTAAACACCTGAAGTGTCTTACAACCGCCCTTTTGCCAGGGGGGGGGGGTGGTGTCTGAACACCCAAAACACCCCCTCGATACATTAAAGTTCTAAACTGAAGCCACTGTGAATTGACTATCTTAAAGGTTGATAATTTTGATTCCATTCATAAGGGGCTGTATATGTTGTTTACTTATCAGTAGGCTTGCGGTTGCACCATGTGTGAGAGAGAGAGGGGGGGGGGGATTGGGGAGTCCTGAAAATTATTATTATTATTATATATTTCATTCCCTCTGTATCTCTCTTTCGTTTTAACACATTCTTTCATATGCATGCTCTCATAAGATTCTGATAAAAAGAATTAGGTAACATGAATTTACTGTATCTCTCCAACCTCCCATCGGTCTCATTCAATATTTGAAGTATTGTTTCCATTACTTTCCGAAGAGTTCCTGTTACAAGCTTTTGTATCCACACTATTCTTTGTGCTTAAAAAAAAAAATCATTGTACTTCCTTTAATTTTATCTTTACCTCTCCACAAGAAATCAAAGCATATTTTTTCATATACCTACTCTGGAACTGGCATTAGTGATGTTACATATTTAGAATATGCATATACTTTCATCAATTGAATTCTACCCATTTAAATTAAATCACGCTGTTTCCACCACGTCAATAATTTTTAAATTTTGCTCAATATCACCTTATAATTAATTTCCCCTTGATATCTACATGTAATGAAAAATAAACACCCTATTATACTGCCCCCCCCCATGACAAAACAGTACAACAGACATTTTGAAGTTTATGAGATATAAGGCAAAACGTTTTCTATTAAAAGCCTTTAGAGACTTTGTGACTGCATACATTATGGTTCTACTTGTCTGAATAGACATTTGGCATGTTATACAAGATTCAATTATTTTTTTGAAAAATCTCAATCATTTTTTTGAAAAATCTCAATCAATTTATTGAAAAATCTCAATCAGTTTTTTCGAAAATCTCGCATTTTACGCTTAAAATGTCTGTTATGCATGTTTTGTCATGGGGGGGGGGGGGGGGGGGGGGGGCAGGTAACATGAATTTCACTGTGATACTGCTTTAACAATGAATGGACAAACTTTGACAGAAAGGAATTAATGCAAGACACTGTTAAAATTAATGAGTTTTTATATTTAATATTATGTAAATGTTGAATTAAAGTCTTCAAATAACATGGGTGTAGGTGTTTGCCTAAAACTATGTCAATTTTGAACGATTTTTAAACAAATTTGACGATTTTATATGAAATTGACAAAATCAATCAAAACCCGTATTATTCATTCATATTCATTGAATGTTGTCAATTTCAACAACAATAAATCACCACTTATGTGGTTTTATATTTGGGATTGTTGTAAAGAAAGTACACAGTATCCAGGATAATACTTGAGTGAGGATCATTCATGCAGAAATGTCCATTCTGATTGGTTACTATATAGTGTCTCCTTGCACACTCTTGAAAGTGCATCCTGCTTCAGTGCACGGCGCTTTTTGATGTTATGCTCCTTTGTCATGGGTTTATAAGAAGAACATTATGAATAGTGACACTTTAAAAATTACAAAAATGGTTTAACATGTGTAATATGATGTGTTGAGTACCAAAAGCCAAAAAAGGGCATTTTTTTGAAAAAAATTGTATGTTATGCCGTTTTGTCATGGGGGGGGGGGGGGGGAGCATATCTCCGGTGTGTATAAATACATACGGGCCAGACTTTGATTTTGGGAACATGAATGCGATCCTTCCGACCCTGGGTGAGGGGGGGGGGGGGGGGTACCCCGATTTGAATGTTCAATATTTCGTTATCAGAAGATACTAGAAGATATCAAATATGAATAGATCACCTCGCCGCCCAGAGAAGACGGTTACCTGAATATAAGTCTCCTCTAGGAAGAAATACATGATGTAGAATGTCTAGAAAAAGCAAACTTCTTCTTTTTTGTTCCACTTGGTGTGACGTTTATAGACAGGTTTTATTTTTACACACAAGATCGACCACCTTTGACGCGGCTTTGATGATCGGGCAGCGATAATGGGAAATCCCCGACTTATCAAGTTTGTTTACAGTATTTTTTGTTGCCGATCGTATAATTAGATTCTGACACTTATATATGACACATTTATATGTAATATAATTCCATTTTCATTATTTTTAATTATTTAACAGGAGTTCTAATCACAAAATCTATTTAAAAAAAATATTCACACATCAAAATTGTCGTCTCTTACGAGATTCCATCACTTCAAACTAAACATTTCGACAATTATTTACATCACATGACCTCTGCTCTGCGCTCAAGATGAGCTATCGTCACGCGAATCTTCGCTCCTATTCTAGTGCATTGCCACAGTACAGATCAGTGATCCTCGACGGTGGATGTGTCAAATCGCTACAGCCAGAGTCATGATTTGTAAGCTCGGCTGTTGTGTTTGTTAGATATTTTTGTCACAATGGCAGAGGCTGTTCGACCCAAGAAGAGGACGAAAAGAAAAGTGAGTTAGGTCTATAATATTCTCAATCAAGACAAAATTGATATGACTCGGGCATGTCATCAATCAGAAAATTCCCTTTGCTTGACCGCCCTGACCTGTTGACTGTATAAAGGTGGAGGGGGCGGGGGGGGGGGGGTGGTTTTAGCCTTAAATTAAGGGCCATGTGATGATATGAAAGATGTTATGTTATTAATATCACCTAGACCTCGCCCTAATTAGCACCCATACCACTGCATGATTTAAGAGTGATGTAAAAAGAACAAAAAAAAGGCTACGTATAGATTCTAGATCTAGATAGACTATGCGTATTCACCCGTTCCACACCCGACGAACCTTGCAAATTATGACTTTGGAGTTAACTAGTGAACTCTTCTTTCTACATTACAGTGTACAGAGACTAAAGAGTGTTGTATGGTGTAGTGAGAAGAGGTTATGTGTGTGCTGTTAGACTAGAGTGTGATTGCCGGTTTCATCGCAAGGCAGCTTCACGAAACTTCTTCTAGTTGAGTACCGCCTACTGGCCTCTTAGTCTTAAGTGGAGTATATCTTCATACTTTGTGCGGTGCTTTTGTGCTGTGTGTGGGGTGTGGTTGCGAAACTGTCCTTCTTAATATTCAATAAGTAAAAAGTTCCCCTGTGTACTGTCTACTCTCTCTGGCCTTAGTGACAGTTTAGCTGAAGCCAAATGACGGTCCCTATGTTTGGAAGTTTCATGTTGATTCACAATGTTCCTTTTATACCATAGGGTGAGTAGATGTACATGTCTTTTCAGATTATTGATCTCTAGTCAAAATTTCAGGTTAAAAGAAAGAAGAACCAGAGTTGAACTTATGGCTACATGGGCATGTAAACTGAAATGCACAAGTTTGTGGGATTATTAGCATGCAGGGTAAGATGGGTTTGTTTGTGTAAAGTATTGTCTATGATATAGCATAGGGTATATCAAAAATGTTTTTCTTTTATTGAAATTATGCCTTTCTCCTCTTTTTAAAAATTTCAGAATCCAAAATCTAAATCAAATGCTCCTCTTGAAGAAGTTCTTGAAGAAGAGTCATCATCAAAGTTGGAGTCACATAGCAAACCAATTGATGAGGATGTAAAGAATCAGGAGGAGAGTTCGCAGAGTGAATCTGCTCATTCCATCTCAGAACTCTCACAAGACAGAGGTGACAAAGACCAAGAACATGTCACCCAAAAGGAGAATGATGCTGGCTGTCTCAGTTTAACAACTAGTGTAGATCCTTTGAGTGCAGAATCATCGAAGGTAGAAAATGTTACTGGTGATAGAACAGGAGAGAATGAAGAAAGTGGAGATTACATGGAGAAATGGATGGATAAGCATGAAGAGGAAATACCAGATGTAAACAAAATAGATGAGTCAGTGCCATCTGAAGAGGAGAAGGAACCTGAGGAGGAGTTCTTAGATACAGCCAAATCAATCAAGGAAGATGGTCAACACAATGAAGCAATTCAGAGCGCCTCTGTGCTTCCCTCTACTGCTGAATGCGACAAAGATGTTGGCCCTGCTTCTGAAGAAGATACTTCCCCGGCTTCTGAAGAAGATGCCTGTACAGAGCTTCATACTCAGACTTCAGATGTGAATGAGGATGACACTGTACAAGTGACATCCACCAAGGAAGAAACTGTCCAAAGACAGGATGAAACAGAACTGGAGGATACTGGGGCTACTGTAGGAGAAGAGATGACGGAACGAGATAAAAATGTTTCTGAGACAGATGAGAGCAAAGAGTTGTCCCCATCTCAGGAAGGAGATAGTCTTGAAGAATTTGAATTCTTGTCTTCGCTGTCCAGAGAAACTTCAATTGAGGAGCCACCACAGACTTCTGTGGCAACTCAAGGTATGTACTATGAAGAGCAATCTAACCCTTTGTAGCAAAGTTATTTGAGTTATGACAGAAAGAGAGGAAAACTAGAATAGTGAAGTTTTACCAAAATTGAATATGTTTGTAAAGTAGAAATGTAAAGTGTATTTGATATGACAGTCTCATACATGTATTGGAGTATTGGTCATGCGTGTTTAATGTACTAGTAGATTTTAATAATTCCCCATTCGAATCCATTACAATTTAAAGGAAAGAGTTCTACATGTATGACACATGTTCGAAATACTTTACCTGTGTGACAGTTTTGCTGTTTTATTTCCATTTTTTTATCGTATTAAATACTATACCCTCAGGAAACAGTGAGTCTGAGATCTCTTCTTTCTATTTTTCAATTTATAAAAAAAATACAATAGTCTCTCCCAATATGGAGATTCATTAAGAAAATGTACGCTATGAGTCTGCATTGACATGAACAAAAAGATATAGTATATGTATCAGAGTTCAGAGACTGTAAGATCTTCAACTTCAACTGGCTTTGAAGATTTCAGCACAATAAAGATTTCTTTCCCAAAAAATTTCCTTTGATTTCCCCCAAAATTTCCATTGATTTATTCTCTTGTGAAAAGATGCATCATATCTAAAAATACACACAGGAAGCCTGCATTTATGATTGGCTCTTGCCAGAAAAGGTTGCCAACGCTTGAAAGGACATGTTCAGTTGCCCTGTAGAGTAGATTCATTGGTAGGAATACACCTATATTATATGTAATACAAAGCAGCTATTTTTCATGTCTAATCATCAAACACATTTTATCTCATCACCTTACATGAATAATAGAACTAATACAAATGACCTTTAGGAGAATATATTAAGTTTTTAATTTTAACTTCAAAGAAACGATTTGATGCACTGAGCAGTGTCACTGTAAAGAACAAATGCTCTTGTAATTCTCAGACAGTATATAGAACATTGAGCTAGTTGTTTAGTTACTTTAGTATACATTTTTCAAAAGAAAATTAAGTATTGCTGAACAAAATGTTAACAGGAGATCGTGGATATGTGTTATCACTAATTAGCTCTGAAAATTTGTATTTGTGCTATACCTAAATGCTACCAAAAGTGAACTTTCTCTAAAAAATCATGAATTAAATAGATTCCTAGCAGTGGTGTAAAATTTGATTTATTATAATTATTATTACTATGTAAGTGGCTTACATGTATGAAGAGTCTGGGATGAGCAATTCATTCAATTCCATGTAAGAAAAAACGTTTATTGTACATTTCTTACAGCCTATTGTAAAGTGCACATGCATCTAGTGGTAAGAAATAACATTCTAAATGCAAGTTAAATCAGCTGCACATAGCATAGATCATTGGATAATCTGTCATCTCCCTCATAGAGCTAGACAAAGATAAAATGTATTAATTTTGATAAGTTGCCAGATAGGAGAAAATACATGTACATGTACATGTATAATACATACATGTTGTTCAAAAAAGAAAGAAAAGTAAATGTCATAGGAGCTTGTGCATCATTGTCTATAACTTTACTCCTTGTTTTGAGATTGTTATACCAAATGTGTTGTAAATATTTCTGCAAATTAAAAATTCAATTTAGGGCTACAACATGTATGAACACTTTTCCTAAATCATCTGTCCCAGTGCTTTTTGTCAAAAGTAGTTTTCAGAAATATCTGGGAATGTCATTTTATCTTCCAACCAAACTTTGTTTACATGTATGACTAATACTAATGGTTTTACTTCCACCAGTGGTAGTACATACATAGTTACATACAAGTACATGTTCAGCACGGGTACAAGATACAGACAACAACATTGGGTAAATTCCAAAAGGGATATGATATCAACACCTCCAGTTTTATAGCAGCTACAACGTATATAAATATGAAATGTTCACTGCATTAAGTGCTATCAGTCTGACGATACTGTGTTTCATTTTCTTTTGTATGTGAAAAGAACTGTAATTGTGAAAGATGACAGATAATTTCTCAGGCAGATAGTCTGATGAGATTTTTAAATTCTTATTATTGGAATCAATAAGTTCTGGATTCAGTTTTCCTCTCTTTAAAATCCTCATGCCTCCAGAGCCCATATAAATGTAATCTGTTTACTTTTGAAGTATATTCTTTATTTCTAATAGGTCTCTATTTCTCAGTCCTTTTCCGCCCCATTTATTATTCATATTACATTCAGAGATGAAGTAATAATAATGTTTGAATCCAAATTTTATCTATTATAAATGCATTTCATCAGATCCAAATAGATATTAACAAAATTTGAACTGTTATCTTTATTTTTCATCTCCTTAATAGATGAAAATACTTCATTGGAAACAGAACAAGCAACAGCCCCACCAGCAGATGAAGTTCTAACCCCAGAGGCCACTGGGCCACCAACAGAATCAATAGCCTTTGATCCCCTGAGCAACAGCCAAACCCAGCAAGGAACACAGGAGGATGAGGCAGCAGCTAGTCTTCAACAACCTCAACAAAGCCTAGAAGAGACACCAGATGATACAGCTATGACATCTGCCCCTCTCATAGCAGTAGCCCCAGAAGAGGATCCGCTCTCTGTCTCTGGCTCAAAGGTTCAAGGAGAAGATACAGATGAGGGGAATAGGTCTGTGGAAGGAATCAGAGAAGCGACACGCTCCGAGGTTCGAAAGATCGTAGGTGTGAGGACGAGGACAGTAGCATGGCCAACGGAATCTATGCAGCCGATGAGCCAACAAGAGCTTCAGTACTATTACTTCAATAGCATGCTTACTAACCACGATGCATTTGTTGAGGATTTTGTGAAGGTGAGAAATTTGTTCCTTTTTTGTTTTTCTTTTCTTCTCTGTTCTTGTTTCCACTGATTTTGGCCTCATTCAAGACATCTTCATGACTGATGGTCAATGTGTAGACAGTATTGTCATTCCCAGCATGCCTTACAGAATAATAGCCCCTTCGTCCAATCACAGAAGGCTTTAAATGAAGAATTGAAAGAGCCTTTAAGTCAAAAATAGAAAAAGAATTCAATTCAGTTAAATTCTCATTTCAACATCATGCTCCCTTTGTGTGGAATAATCTTCCTACTGAAATAAAATCAAACCAATTTGTTAAACAGAATTAAAAGAAAATTAAAGAATTTTTTATTAACAACTGAATTAATCTTAATCATGTTTTTAATTTTGGTACTGCATTGTGTATTTTGTGTAGCGTTGGTGTACGTATGTGTTTGTGTGTCCTGTTTTCTGTTGTTTTTTAATTTTTTAATGATATTAATTATAAAGTTATATTTTACACCTATTCTTATTGTGAATAAAAAATTATGTCAATCATGTATTGCAATATACTTCAATTTTACTGTGTTTGGTTGGTTGTCTCTTCAAAACTTATAACTTTGTAACACATACCATCCCTTATTATTTTCAACACTAAAACCCAAGTTTCCTTTTCACATCCAGGGGAACTACATTGATAAGCATGAGTTCTATGATCTAGTGAGTAACTACTTACGAGCTCGACTGAATGTAGGAACCATACAAGCTGAGATCAAGGGTCAGAGGGAAGATTATATGGACAATGTGGAACAGATCTGGAGCTTCACACAGAATGAGATCCCTGTAAAGGTATGTACTCAAACATAGTAACATCAACATTAATGAGTTAGGTTATGTATTTAATTTATCTTTAAAGTTTCTGCAACTCCAAGATGGCTGCACTATCATCTTCATGTGCTGATTTCAATACTGGTAGATAAAGAAATTTTGTTCAGGAACTTGTTCCTATCATTTTTGAATGGTTTCCTTCATAAGTCACAAGTACTATATACTTATATTTCAAAGAAACGCATCTAGAGGCAAGCTACTGTCTTACTAATTTCAAGCCAGATTTTTTTCTTGAGATTAGTTTCCTATATTAATAAACAACCTTTCTATATCATGACTTATCAAAATCTAATTTTACATCATAGGGTCAGTGTCAAGATGACGTCAATGTGAAATCCACCCATACATTCAAGACCGTTGAATATCACGAACAGAAGCTGAAGGCAGCAGAGTACGCTCTCTCTCAACTACGTATCCACGTCCATGGCACGTATGCCCTGGTCACGTATACAGCGCAGCTATCACGCCTACAGATCGAGGTATTCATCTATCACCTGTTGAATCGGTCTCAGCTCTTCAGACAGGTGGATAGCACTATGCCTGTCACAGGTATGACTCTCCTCACACCCACAGGATCAATCAATCAATCAATGTCACATGATCAACCAATCAATGTCACATGATCAACCAATCAATGTCACATGATCAATCAATCAATGTCACATGATCAATCAATCAATGTCACATGATCTGATGGCAATTGATCTGCAGTACTATACTAAGAACATTCCTAACTTCAACCCTGCATCAAACACTATAACTGACCCTAACCCTAAACCTATCATAAAACCCAATTGAAACCCTCACCCTAATTCTTTCATAAGTCTTTCATTGCTGGGAATGTAGTCAATCCTGCCATTGATGTCTGACGGGTACCTAGCAGCATTAGTGATATTTTGTCCTAGATAGATCTAATTATTGACCTGCTTGATTATATGTCCATCTAGAACCAAACAGAGTCTGGGCTTTTCCTCTGCCTTACTGAAAACGTCAATCTTGTCTTAACATTCATGTGCAGGCTAAATATATCACTTTTGAATTGTACAGCAATCAGTATTCGTTGCAGATCTTCTTCAATCCTTGCACACAATACAATGTCATCAGCATTACTGATGTTTACTCTTTCACCACTGACACCCTTATAATAAGGATACACATGTTCTGTAATAAAAGGAACAGTCTTCAAATGTACATTGTTGTGATTTAGACAGACACATAATTACGTTTCCCTTGAGTACTGAAGACTATCAAAGCAAACAAGGAAACTGAAGTGTTATGATATATGAGTTGTCCATATTATTAGATCTGAAGAGTGTACAAGTATTTGTGGAGTTTCATATGATAGTTACACTCTAGAATTACATAGAAAGTATATAGAAAAGTGTAATTTTCTTGAATTACACTGTTTTTAAAATTAAATTTAAAATCTTACCATCCTATGGTAATCCTATTGTTGCTAGCATATTTTTCATATAATCTCAGCTATGCTTGCAGATGAAGCAAGACTTATGATTGAAATCAATAGAATGCAAAGTTATAAATATTTTTTGATGTTTTCTCTTTTTAGCTCTTCTGATGAATCTCAATTCTGCTGAAGCTCAAGCTGATATTAACAAACTGAAGCAGTGCATCTCAGTTCTCTTTGCATTCCAGCGCAGACCAATCTCAGATTCAGAGTTTGTTGAGCTCTCTAGATCATGGCTACAGCGTATGGTAAGTGTATATATGAATATTGTTAAATTGTCCATAATATCAAGGTCTCATTAACCTAGCAACTATTGTATCTCATTCCAGTAGACAATTGGTTAACTTTTAGTAAGTGACACAATATGGATTATTGCAATTGTGTTAAATCCTAAATTCAATGAGATTACAGAATTGCATTACTTTACATTGGATGAAGAGGTTGAGGATGGATGCTTCATAATCAGTAGACTTACTCTTCCCCATAGTCAGCAGGACTCAAGATGTTACTCTTTTATGAATACCAGTCATAGTCTTTAACATTTGCTTTATTTGTTTATACATCCTTGATATCAGATATCTGTGTTGCTGAGAGTAGCCACTCTTGAGGAGCATCTCTTCATCATGAATCATCTCTTGAGATGTCCTCCAGGCATCAGCGAATGGGCTTCGTTATTCCTTCAGGTAATATCAAGACTTGGCCTTACTCCATGTTGTACAGCGACATGTGGTCAATATCCTACACTAACCAATGTGTAACTTCAGCCCTGGACCAAATACTGTATTCTAACTTTACCTAACCCTAACACTACACATTACCTAAATGTACACACACCTACATGTACATGCATTCTTAGCCCAAACCACATACCTCTGATTTATAGAACTCAGGAGCAATTGTCATATGTTGGATCAGTACAGATTTATGTCCATTCATCCAGCAAGTGGGCTTGCACATTTCTCCAGCCTGATACTTGCAGTATTATGTCTGTGTGAATAAAGTGAATAGTATCATTAAAAGGACTTGACCTCTGTCCCCTGTTTTTCAATTGTTCTGGGACATCTTTGATAATGTGTCCTAAAAATACATATGAATTGCAAGTTGAATAGTGTATGTTTGTTTTGTTTTGTTTTAATGTAGAAAATGATTATTTGTCTTAATTATCATCATTGGCAGGATTTCTGAAATTATGAATACAGTGTATGTAGATGTAGATTTTAATACATATCAGGAATGCCTTGTTGAAGAGGGAAATATTCAATTGAAAATGTGTGGATTTCAATTTTTTAGTGGTTCTGTATCACCTTGATCAAGTGGAACTGAATTGGAATTTGACATCTAATCATCCTATATGAGGCAGGGTTTCCCACAAAATGTGGTCTAGTTACATCTGCAACTTATAGGTTGAAAAAGCTGATATTTTCACAGCCCTTCAAACAGATTGTCCATGAGTGGCATCGTATTAATTGCTATAAATCTATCTGACTTGTTGCACAGGTTTCACCTCCTGTACCCGTACGAGGCGCTCCCCAAGACACCCAGCTTCTCAGTATGGAGGAGGATGCTGCCTCATCATCGTCATCAAGCAAAGGTCAAGGGTCACATGGATTCTGGGCTAGTCCACTCTTGGATCACTTTGTTAATATGCTGGCAACTCTCATGGCTCCAGTCAGGTTAGTTCTGATATGGATGGAGCTTGATCTGTTTTTTCCAGGATTGACTATGAAACTACGTTTAGTAGATGAAGTTAAAGCTTGATTCTTTCCAAATTGAGTTACAATGGAGTGACAGATACTAAGCTATTATGCATACCACTTTGTGTGATCAGACTAAGAATAGGTCTATCTATATTATTTTAAAAATAACAAGTCATCAAGGCTATCAAGTTTAAAGTTTTCCACATAATCTGGCATTTTATCAATATTTGTGTGAAAGTCACCTGCCTAGAAATTCCAGCCATTCTTACTCCCTGAAATTCCAGTTAGGTGTGATAACACATGGTTAGAAAGGCCTACAACCCATATAAGTCACTTTGTCTGTATCCCTTGGCTTTTACATCCAAATACAACATGCTTCTTCCACATAGACCTCAGCTATTCTTTAGGCATCTTATTTTCTGTATGTCATCTTCATGTTTTGTTGATGTTTTGTAGATATCGCGAAGAGTTCTTGGCCAAGATGAAGGTGGCATCTACCAATCCTTTCTCCTCTAACGCCTGTGATCCTACGATCAACTGGACATTGGTTGATGAAGATCTAGAATCAGAAGATGTAAGTATGAAGGGGGTATCTATCAATCCTTTCTCCTCTAACGCCTGTGATCCTACGATCAACTGGACATTGGTTGATGAAGATCTAGAATCAGAAGATGTAAGTATGAAGGGGGTATCTATCAATCCTTTCTCCTCTAACGCCTGTGATCCTACAATCAACTGGACATTGGTTGATGAAGATCTAGAATCAGAAGATGTAAGTAGGAGGAGCACTGCTGCTATAACATCTTTCCTCTCAGCCAAACAAGTGAACCGATGTCGGTTGCCTAACTCAATTATTGTAACCTGTTAGTAATAACAATTCCTTGAAATAGGACTCTGACATTTTGGTCCTACAATATGCGCTCCAGGCTTTATTTCAATAAAGGTATATATTTTTAGGGCAACGATTGAGTTTTAGCTTAGGTTTTGGGGTAGGATAGGATATTAAGTCAAATCCAGGATTGAAGTTAGGAATTCACAAAGCAGTCATCACAGCCTCTATGTTCCTGTAGACAAGTTTTATGTAATAGAGAAATTCTGTCCAGTAGAGACCATTCAGTGAAACAAAATAGGACTAGAATTTGACTTTACACTTACATTTCTGAGTCTAGTGCATTGGTATTCACGACTTTCCTTTTTAGTTTTGGATGTTAGGATGGGGGGAGGGGGGAAGGGGGGGGGGGAGGGAGGGGGTGAGCAATGGATGGGTTAAATAACCCATTTGTTGTCATGGCTTTGATAGCTATTTATCTTATTTTAGATTTCTGTTGTCTTTTGCTTACTTAAATTTGTTTATGCTGATATCTTCATGATATTTTGTGTTTTCTTTTTACAGGAAGAATCATCTCATAAACTTCTTCTGAATGAAGGTGACCTGGTGGAGTTATTAGCTCAGTTTCCTTTCACTGAAATGTTCAGCCATATTCTTCTTGTGGATACCAGTGGTAAGTATACTGTAAGAGAATGAGAGGTGCTGAGGTCTAGTGGTTAAGTCACTACAGTGTAGGTCACAAGGTACAGAATTTGATTCCCTGCCACAGCACTGATGTCCTTTGGCAAGGCATTGGTCTACATGTGCCAAACTCAACCCAGGTGAAGTAAGTGGGTACCTGGTAGGATTCATTACTCAAATACACTGACCTCTTCAGTTGCCAAAGCTAAAGATTTAAAGAGCAAAAGTACAGTGTAGTATCAAAGTCTGTTGGAAGCGTGTAGAGGTATTCAAATGTAATACGGTATGTGCCGTACAAGAACAGAATAGCAACATTAATACAAATTTTAAAAGAAAATAGGAGAGGATGCCTTTTTTGTTTAGATTTGTGTGTAAAAAAAGACATGAGATCAAAGAATAACCCATCATTTGTTAATTAAGAAAACAAGAGTAAATAAAATTACAGGAATGAGCATTATTAAGAACATCTTGCCCTTTCATACATACAATAAAGCTTCTTGTTCTGTCCAAATGCATTATGAAGCAAAATCCATATTTTCTTTCCATTTTAGCTGACAGAGCATACAACGTTGAGCAGGTAGAGAGCCAAGATATGCTCAAACTGGTCGCATTCTCTTCAAGTCTCATCCAAATCTTCCACACTGGTCTTCAGACATTCAACAGATCAAGATATCGCCAGTTTGTCAAGAGAATCGGCAGACTCATCAGGTAAACAAATTTCCCAAATCTTTAAAAAAAAAAATTTAAAAAAAATTGTGGGCATGGATAAAGTAATCACAGTATCGAGTTAATTAAGCCATTCTGTGAATAAAGTGTAGTGTAGTTTTTAAGTTTTGAGTCAAGTCAAGTCTGAGGTCAAAAGTATTGTTCATGAGATAGTTTCAAATGAACACAAATATATGAAAATTACATACAGGCATTCTGAAGGGATAATCTAGAAATGATTTTGATGCCAGCTGTACTATAAGTAGGTTATATACTTCCATGTCAAGATAGAATTACATTGGCTTGTTTGTGATTAAACATACACTATTACAGATTATTATTACATATTACAGATTCAATGAAGTGTGTGTTACTATCAGTGTGAGTTGGAGGTCATGTTTTCATGTTTGAACTAAGATTCTCAACCTCTCACTGTTGCTCCTGCAGACACACAGTGCAGTATGTATCTAACCATTGGACCAACTACAAGACATGGAGAGTAGAGGTGTGCAGAGACTCGGAGGATAGCGTCCTACCTGGATCAGACCCTCAGAAGGAGATCACTCTACAGAAGATACAGCTAGAGGTGGATGAGATGTTCTTCAGGGCTGTCCAGTGCATCATGTCTGCTCCAAGGTATCACATTAGGAGGGAGGGGAGGGGAGGGGGGGGTGGAGTCTACAGAAGATACAGCTAGAGGTTGATGAGATGTTCTTCAGGGCTGTGCAGTGTATCATGTCTGCTCCAAGGTATCACATTAACACTGGGGGGTAGGGGAGGGGGAGGAGTGGGGGGGGGGGGGGAGCCTACAGAAGATACAGCTAGAGGTAGATGAGATGTTCTTCAGGGCTGTGCAGTGTATCATGTCTGCTCCAAGATATCACATTAGCTGGGGGGGGGGGGGGGGTGTGGAAGGAGAAGGGAGAATTTTATCTCTTGACTCCCAAAAAGCTTAGAAAGTGGAAATTAGGAGAAAAGATAATTTATGAAAACCACAGATAATTTATGAAAACTAAAAATTTCAATTGTGTTAGGATATAATGAAAATATCTTTTTCCTGACTAAGTTATACATGTGAATTGTTTGAAACAGTTTTTATGTCCATGCTTAATACTTTTAAAATGACAATGCAGGGTTTCATGACATTTATTTTGCCATATTTCAGGTCATTTTAAGTTAGGAACAAAAAGAAGACAATCTTACATGAATGTTTCATCATGATTTGCTCTTACTCTTGATCCCACAGGCTTGGTACATGGCAGTTCTTAGCTGACATGCCATACTCCTGCCTCTCACCTCATATGATGTGGAGGTTGCTATGGTTTCTGCATCATTCTGATAAAGGAGAAGTTAGCTCTACAGCTTCTATCAGTGTGAGAACTAGAGCTAAGCTAGATGAATACAAGTGGGATCTGTCAGGTAAATACAAACTCAATGACCCATAGACTAGATGTAATGTTAGTACACTTTTCTGATTACCTACCCTATATTTCTTGTATAACCTTTTCAAAGAAAATCATGAACAGAACTTTTGGTGTAAATATTTGTTAGAGCTAGTTAAAGCTAAGCATTTCCACCTAGAACACCTAACTCCCTAACATTTGTGAGCATGTTGATAACAAAGAATTTTGTAATGCTCATACTGATATTGGAACAAGTAATTCAGATGGAAATTATTCAAGATTAACAGTTGAGGTTTGTTTTGCTGGTGCATGCACAAGTGGTTCCTAATTGATTGTGTGTGGATATCGAATCAGATGTAATCAATGAATATCATGGTCCATATAAAGTTTGTCCAGCTTGTGTGTGCTATTCAATATACTCTTCATTCACAATAATTCAAATCTTCATGTCTTTTCCACCAGATTCTACAAAGAAAGCTCATTTTGGAAAGAAGCTCTTGAACATGCCTATGTCAGAGGTCATCTATCTGCTGACGACCTTTGCCAACATGGCTAGTGCCAGGACTAACAAAGAAACTGATTTTGTCATTACCATCACGAATGAGGTCTATGAGGTGAGGAAATCACATCTAATCTGAAAATTGACAACTTGAATCATTTCTTGACATCTAGTTCATTTTCATTGTTTTTGTAGATGTTGCTGTATTACATGTATTTTCCTGCAGTTTTAATTGTTTGTTGACTTTGCCTACTTATTGAGCCCTTCTGTACTTTTTTTGGACCTGTTGTGATTTAGATTTAGCATTTCTTGTCACTTTGTAATGTACCTTCAAGACGTTATTTAGTATCAGTCTCTTAAGAGCAAGAAAGTCATTTTAATACTCAACAGCAAACAATACTCTAAAGTAATGTCCTCTGTTATTGTATAAAGTCGTCCTTTTGTCAAAGATTCTCTGCACTGTGTTTTGGTTTGTACTTGTGTCATGGCCTCAAATTCAAGATGTTTTCAATGCTCATGTAAGATTGAATTTAATGAATATTGGTGAAAATCTGATAACCACAACCATATTTTATTTCTGTCATCAGCTTGCCTATCTGAACAAACACACCAGAGACTCATGTTCTAAGGTTGGAAGGGAGTTACTTGCTGGTATGGCGATGACACATCCTTTCATTCTCACTAACATCCTCAGTCTCATCCAGTCTCACATGGACATTACTGGCACGGTAAGATTGACGTCTTATCCTTTGTACTGAGCCCCTTGAAAACCAGAACCTTTAATGTTTAAGTCCAAACCTGATTCAAATGCACACTAAGTAAAAAGGTTGATGTGTTGTTTGTGAATATGAATAGCATAAAATCAGGGGAGTGGTCATGCAAAAAACTTATGCTCCTGTCTGGAAGATGCTACAGGTGGAAGGTTTCAAAGCGTCCATCTAGTTCAGAGAGATCACAAAGGATTCCATTATCAGTTACATGATTATGATGTGAACCTGTTTTAGAATTATATAACACAACTTGTATGTTGTGTTGTTGTTTGTATTTTTGGTGTTCAGTCAAATTTGACTATTTACGCCTGTCTGTTTAGTAAAAGTATTGTCTATGTCAATCAAATAATTTGTCATTGAGAAAACTGTGCGCCTGTGCTTTTGCTTGTCCACTGCATGGAATGTACCATCCAGGCCAACACAACTTGTATGATATATCTTTGACACTTTATAAGCCAATGTTAATGGGGAAAATATTAAGAACAGTTTTGTCTATGGGTTATGATGCATAGAATCACCAAAACAAAAGCCTAGTGCATTTGACCTGACAGCAGTCCTCTAATACACAAATGTGTTTTCACCTCGAATAGAACTACCATCACAGTTGACACACAATATCTATATTCATTAATTTGTTTTCAGATGAGTGTATACCTATGCTCTGAGTTGCCTGTCTATCTGTGGCAACCTTCTGTCTCTGATATGAGCTTCATACGAGTGTGGATCTTAGATCACAGTCCTGACTCGACTGAGAACCAACTAGCAAGGCTCATCTTGTCCAAGCTTAACTGGGGCTATACTGAGCAGGTATGTCTGATTTCAGTGGTGCTAGTGTAGATGATGGTGATGGTGATGGGGTTGATGTTGGATGATGACGATGTGAAAGATGATGTTGGTGACTTTAATGATAATGATGATGAAATAGATGATGATGGTAATGCTGCTGATGATGATAGTGATGAAGGTGTTGATAATGATAATGATAATAAAGTGCTATTTTGAATGCAACTTGTACCTCTACTGTGTTTTGATTAGGAGGATGAGCTTGTACTGGACATCAGCTTGCATCGTAAGGTAGCCCTCTTGGTTATGGAAGCTTTCACCAAGCACATCGCAGAGAAGACACAGGCAGCCTTCATTGCCTCCACACTTTCAGTAAGTAGTCATCTATCTCTTACTGCTCATATTGTAAGTCAGAGTCAGGGACTCAACTTGAGTAAGACTTCGGGGCTTGAAGCTCTGCTGGCTTGACCCCAAACAGAAGCTTAACAGTTTTGGGGGAGGGGGTGGTCAGTGTAAGCCATTTCAAAAGTCATCATAATTCGTCATTGTACTGTAGTTGGTTATGCGATTTAACACCATTTATGAAAATAAGAATTAGAGTTACTTTTAATATTCAAATTTCTATGGCTCCTTTTTGACTCTGCATAGCAAACTCATTTACTTCAAAGACAATCAACGATGCTATGCACAGGCTATTGCCTGTTCCAACATTAGCTTTCACTGAAAGTGTGGGGATTTTGATTATTCTATCTATCTCTATGCAGTGGGGAATATCAATGGTGCTAGGAGACGTTGTGAACCTGGATGTCTGGTGTTGGGACCTTCTCAACAAGCTACGGCTCCATGGCCAGGACCAGCCGACGCCCATCCTATGTGCATCAGGTCACACCCAAGAGACATCAGGAGGTCACTCCTCCAAAGCAGGAGAGGCAAGAGCAGCTATGGGTGTCGTACAGCATGGTGGTGGAACATCATCAGGGCAGAACTTCTCAGCCCCGGATTTGAACTCTGACCCTATGTTGTACCCTGTCAACAAGGCCCTGGCTAGCAAGATACCATTGGCATGTTATATTGCTGTAGCAATGACCAAAGCAGGCCACAAGTAAGAACACTTTCTAGACACAACTTTCATTGAATTCCTCCCTTTCAACACTCTCCTTGACCTATTTCAGATTTACCCCGTATAATCCATTTCATCTAGTGATGATTTTGCTTTTTGATATGTTTTCAGAAAAAAGGAAATAGAACAGTTAAAAAGTTGTGCTTCTAAAACTTTTAAGTGTAAATCATTAGTTTCATTAGCTTTAAACCTTTGTTCTTTAATTACATCCTAGAGTCCGAAGTCTTTTGATTAATCAGTACCAGACCTTCTATAATTTCTTGTTATTGCTGACAATTCTCTACTTTCTTGATATCCATGTTGGATGTGTTTTGATTTGATGTTTTTGTTAAATAATTTTGCTTCACAGCCTTGAGGATTTCTTAACCAAGGGATTGGAATATCTTCAGAACCTGGTTAGTGCTGGTTGTTACAGGATGTGTATACCACTGATAGGCAAGATTGTTCCAACCTTCATTGAATCAGGGCATCAGGAATACCTGCTTAAGAGTGTCAAGTAAGTGTCAGGTCCCCTACTTCAAAATATTCTAATGTATTGTTTAGAAACATATGAACAGGCATTTGGTGAAAGTGTGTTGAATTTGAGTGAAAAAAATGCTAAATTTGGTATTGTAGAAGGCAGTGTCTTCAAATTACTTTATCAAATTTAGCATTTTGGGAATTTCAGGTTTTGTAAAAGATAAATCTGATAAACCTGCTGTGTTTAAATATAATAATATCATTAATATGATGATAGATTTAGTGTAGCCTACATTTTTTTGTAGCATTATTCCATGTATGAATTTTTTTCTTCAAATTTATTTACCATGAATGTATTAAAAGATTTGTTATTTGATTATTTGTGAAGTTTCATTACATGTAAAAATGCACAATGAGACACATTATATTCTGAACTGAAATGATAAATACATAATTTTGATATAGCTCAGTATATACCTAAAACAAGCTTTACCAAATTGGAATTTTTTGTCTTTCCATCTCAATTTATTGCAGGTTCATCTCTTTGATAGAGACCATTCTAACTGCTGATCATCAATACTCCAGGATCTTGCAGAAACTCTCCATGTCTTTCCAGACAGAGTGTACTGCACTCTTCTCCAGTATGATTGCAGTGAGTTAGGTTTTATCTCTATTCTTTAACTTCATCAACCTCATCAACTTTTGATTTATGTAATTCTGTTTTATTTGTGTGTGCCACTGTGAAAGATTGAATCTCTAGAGCTACAAGTCATTTACACACAGCATATATGTAGATTGTGACCTGGGCGACAGAGACGTGATACATTGAGGAAACCACAGAAGACTAGGATATGACATAGGGCACAGCTTTTAGCTATCCACCTTATCTTATCAAAATAATTCATCCAGAACATATGCTTAGTAAAAACATATGTAAAATGTTGAAATACACATGAAGTTTGAGTTTGAGTTAGAGTTTATTGATTTCACATTTCACATGCAGAAATAATACAGATAAAAAAATATACATAAAAGACATATTGTTTCATTATTATAAAAAAAAATGATTATATTAATTGACAAGGTAATCATCACATTTGTTTGACAACTAATATCATTTAAAGGAAACCCAGACAAAAGTACAAACTGTGAAATGTGCAGGAACCTATAGAAAAGCAGAGCTTGTAAAGAATAGGTTCCTGGGAGACTTGAAAAATAACAGGGACAAAAAATGTTTCTGCTTATATCCATTGTCAGTTTATCACCTAGGGTGAAATAAACCCAAACTGTATGTTTTATTCCAGACCCTTCTGCAAGCTAGCAGAGCACCTGGAACACGTACTCCTGGTCTGACAGAGACCATGTTTGAATTCTGGTTGATGATCCTGACCTCCTGTAAGAACTGGCATACTAACCACGATGTATGCCAGGTCCTAGACGCGACCTTAGAGGCTGCCCTCGTCTGTCATAAAGCAAGCAATGTACTGACGCAAGAAATATTCATGACTCACTTCAGGGTAAGGTCATAAACCTCTTTTCACGTTTGTGTCAAATTTGTTGATATTGCCTTGATTTGCTTGTAGTCAGTAGTAAGTCTTGCTCTTTTGTGATTTTTAATTTCATCTTAACTGAAGTTTCTTTCTCTCAGTGAAGAACAATGTTTCAGTAGAGAGCATGCTGTTAGTAATGGATGTTTTTTTATCTGCCCCAAATTGCAAATTGGATGTAAAGATAAAAATTTGATAGATTATGAATGATTATTCATTCATTAACAATTTTATATGAATAGAGAGTTAAGGACCATGATTAAACATTGTCAAAATGCATGTATAGTGTAGGTGCGACATGAAATATTGAGGGTAGTTGACATTATCAAAGTGTATTAAAGATGCAAGTTAAATCAAGGTGTGCAAGAGTTGATTTCTTGTAAAAACTAGTTAATGTGTGCCTAACAGAAGGAAGAAGAAAAAAGAAAATGAATTAAATAATTTATGAAGATGTTTAAAATACAATAATATACAAAACTCTTCTTTATGTGGATGTGATTAAAAATGCTGAAAATGAAACTAGTATTATGTGTACTTCTTCTTACAGTTAAGTACAGCCAGGCAAGCAGCACAGGTACATTTTAAATTACATGTACATGTATATATATATACACATGAGCTTATCTGCACTGACACATGTAGCAATTGCCAGTCTTTGGGCTCACAGTGTAATGTTGCTGTTGATATGTATTCAAATTAGTTTTGTAGTGACAAAAGACAGAAATGTTACATATTCCTGTATTTTTACTGTGAATATTCAAGTTTGTCATATCAATAACTTAACTGCATGTTGTGGCCATGTATTTTGTCATAACAAGAGATTTATGAGTAATCTTCAGTGGTAACTAAAAGAACCCAAAGTATGTGAATAAAACTTATGTATTACATTATGTCTCCAGTAAATTGTATCTCAAGGTTTTTGTATGTCCTTTTTTTATGTTACACCCACCAACTGAACTAAATGCGAGAAAAACTTTGCAGTTCCTTAGTTTGCTTGACCTTGTTTTGAGCTTTGGCTTTTTCATTTAATATATCCACCTCTGTATATTTGAATGTTTGTGTGCTTGTAGTTTATCATGTATTGAATACTTATTTCCCTTTCAGTATATATTATAATTGCATGGAGTGTTTGTGTGAATATTTGAGTTATGTGTTCATTATGATGCTGGTCTTTAAATTTAATATAATGAATGAAGTTATTGTGTGACAAGTTTTCTTACTGGAATAAATGCACTGGTTATATCAACTAGATATTGTAATTCATTTTTGATCTCAGAAACCAAAGTTGGAATAAAGTCATTCTTAAGAAGACCCTTTCCAAGCTGATAAGGATGATCATGAAAGTGTTATTTGTTCATATATGTCATTACCAATGTAATTTCACCTTGTCCTGCAGAATGGACATCATAACGTTACACTGTCAGAGAGTGAGGAGCACAAGAAATGATTATAGAATGAAGACAGTAGTTCTAACAAGTGTTGTAGATTACCTCTTATGAGGTAGATGAAATCGGAAATGATTTTAAAAAAAAAATACATTTCCAATATGTACTTGCAGATGTTTAGCACATTTCTCTTAAATGTAGTTTGTAATAATAACTGTATTCCTGAAGACACAAGGCAAACGGCACATTGCAAAAGGTACATGGGATTACTTTGCTTGGTTTTGTTTCTTGTTCTTTCACTTGTATTAAAGTCTTATGTTTAAAATAATTTAAGACAAAATGGAAATCATAAAATATATTCAGAGAATTCACGTATTGAGGATAATATTGATTGTGTATCCCTATTAGGTTTGTTCCCCAGTTATCTATGTTTTGTTATCTCATTGACCTTTGACCTTTCATGTCTGTCTATCACAGAAGAAGGTTCCTGTCTCGAGGGCTCCTGGTCTGTTATCCTCTGTCATGTCCCTAGTCTCCTCCTCTAGTCCTCTACCCACCATGCTGGAGCAACACAAGAAGGAGTTCCCTTGGCTTGCTTACTCCCTCATGTCAGCTGAGACAAGGTTCCTGCAGGAGAGTGGAGTGCTTCAGGTGGTCTCCCAGGAGCTCCATACCAACCCCTCAATGACCACTGACCAGGCTCTCAAGGTATGACAGCCTGTGTGATTCCAAAGCTTGCAATTAGAGCTAACTTGTATTGTATGCCTGGATCGTAATGAAGTGGTATGGCTCCTAAGACCAAGCCAGTTCCCTGACGTAATTATTCAGTCCATTAGTTATCTCCAGAGCTGATTATGTATATTATGAAATTGTTTGTAATGGTTTTTCTTTTCCTTCAGAGAGCAAACCAGCAGTTGAAGAGTAATTTCTTGGTGAACGTGAACCAGCTTCCTATCTACCGCTGGGCTCAGCTAGCCTTAGATACAGATATCACGCATCCTCTACTACCGGTTATATGGCAGATGTTTTTCACTCTCTATCTTGAACGAATGAAGGCACCAGGAGGGTAAGCTCTTTGTCTCCTAGAAGAATATTTAGAATTCTCTTGAAAATGTTCTTCCTCTACAATCAGTGAAATAACATGATCTTCATCTTTGATGTTAGCTGACAGGCTGCAAGCTCTAAATTAAGAGGGTTAGTTAATACACTGACTGAAAGCATGGAACGTTGTAAGACTGTAATCAAGCAATTTGAAAACAATAACAATAGATTATCACACAAACTATCTGTAAAATTAAATCTTATAACAAGCCTTTATACATGGTTTCAAGCCCATTAAAAAGTCTTTCCTGGTTTTCTGAATATCAGTGAGTTAAATGTTACATGGTTTCCATGCATTCTTTTGCTTGCAGCACGTTAGAGCGATTCAGCATAGGTCATCGCTATTTCCTATGCTTGAGTGATGTGACCTTCTTGAGGAAGCTGAAGCGGCACCTCTCAAGCATCGCAGACTACCATCACAATGCTAGCCAGGGTCACTACCCTCAAGGTCAGCCACCCAGGAGACACAAGATGACCTCACAGGTCAGCAAGGTGGAGGGGTCAACTCTAGAGGGAGCTGTTGGAGGAGCTGATGGAGAGGGTGGAGGAGTGGCTGATGGGAAGAGTTCTAAAGATGGAGAGGATTTTGAAGCTGTTGCTGACAAGGAGTTCCACACCAGGCTAATCAGGTAACTTAACATTATTTATATTTGGAAAATTCCCGATACAGTTTGGAAGAAAACAAATTAGATACTATGGCTGTCTTCATATTTTGAATATTAAGTTCTCTTGGTGATGCTCTTTCATGGTACATGTAGATCATCTGAATAGTTGTTGAAATATAGTCTGATTTCTTTCACTGTAGAAATTTCTGCCAGATCTTGCAAAATGTTTGGCAGTTAACCTAATTTGGTCTGTGTACTGTGTATATATGAACAAACATTGAAGGGCAGTTACATGGTACATTGTTACACCAATGAGCTGTAATTATTGTATGAAGTTTGTTATCATTCACTTATGTATAGGGTCATAAAATTCTACTGGTACTGAACATTTCATCCCAAATGTTAGAATATTGTGATATTTCTTTGTTCATCTTAGGCTGTATCAAACCTACCTCTTATGGCTTGAAGAATTCTTACTTCACGAAGCAAGTTTGTACCTACCTTCCTTACCGGAGCAGTACGACAGAGAGAAGCTAGCAAGGATATTCACTGGAGATGTGGTGGGTTTAAAAGATGTTGGCCAGAATTCATGAATTAAGTGTAATTTCAACCTCTGTGTAAACTAAAGTTTAAACATCCACCATGGATTTTGACAAATAAGTGTAAATAAGCATGTATTGCTCTCCCATTGGACATGAGAACTGAAGTGTAGTAATCTTATTAGGGTTTACACCATGGATTAAGAAAAACCTCCTTCATGAATATGTGCTGTTAACTTTGTATTTTAGAGATTTATTAAGTATTGAGTATGAAGAAGCATTTGTGTATAGCCTGCAGGAGCTTAAAGCAACCAATCAATTTTTATGTCCCAAATATAAGTCCCAAATAAAAATGAATAGATTTAGTTCCTTGAGAAGTGATAAGTCCAAAAGAATGCAATTTTCATGTAATGTAGGAAAGGTATTAATCCAACGTCCAACGAACCCCAAATTTGTTTATAATGATAAGTTTGAAAAGGATGTGACGATTTATTCCTTCTGTTTTTAACGTGCATACGCATTTAAAATATTCATTTGCCTCTTTCACTACCATAAAAGAGTAGTGTATTTGAAATCCTAACCATTTGCTTCTCTGTGTCTACCTTTAAATGTTATTTTGTTTTATATCCCGCATACTAAGAATCTTGCAATCCGATTGGTCTAAACGAGGTCACATGATAAAAGAAAAATAAGTACTATCTACCTGAGATAGTACTTTTGTAAAGTAATTTTTTGCTGCTACCCCACTTGCCCACCCTTGCCCATTGAATACGCATAGCAAAGTAGGTTACGCCAAATATCAAAGTCAATGTCAATGTCAAATGAGCGTGCATTGACTGTATTACATGTATGCATGTTGCGCTTTGTAAAATCTAGCTGAAGCTAAACTGTCTGCAGAATCAGTTCTTATTATCATGTAAAATTCACTTTAAATAGACCTTATTGCCGATGTGGGATATAAAACAAATATTAACCTCCTTTACTCGGGCAATGGATACAAATTATCATCGCCTCGGTGATCTTGGGGCTACCATCATCATGATAGTAGCCCCGAGATCACCTCTGCGATGATAGTTTGCACCATTACCCTCGTAGTCAATTAATATTTGCTTACTATTCAGGATCCTTGGATGGAGTATGTTGATTGGGATGGAGTAAGCTATGGAGTAGACAGACTGGTAACACAATGGTTGCAGGTTACAAGACCAACTATCTACAAGAATAATGGTCTTAGTGCTAGGGATCAAGAGATAGATGGTAACAACCACCACTCTCTCTCTCTCTCTCTCTCTCTCTCTCTCTCTCTCTCTCTCTGTAATCATGTATTTCTTATGAATCATCCAGTGCCCATACTGACTTTATGCAAAGTTGAAGAGGATTCCTTAAAATTTTAACAGCATTCTCTCTGCCATTTCGAGATTAACAAACATGTATTCAAAGCAACTGGTCATCAAAGTGGGATCTATCTGTGAGGAGAATGTTGGAATGTATAAAACTTATTGATATTTTTTGTTGGAGTTTACCATTCAATATTTTGATGTTGCCTTTCTGAGTTTATGCTATGATCTGAGGTCAAGCATCATGCATGTAGAGAATAAAAGATGACACTGGGTGGTATTCTCATAAGTTAAGCCGGGACTAAGTCCAGACTAAACAAGAATTTTAGTTCACACTTCTATGGAATGCTAGGTTTCATCTTCCTCCTTTAATATTCATGACAAAGATAATCTACCAAAGACTTTGTTAAAATTCAGTTCATACTCATATTATCTTTTTCTTCCCATTTCATTGCAAACTTAATTTTTTGGACACTTTTCATTGAAGGATTAAAATAATCTGTACACGGTAAATGAGTTGGTAACTGACACTCCATAAAAGTGTGGACTAACTTAGTACGCGCTAACTTAGTACGCGCTACCGGAATATCACCCATTAGCTTTAGAGCTATTAGGTTACTGTTCTATAAGCACATGTATTTACTGTTATTCACTATATACCTGTATGCATGTTTGAACATTGCACAGACACTCTTATCTTGCAATACTTCACATATTCCTTCTAGCTACAACACAGATCCTGCACCGTTTAGCCCAGTATGAGAAGCCCAAACCAGCTCCTACTGTCCAGGCCATCACGGCTCCAGTAGGAGACATACCAGAGAATCTCCTGGTGGATCATCAAGCCATGCTGGAGTTCATTGATGGAGATCTTCAAGAAATGCTCAGTTATGCCAAGTAAGAATGAATTGTAGCTGTGATTGCTTCAGAGTGCACTTACAACATGAAAAAATAACAATCTGCTAAATATATCAAAAGCATATAATCAATATTCAGGAATCTTAGTTATTACCTTTCTAGTTCTTGGTAGACAACAGTTGAACAATTAAAGGATTTTCTTAAACCTTCACTAAGCAAAACTGCTGTGAATATCAATAATGATTGAGTGAAATAGTCCAAATGTGTGTATGGACTTATTGATGTGCAGTAGTGTGAATAAGGTTCCGTAAGAGTTGACTTTGTTTCATCCTTTCGTTGTTGCAGCTCATTTTCAACGAGAGAAAGCTTTAACGTCGGTTTGGACCTGAGCTACATAGAGCTACTGCCTACACTATATCACAATTCTGAAATCCAGGTAAAGTCGCTGCTTCTATCGTTAACTCCCAATCACAATTTCTGCTGTATCATGCTGTGTGATAACATACTGCTTAAACATTTCCAATCAGTATCTTGACTTGTAAACATACACATTATTACCAGGCATACAAGTACATACAACATTATTGTTTGCATCCTTATAAAAAGTTCACCCATATGTACATGGAAAGACAGTGGCAGATGCTGTGTGCATAACTGCACATGTTCCACTTCCCTCAATAAAAAGGAATAATAATAATAATAGTGGGTTCTTGTATAGCGCTCATGTCAGTCAGATTTGACCCTCCTGGCGCTCCCGATTATTACCCTTTAAGAATGACTGTTTTGGTTTTGTTTTACTTGTTTTTTTATTTTAAAAATATTATTCATTAGTCCCCTCACCCAGGTATGAACAACCTTGACTGTTACCATCTAAAGAATTTACATGTCTATACAGAAAGGGAAAATTTAGCTGTACTCTCTTTTAATTGATATTGGAAATAGTCAGTCCGAACTTGTTTGTTTGAACCTTCACAGACGAGACTAGAGATCCCTTGTAAATCAGCCGTGTCTTCCAGACATCGTTGCTTGGGTCCAGCTAAGATTCTCATCAGGGTAAGTTAATATTATGTTTATGATACCACCCTGCATGTCCATGTGTAGGTCTACCTCATTCTAGTGGGTGGAAACAATGATTGCATCATTTATTGGCTTTTCTGACCATTCATCCAGAGTTTGTGACCCGGAGTGGTTAATCAATTGCAAATGAAATAAGAAATGTTGTATTTGTTGTAGTTACAATTTGGTGGATGTTCTTTGCCTTGCTTGTACCACTCTGCAGGTGTGTAGCATGTGTGGTTCTAAAGTAGATCGTCCTGTCTGGACACATATGTGTTGTCTGGTCAACATTTTGTTCATCAATGAACTTCCGTCCATATTTTGTGGTTAAGAGAATACTAAAGTGCTTATGTATACATTGCTTTATGTAGATAGATAGATAGATAAATGGTATTTATTGATTCATTTCCATGTATCGCAGTTACAAGTAACTGAATTGTGCATGAATAAAACATTGATGGTGAATACAATTATACATTTCAAGTGATATCACAGTAAAAAGTAACTGAATTGCACATGAGTAAATTGCTGGAAAAAAGCAAGTATACATTTCAAGATGTCACACTACAATCTACATAATTATGAAGAGCGTGTATATACTATATACCATTAATCTTATACAATATTTCAATTTTAAAATTTGAGTTAAAAAGAAAGAGAGATGGGAAAGCAGGAGAGAGAGAAAGAAAGAGAGAAAGAGAAAGAGAAAGAGAAAGAGAGAGAGAGAGAGAGAGAGGGGAGAAAGGGGGTAGATGGACAGAGAGGGAAAACAATTATGTACATGTTGATAAAATACAAAGATACATTGCAAGACAAATATGAATATTATAAGGTGAACATTAGAGATATTAAGATATAAATATAGATATGCATCGCATTCTTCATGTCATAAAAATTACATTGACTAACTTGACTAAAAAAATCAGACCTCAAATTTATGAATTAATTATATACTAAGGAATATGAAATTGTAATTTGTTTCAGAGTATATTAAATACAATCATAAAAAACTTTTGTTATACAAACGGATCAAATCTGGGATTGGGCTATTCTGCATACGTTTAGTTTTGCACCTGGGTTCAGGGATCTTGTTAGTTCTTCGCAAAGTTCTATTGTGTGCTCTTTGGGGTATAAATTGTTTGAACTGGTCTGTGCATGAAAGAGTTTTTTTAAAGAAGGTAACACATAAGTCATTTCGACGACTTTCCAATGTTTGTAATTTCGATTTAGTAAGAGCGTTTGCATAACTATGATAATCCTTTCCAAAGATAATCCTCAATGCACGTTTTTGTAATCTTTCTATGCGTTGTTTTTGTGCACTAGTGAGACCTCCGCTCCAAACTTGAGTAGCATATTCAAGGATTGGGCGAATATAGCCAATAAAAATAGTAATCAGATCTTCATGTGAAAGACCGAACTTCCCCAAAGAACGGAGCATATATAGTTTCGCATTCGCTCTTTTTTCAATATCTCTGACATGGGCTTCCCACGTCAGAGACTTGTACTATATCTGCTTCATCATGTAGAAACAAGAGGGTTTTTTTCTTCAGTAAAAACAAGAAAAGAATGTTATGTTCCCCAAAAGAAAAAGGTTTCCTCAATAAACATGCATGTGTATCCAAAGATAGAGGAGATTTAAGATGAATGTGGAAGTGACTTTTGAACACATTTCTCTTCATGGTTGTCATGATATGTTTTTCCTTGAGGACATTCTTAAGCATGTTAATTCTTAGTATTTCTTTTGAATGTGTGTACTACTGTCCATGCATATTAAATCATTTCCATGACTGTGTACTGATACAGCACCAGGAATGCAAGGTAAGTGATGCAGTCAAGAGGAAGCTGGATGAGAACAGAACTGAATACAAGCAGCTATCAATAGAAACAGAATCACCGCCCCCTCCTGTCATCTGCTCTGCTGCTGTCCATATAGAGAATGCCATCACGTGAGTCTCTCATGCTAGAATTGACATGATCAAGGGTTACAGTCTATCAAAAAGGTTTTCTCTGTGTGATAAGGTCTATAATCATGTTTGATTTGTAGAATTAAAAAAAAGTGTTTTGAAATAATTTTGGGGAATACCGGTATGTAAATACTATGAGGCAGAATGTTGATTAATGACAATTATTATGAATCTGCTGACCAGGATGGCATTATTTCCACTAAAAAAGGAGATGACTTGAGGGCCCTCTACTTCTCAGAAGACAATATCACACATATTCTGTATGTCAGAGCTTCATAAATATTGTGTAAAAGGATTTGGGAACTTAATGTAGTTTTGATGTTTAAGTCGTAATTTGCATGAGTAACATTGTCATAAACTGTCAACACACTCAACTCTTGTTTTTGTCCTTATTATCCAGTGACTTGATCAACGTGAGTCGTGAATCAATGGGGGAAGAGAGGGTGGCCATCAACCAGGTGGGTGTGGCTCTTCTATATCACCTTGCCAACAAGATGAATGATGACTGCAGGCATTACCCTCCTACCAGGCAGTTCTTCACATCATGTATTGAGATCTTAGGACAGGTAACATTGAGCAGTCATGCCAATCATTGGTGAAGATATGGATTCATGTTTGGAAGAAGTTTATGTTGATGATGACAGTTATGACATTGAGGCGTGTTTGATGATGATGATGATGATATTGATAATCATAAGCATAATCATAACAAAAACAATAACAATACTGATGATGATCGTGATATAATTAAGATAATATGATGATAATGAATGTTTATAATGAGAATGATTTTTGTGATGCTGATAGTAGGAGTGATGGTGATGATTGCATCTTTTATGATTATGCTGATAGTAATAAAGATGAGGAAGGTGATGATGATGATAATGATGATGATGATGATAATAACCATGACCATGATGATATTAAAATTTTAATTAACAAATAGAATATAAAATATTTTTGCTCTTTCTCGTACTTATCAGGAATTTGTGAGACCGTATCCTGAAGAAGCGCAAACACTCCTTCATGAGATTCTGACCAATCACAAACTTGCCGGTGTGTTGGCACCAAACTTTGTACCTTGCAACTGTCCTTCAACCTTTGTTCATATGTACACAGAGGTAGTAAGGGCTACTGCTAACGACATGCAGGACCTGGCTTTCATGTTGCTCACTAAGGTACATTGATAAACTTGTTCATTCCCTTTACCAAAATACATTTCACATATATTATTTGCAATCAAATCGAATCAAATGATATACATGATTATAGGATTTTCTACTAGTGTGCTACTAAAATTTAATTTTAAACTTTCAAGAATGAAACTTTAACATTTTCTAAATGCAATTTCACTTTCCTCAAAATACAATTAAAGAAAACGGAGTAGGATCATTGTGGTGTGCTTGTCCAACTGAAAAATATAATTTCATGGTTAGCCACTTATCTATTTCTAACAGCAATACATTTACAGTTATGATTTTCACATCATCATGAATATGCTGTCTTCTCTCAATGTTAATATATTCTTGTAATCTTTCCTCTCTCTCTGTCTGTATCAAATATTACAATGTCTGTTTGACTAGTATTATTGGGAACGAAGAAGTACATATGAATAAAGATGATCTGAGAAAGGCAAGGTGGATGAACTGGGCTTATTTCTGTATGTATATGATTGCACATGCAAGCTAACAAGTATTCACAATACTGTCTAACAAAGTAAAACCTTGATTATTCCATCCATATACCTGGTAATTTTATATTCTAATGAATTTTCTTGTATCCTATGGTATTCAGTTTGACATTGGTCATTGGTTAAAGCAGCACCACCCGACTCACTCTACCTGCTCTCATCTGATCACCACCATTGGTGAGGCCTTGACTGCCTGTGGGTTAGGGGAGGAGACAGACTCTAGACCCCTCCCTCACTATGAGGTCTACCGCTCACATCTACAGACCGTCTTCCTCTATAACTTCCCTCAGCATTATGCAGATGTCATGCACATAGTCATCAAAGGTATGTACACTCTGACATATACATGTCCATTTTGTTTCAGTTTTGTTTGTGAGAGGTGATATCTTGATTCCAAACCAATGTCATGTATTACACTCAGTATTCACATAAGTTACAGATATGGCATTGTTTAAACTGAGATCTTTCTTATGTAAAATAAATTCATTTCAATCTTAAGCTTTTTTGCTCCTTGCACAAACACATTCGGTACTTGAAATGCAATCTACAGTAAAGTTATTTGATATTTTACAGTAAATGCTAAACCTTCTCATGATGTTTCAGAGTTTCAGAGTTCTTTGATACTGAAGCATAAAGCACTCTAACAAAGTGAGGAATCATTTACTTTTCTGACATTCAAATTTTTTGCGAACAACCTGTAATTTGTGTATCACAACATGTATTTCACAACATGTATCTTAAAGCATTAGCAACTGCTATGGAAATGACAGAAATTATAATTGTATATCATGCAAAAGGTTTCACAGGCTGTCGATATAATAATAATAATAATAATATTTAATTTTTATATCCTTTCTTACCCTCTTCACAGGTATGGAAGAGAAGAGTCTGAAGCTGAAAGTGCTTGAGGATGTGTTGAAGACACTAGACTGTCCTGTACTACCAGACTTTGGGGATATAGGACAGAAGCAGGTGGAGAAGCTTGTACAAGAGGAAACACTCATCTCACTCAATGAAGTAAGCCATGCCGGTCTACATGACTAAAATGGAACAAGCTTTTTGTGTGTGGATGATAGATTTGAGCTAAGATTAAGGTTTACACAATTATAATTGTTTTTAAATATTATGTCAAAGAAATATTTGTATAATTCTATCCTTAGACACATTTGTAATTATATTGTTCTGCCTTTTATACAGACATGCTTCAGTTGATTGTGATTATTCATGTCTGTAACAATCCTTTTATATATTCATGCAACATATAACTCAACTAGTTTCAAACCAGGGACCCTGGGTATAGGAACATGCTTCACATACAAACCTGTAATCCATTAGCTCTGGGAACCGGGTGGTCCCTGTATTGCACCTATAGAATTCAGTAGTCAACAATTTAATTTGTTTTCTTATTTTTAGTAGCAAAGGGCAACCTTTATTACAAATATCTGTTTTTGTTCTTCCTACTTGAGTATAAATCTTTTTTTCCCCAATGTAGTAATTGTATGTCAATTTTGTTGTTGTTTTTTTTTAAATCAGGTCTGATCACTTAAAGGGGAATGAACTTAAAACATCACCATTCAAAATTAATGCTACTGTCAGGATTGAACTCTTGTCATTATATGTGCAGTTTAAATAGTCAACCACTAGCTCATTTCATATTGTCCTACGTTGATAATGCTTTTCATTTCATTTCTTGATATAGCTTGTACAAAGCCTGGAATGGATGGGTAATTACTTCTCCCGTCAGAGACATAGCAAGCAGGAGCTGCTTCAGTTTGGCTTGTACAGTCATTGGAAAGATTTCATGCCAGCACTCTCTAGTTTCCTGGGATATCTTGCTCTCAACTGTGTCCTGAAGGAAGCAAAGAGGCTGCAGGAGACTAATAGGAATATAGAAATAGGTATTGATCATCTCACCCTACTTTTTGTAATGAAATCAATCGTGGTACAGGGAATACTGCATTGTGTCTGTAGTTGCAACTTTTATTATTTCTTTTAGGCGGCCTCACAAACCAGTTTAACAGTGTTTTATTTTCATTACTCTTATATATATTCCCAATATCTTCTCTTGTACCAAGTCTCATTGTATGCATTGCCATGTATTTCTTAGCAGCTGCTGCTTTCCAGTCTCTGTCTATATTTCTCTTTTTATTAAACTATGTTGTGTATTACATGTATTATACAATTTATGATTGTGTAAAGTAATGAAAGTTAACCCATTACCAATATACATTAGCAAACCAATCATCCCAAAATCACTACCAGACTCAAATCAATCTACTCTCTTAAGTCACAAATTAAGATTCACAACAGCATTCTGTACATTTTTAGGCAAATTATATTCAAATGAAATACATCATAACCCAATAGCAAATAGGATTTAAAAGTAAAGCTGAATACAAATGAAAAGAGAACCAATGAAAGGTAAGAAGTGGATATGCCTGATGCATCGGATGATTATGACCCCATGAACAATGAATAGGAAGAGAACAAAGGAACATACCAGGTGAGATGGAAGACTTTAGTATGCAGTGAGGAGATGAATGGAAGAAGGAATTGGGTTGAGTCATTCATTGTAAATGAATATGTAAGTGAATAAGCATATGATATGAGAGGAATATGTATCTTGGGAGAAGAAACCAAAGACACAATTTTTAATTGCAAAAAATTCAAATATACAAGGAGTCCAATATTAACTCTTACAATTATTAGAAGTTTTTTTCACTTTTGTAATAATCTCTCTTCAGTGTTATTTTCGGTCATCATTTAAGAAACAGCACTTTAGTAAAGGTACAATGTTCTATCTACATGTATTCTGATTGGTTCCCCTAAACATTGTTGTTGATGTACAGGTATTAAGAAGCTTTGGGATCTAGTTCTTTCTTTCTTTGCTCCGTGGGTTGGACCAGCAGAGGCTGCTTTACCAGCCAAGTAAGTGAAACACGTATGGACAGGTCAGGGAGCATGATACAAAATAGCTACATATTTTATTCATTAATATAACATGTGGATGGATAGAACAGGCCTTAAATTTCGTCATTTTTAGGGCAAGGCCAGTTTGGCCTTGAGTACCTCATATTTTTAAGGGCACCAAGGCCAAAATATTTTTACAAAAAGGGCATCGAGGCCAAAATATTTTACAAAAAGGGCATCGAGTATGAGGCCAAAAAAATTGATTCTATTTTTGTTAGATGTCATGTGTATTTTATGAAACTTGTGCGGGATCAATTTCCCATGACTTTAGCACCAGCTTCTTCACAGAATGTATAGAGGTCTACGGTACATACAAACAAGGCGGCGGCCCGCAAGCCTTAGATTTAGCAGCCAGGAGCAAGGGGCATTTTTTTTTTAAGTTGCCCTTTGCCACGGGAATTTACCAGAGCAAGGGGCAATTTTCCAAAAACAGATAGGCCCCTTATCTAATCATAAGTTCAAAGAGAGTCTACAAATGTTAATTTCATAATGTGAATAGATCGAACGATCAATTTAATAACTTTTTAATCTTAACAATATGAACAGGAAAAATTGATTAAGGAAATCAAACTTGCACATTAAACAGTATTTTAAAGTAACTAAAAATATTGATGAGCAAATGAATAAATAAATTGTCAATTTCACAAACATCGAAAGTCAGAAGGACTTGGCAAGTTTACCGGGCCGGGTATCCCAAATCAAAATCGCACCTCACACACAAACCTTCCGCCACTCTCTCGGTAGTAGGAGCAAATTTGAAGAAATTATCTTTTTAACTGTTGTATAGAAAGGTCTAGATAGGCCTAACTAATGAAATAAGATGTAAAAATGTCCTTATAGACATTCGACAGCTGAAAGTGACACGCTCAGCTCAGTTGCGTAACGTGCATTCACGAAACCAAAATCGTTCCTCGCACACACACTCTCGCCACTTTTGGTGGGAAGCTGTCGGGCTGGAAGTTTGCCAGCGAAACCGATGCACCCTCGGAATTTTACCGGGACTCGAAACGTTCGTCTTGGGAAGCTGGCGGGGTAGCTTTTTGAAGCGAGGTCGGCTGGTGGCAAAATGAGAGTAACTACGATCGAGAACATCGTAGGTGTTCTTAACTTATTAATAAGATAATTCTAAATTCTATTTGAGATAAAATAATAAACTAGACCTACAAACAAACCTCGACAGATCTCTAATGACTATTTGAATGCTTGTTTATTTCTCCATTTGACGATTTGTTTTCTTGATCCTGGCCGGCCTGGCCTTCGATTTGTACGTACGCACGTGCGTGCGTCAACAGCATGCACCATATGCATATCATGCGATCGCATGAACGTACGTGCGCTAGCGCATTGCCTATATAATAACAAAGGGCGCATTTTCACGGCACTTACGCCTTATTAAAGCACTAAATACGAAGCTAGAAGAGAGCTCGTGGGCGGCAAACTGTTCGTGATTCGTGTATTTTTACTGTTCTAATAATTTATGGGCGCATTTTCACGGAAAACACTTGCGCCTTGCCGTCTAGTTTTAGATGATTATGGGCGCAATTGGTGGTTTTATGTGCGCAAATTTTTAAAAAAAAGGGCACGTCGAGTTGGAAAAAAAGGCACGTCGGCCAGTTTGAAAAAAAGGGCACGGCCTTTTTGGCCGTGAATTTATCTTTTTTTGGGAGGGCACCGCGGCCAGTCATAGGGGCATCGACGGCCTGGCCGTCGATGGCCGTCGATTAATTTAAGGCCTGATAGAAGTATAAGCTCTCAGTAGCTATCAAAGGGACTCAAAGTCTCCATCTAGTCATATTTGTTTTAAAAAACACCAAGAAAGGGCAGATTCCAACAATAAAATGGAAAGAAAAGAAAATTTACCAAAATTTTGTTAATCCAAGTCGGTATTCTTCATTGTCAAAGTTTGGTTGTTTTAATGACAATGATCAAATGCAATGATTAAAACTTTTCTTCCCGTCATCTTTATTTCTAGCACCAGTTCCTGATATATTATCCCTACAACAATAAATAAAATTCCTAAGTACTGGTACAAGTTTTTAGATGCCTGCATTGTGTCCACTGTGACAATGTTTAATGTAACATATATTAATGTAAGATATTTGGATATATTTTGAAGGCCTGGACAGTTTGAAGTTCTACCAGCCTGGTCAGAGGGAGACGTGGAAAGTGCCTTGGTCATGGTTACACTCTTTGCTGAGACAACCAGTTTCATGCAAGCTCTCTTCCATAGTAAGTCAAAAATAGTTTGTTGTTTAAACTTAATACCATTTATATACCTCACTTAAGTAATCCAGCAATCTGATTGGTCGAAATTGCATTCATAAACTTTAACTGTTCCCGAAAATTCCCGGTAACCATGGTTAAAAAACAGTTCAAAATCCCAATAACCATGGTTATTGGGAAAATAGGTCAGTCTCCATGGTTACCCCATAGGTTTACATGTTAAAAAATGGTCTGAGCGATTGAGGATACCGTACGTGTGCGAAGAATTGGTCGGTAATTTCAATACAATTGAATCTCGATCGATCTTACCGACAATTTTATCTTGCATTGTTGACATGAAGACGAAAATAAACTTCCAAAAACAAAAAAACAACATCTGCCGATAGATCTTGATCTAAGTTCGTGCCAATATGCATTGCAAAAGTAAAAGAAGGGCCCGTTTAATGGAGCAGCAGCGAAGCATCGACCACGCGAAGCCGTTTTCAATTCATTTTAATGTATATATTAAAGAAAACTACTGTACATGGTGACATAGCGCGCTGGCCGAGCGGTTTGAGGCGCTGACTTTAGTAACATCACCTTTGGTACGCAAGAGTTCGAATCCCATCTTCGACAAAGGTTTTTTTTTTTTTTTTTCTTTTTTTTTTGGCATATAAAAGTATTAATGACTGCTTTAATATTCGAGAAATAGTTGTTTTTATACGCTCTCGGGAAGGTTACAATTGGGCTATTCCCCTCGGCACGCCTCGGGTAATAGCACAATTCTAACCTTCCCTTGAGCGTATAAAAACAACTATTTCTCTCAAAGCAGTCATTAATACTATAATATAATGAGATTGGTGGACTATTTATGTGTGTTTTGTTGGGAGTTAGACGCAGGTGTATTTAATGATTAACCACCAACTGGAAAAGAATATATTGGGGGAAATAAGCAATGTAAAAAGAGTGTGTTTATTCAAACTCTTGTTGAATCAAACCATTTATCTAAATATTAAAGATACTTTCAGTATCAGTATCTTCCATTGTCTTTAACTTTTGTGTGACTGTGTTTGACATGTACCTCTGAAAGAGATACAAAAGATTCAGAAAGTCAGCAGATCTATTTGCTTACCATCAGAAACTTATAGAAGTAAAACAAAATATTTTGTGTTTAGAATGTTATCACAGAGCAATCATGAAACCTCACAAGCTACTATTGTTTGATGTAGGTATCTCTAACTAAAACACTTGACAATTCCAATGAAAACTATTAGAGGATAACGTTTGATTTGTCTGTTTTGACTGCAGATGCCCAGCAGCCAGCGACTACCAATATCTTATCAATGTTCTGGTCCTACTATGTGCGCTCTTTGGCCAAGAAGGGAGTGAGAGAGGACATCCTGTATGCCTATCACCGGGCCATGGCTGGCCTCCCCTGGGCTGAGTTCTATCCTGATGTCTACTGTATGGAATCCATGATCAAGGTTGGTTTGACATCCTCTCAAATGTGATACAATAGAACAATGTATGATGGATGCTACAGAAAGTGTGTGTGTGTGTGTATGTTGTTACATGTGTTTTGGTTTTCTATGGAGGGTTTTTGATGGAGGGTTTTTGATGATTTTAGGACTAAGAAAAAAGATCATAATGTGGCAAAACAAAGATGTTTCTGTGGCAAATGGAGAGAAACTAAGCATCCCTACATTAGAGATGTTCTTATGATAGCATTACGTGCAATATGCCCGTACTTTAGCTGCACATTCATGTACACATTATACAACCTACATGTACATGTTTAATCATATGATAGATTAGTTGTACTGTAGCTACTATTATCTAATTTCAATTATTCTTACTAGATGTATGAGGCTGGTCTGGAAAGCTGTCTTCTCTTCTTAGCATCCATCTTCCATCGCATCCAATGGACCGGTATCTTGGAGTGCATCATCGCTAGGGGTGACCTGCAGACAGCTAATCAGTTCCTCTCAGCATTGCTCAGTATGCTCATCATCTTCGGCAACTCTGTTCCCATCATGCATTCACAGGTTAGTAAATGAGGGAATAAATATTCATGTTTGAGTGAAGTGTACAAAATGTTCATGGTTGAATCGCATCCTTAAAGTTTCTCCTCATGATTTCAGGTGTAAAATTGTTGTGGCTTGTTGTAAAATTATTATGAGCAGTGGTGATGGAACATTTTCCTAGGGGAGGGGGGAGGAGGTAGGGGTGAGCAAAGAAGGGCACTTTTCTTTTATAGACAGGTGCACTTCTGAATGTTTCATGTGAGACACATAAATGTATAGGCTCACTTCCATAGCCCCACACCTACCTATCTTTGTTTGTAATATTCCCAGGGAAGCAGTATCAAAGTGCTTGTTGCAGAAGCACATCAGTTTCCATGGTACCTGCTAGACGAGAGCTGCTATCATAGCGCTACCATGTGGCAGCTAAAGAAGAGTAATTCACGCTCTGTGTTGGAGGAGCTTTCTGCTGGTTCAATTCTTAGGTAAGTTGCAATGTCAATGGACATATTATAAAGACTAAATCATATGTCATTGGGTCCATTCTGTAGCATAATTGTGTAGATTTGAGGGAAAAGTTGTAACCATTTTTATGTAGTAATAATGCCCACAGCAAATCATTTTTAAAACAAAATTTCAGAGTCAAGAGTAAAAAAAAACGACATGAAATGAATGCAATATATATACATCGTACATCTCTATGTATGTACATGTATGTGTGTTTTAAAAGTTGAGTTTAAAATTTAAAAAAAACAAAAAGATAGATGGTTGTAAATATGCAAGCATTTTTCACTCTACTTATTTGATATGAGGCGAGCCATTAATTATTCTTTTGAAAAAGAAAAAAAAATCTCTTTCAAGATACCTTTGCAAGTAACTTATCCAGATTTTCAAAATGCGAGAAAATGATTATTAAAGTGTCATGGCTCTTTGTTTGTAAAATCCGATTGCAAAACTTTCAGTTCAGGAAAAATGGCTGGTTTTACAGTTTTCATTCAAATATTAAATGGTTACTCAAACAAGTAGCAGGAGTTCGGTATATATTGATAGGTTTGTATCTGTTTTTCATCTATTTGTTATTCCTTGTAGCTTGATGCGAGCAGTAGCTGGAGTCGGTAGCACAGAGGCATCAAACCCTCGCCTTGCATCCAAACAAGCTGCTTACATAGGATTAGTGGTTGGTCTCATGTGTCAATGCTCACAGAACAGAGAGGTCAGAGCTGAACAGTTCACTACCCCACTACATGGTCTACTCTATGATATCACTCTCATATCATCATCAGGTATGTTAGATTTGGAGAGAATGAGGGAGAGTGAGAGGGTAAGAGTTGAGGGTAGTTTGCAGACACAAACCCTGGTCAGTCCTAAAAGAGAGTCTGCACTGTAAGGCTATCATAGGCCATGTACTATAGCTGCTCCTGACACAACCAGTAGGTAGCTGGACTAGGCTTCTCTCAAGGCACAATGATTTTTTTTTGATAAAGTGTCAAATTAGGGTCTGTGCTTGCAGACTAGTTTGAGGGTGGGGTGGTCTAGGGTTGGGATGGGGTGAAGAGAACAGTAAGGTCAGAGCAGAACAGTTTTCTACCCCACTACATGGTCTACTCTATGAGGTCACCATCATATCATCATCAGGTACAATGTGTAAGAGAGGGTGAGGGAGTCTTGTGATAGAGAGGTTGAAACAGAACAATCCATGAGTTGACTTCACAGTCTGCATTTGATGGCACTTTTCTATCTTCTGCAGAAGAGGGCTGGTTAAGTGGTTCTGGCATTTGAGATGGTCTTGTTTTTTCAATTCTCTAAGAATAAAGAATAAAGATTGTAATCTTTCTAATGAATTAACTGTTCTTGATTGCTCTTCAGCTGGTCCTAGTGTTGAATCCTCGACCCACCTATCATCTCTCCTCACCACCGTGCTATCTCTCCTCAACGGCTGCTCGCCCATCACTGGTGCTCCGGATTCCATTGTGAGAGGTCTTACAGCATGGCTAGCTACCTGTGCTAATAGTAACCTAGTACTGCAAATCATCTCAGTAGCATGTAACACACTAGCGTCTACCAAGCACATGGCCGTTATCATTGAGGCTTGCATCGATTCCTACTTTGCAACTGGTATGCCTATTTCAAATTCATCTTTGCTTGAGATTGTTTCAAGTTTCTTTAAGTATTAGACATACCGGTAATGATTTTATCAAAATAAATGTATAGTACATATTTATATATACATTATTCAGTTTGTTCAATTTATTCCATTAGTAATGGATTAATATATACTTGAACAAGAAGGCTAGATCCATTTCTACCATCTTGTTTCTCCTATCCAGTCAAACCCCCACCCAACGATACCACTCATGGTTGGGCCGGTGTAGTATCAGTTCTTCAGATACCTCAGCTGTCTCATGATGAGTTCCTTGGTCAATGCTTAGAGGGCGGTGCATACCTAACTCTGTTTGCATACCTAGCACAGAAGCTACCTCAGTGCAGGAGTCTAGAGGAAGAGACAGCCATCCATACCAAGCTCATAGACTGGTGTATCAACTGCACACCAAGGTGAAGAGATTACTCTTAATTAGGAATAATTTACTGAATTAGATCAGGACAAGCTGCACTGCCCATTGATGCATTTTTGGATCATTATCATGAACAAATATTTTCACAATGTACATATTTACAAAATCTATGGCTAATGCGAGAATATGTGTTCAGGCTCAGTCTTTAAGTATGGACCCCCAAAATAATGCATATGAACCGAATTAAATAGAGCACATATTATACATGCTGCTGTCTACCAGAGAATTTAATGCGATTCAATTTTGTTAGTAGTAACCTGTAGGAGAAAATGTAATTTCTGTGTAGCATGAATTTTTAGTGATTATCTTTCTGAGTTACAGTGTATTTGGGGCTTGAGTTTTGAGTGATTACACTTATCCAGTCATTAGAGACTGTAACCTGATAAACTCTCTCCATCTTTTCTGTTAGTCGTGAGAATGAGTACAAAGTGCTGCTGTGGTGGTACAAGGCTATGGAGCTGACAGTGCGGATGATCAACTTTGGAGCCCCTGAGAGTAACCTGTCTCGCTCTCTCAATAACCTAGCTCCTGCCATCATGGCCCTCGGAGAAGATAGGAGGTCAGCAGGTATCCTGGGAGCATTGGGCTTCGGTAAACATTCACAACTCTCATTCAGGTAAAAAGACAATCAGGATAAGAGTATAATACTTTCTTAAGTGGCAGCCACCAAAACACTGAAATATATTACGTTATGTATGTGTGGGCTAGGAGTAGCTTATATTCCTTCTGAAACGGAAATAGTTATATGCATTATGAATATCTGTTACCAGTGAAATTTTTCCAAATTAAATTTAAATCAAAATTTAAATGAGTGATTAATGCTCATTATTAATACATTGTGGCTTATATTTAGAATTTTACATGAACTAAAAACAATTTCTTTGGTATTGTCAAGAATAAGAACTGCATCAATGTTATCCATGCTCATGACAGATCAAAGGCTGTAGAAAATTCAGATAATTGAGAATTATGAAAGCATTGAAGTTTATAACGAGTGTTCTAAAAATGTATGAATGCAGTAGAACTGAGTAGAGTGAGATTGTTTTTATCCTATATACTTGTTGCTTTACAGGTTTCGCCTAGCAGCAAGAAGTCTTGCAGTCTTCATCATGGCTCAGCTGCCAAAGGAAGGTATCCGCATGGTAGCCAACGCACCTGGAGCCCTGGTCTACCCCAGCACAACGCGCTCTACACGAGGCTCCAGCGGGAGCATCCAGCAAGGTATGAAGCTCCTGGACAGTGCCCTGGAGAACAGGAGCTACATGGATCTGAAGGCAATCACAGAGTATGTAAGGAGGTTCATTCTAGATGACCATCATTGTTTGCCCGATGGTGCATCCTTTACATCGTATCTAGCCTCAAACCTGTTCCCTGAGAGAGCTTGTCTGAATGTTGTTTGTCAAAGGAACGCCAATGTTACATCCTAATAGGTTATCTTCAGTCAAACCTGTCTATAAAGGCCATCCAAGGGAAACAGATAAGAGAAAGTAGCTGCTGTGGACAGGTGCTCTTTGTAGACAGGTTCTACAGCACACACCCTAAAGGGAGAGAGTGTAGGTGGCCACTTTAGACTAATGGCATTTCTCAAGAGGTGGCAACTAAGACAAGTTTAACGGTATGTAGAGGATTTAAGAAGGTTTAATCATGATGCAGTTAATTCTTCTCCGTGTGCATGTCAATTTAACTCTCATATCTCATATAGCTTTGGATTGAAAAGACTTAGCCAAAGATAAAAAAAAAACTACTGTATGACCAAAGTTTCATCCCTTCAATCACGACATGACTGTCTCACATATCCTTTGAGGTGGCAGAGAGATTCCTTAAACTAGTACTCCCACTTTCAAGTCATTATTTCTAGAGAGAGAGAGAGAGAGAGAGAGAGAGAGAGAGAGAGAGAGAGAGAGAGAGAGAGTATACAGTGCAAGCCCCTTATTAGTATTCTACCCATATACAGAATGTACAATATACTTGTAGATATGAACAGAGTTTTTGATACATTGTCACATCATGTTTTGATTCTTCTTGGGTTTTACTATACAGACAATTCGACTTGTATCATTTAGTTCCCCATTATGATGAGGGTCATAGATTGATGTGGATCTGTCATTCTCCAGCAGTATATTCAAAATGGCATTTAATCATTTAATATAGGTTACTAAAATGACTGGAGAATATTACATACCGGTAACTTGTAGTTTAATGTATACATATACTCTATTGAATACCATGATGTTGCCTATACATTATAGAATGGGTATACATGTATGTATAGACAAAATCAGAGAACTACCCATTTTTTCACAACTCAATATTACACAATCTACATTTAGGGGTAAAAGGAATGGTTTTTCCCTGCAAAATTTAAAATGAGGAGCTTCTGCATATCATGATTCTGCATATTTTTCTAGTACACATGATTATGTCCTGTTTTAAAGTTTTGAAAGCTCCAAGGGTTTATATTTCAACTGTGAAACATGACTAGCTCTCATTTTTAAAAGAATATGCAATAGGTAGAACATGTAGAGGTAGACTATGTATCAAATGCTTTGAACTTTTCCTTGACTCTGAAATATTTGTTCATTCAGGCTTTTTTTTTTTAATTCACGTAAAACTGAAGAACCATCACAATCATTATTATTCAGCATTAGCTAACATTATGTGGGAGCTAATATTTGGCTTATCAGTATGCATCAATGTTTACTCATTCTGCAATTGATGATGTCAAGATACCATTATTGTATAGAAATCATAGATTTTATGATTTCCTGATTGATATTCGTTGATGTAAACATTACTATAATACATGTAGAGAGATAAATCTATACTTTACTGAACAAACAGGTACATGTACATGTATGGTAAAATTACTGAACATTTTTATTTGTGCTGTATATTGAAAGGGTTTTTGTTTACATTAGAATGTATATTTATCATGACAGAACATTTTATATGTATTGATTTGAATTTGAGTATTTTCCTACCTTTTATTTTTGAATAGTTGTATACCTTTCTCGTTGCATTTGATCAAATATTCAAGAGTGTACTTTGGTAATGGACATGTATTATTGTTATAGCCCTTGTATTTTATTTCATTTGGACTTATACACAGTACCATGTTATACATGCTGAGATCAATCATAGCATTTTAGGGATTTTGTATGTTACAAATGTCCACCATTATTTTTGTAACTTCTTTTCTGTTCTTCCAATTTTAGCTTCCATTACCTTAGGTCTACATAGTGTTTGAATCTATCAATTTGTATTACAAATTATTAAAATGCATATGGATATTGTCAGTTATCACAAACATTAAGACCCCGTTCTCACTCACTTTGAAAGTGGTCTTAGTTAGACCGCTCCAGACCGCTCCAGAGGAACGGGTCTTGAGGAACGGTTTGCGAGCGTTCACACTCCGAGCAGTTTTTATGGCTCAAACCGCTCCACGAGTCAAAGTGGTCTTGTTGCTATGGCAGCTCAGGTAGGCGGGTCAATTTTTTCGCGCGCGAAATCCAAACTGTATGTACCGTACTACATGTTTCGCACCGAAGGTCACTAGCTCACTTCCGTTAAAAGTACGCTTTCCGTTCACATTGCACGTTAGAGCGCTCTGGAGCGCTCTTAATAAGACCCGCTCCTCAAGACCACCTCGGAAGGTGGACTTCTGGAGCGGTCCAGAAGTCCGCTTCCTGGACCACTTTGAGCGTTCTCACTCACCTAAGAACCGCTCCTGAGGAGCGGGTCTTAGTTAGAGCGCTCCAGAGCGCTCCAACGAAGTGAGTGAGAACGGGGTCTAAAGCTGTACTCAGCATGCAGAGCTGATTATTATGTCTCCTTGACATACATGAAAACAGTAATTCAATCAGACAGTATATAACAGGTAAACAGGAGTTCCAGAATGATACATGTAGCTTTTATTATGAGAAAAGTGGAATTTAAAGAAATTATTTGATGGCACTAAAACGGGAGGCATGGCAACTTAGTTGGAGGGCTGTAGACTTGTAACTGGGTGTCATGTATTTCAAATCAATGTGATGTACATGTACTAGTCCCTTTCTTGAGGCATTTATCCTGTAAATCCCTTTGATAGCCAAAGATCTTCTATGTGCTTTAAGATATATTTGCCTTTTAAGTATATCTGTAAAGTGCTTAGAGATGTCTGAGATGTATTAAGCGCTATATAAAAGCTGCATATTATTATTATTATTATTAAGTAGTCCAATCAAATAAAGATATAATCATATGCAGGTATTATAAGCCAAGGACCTGGGTGTCAGAGAATGATATGTTTTGTATGGTTTGAGAGTTTCTTGTGTAAGAAAAGTGTCGCACACAACAAACTACAATTAGATGTTGTAGCTTGCCAAAAGTTGCAACTGTAAGTTCATATGTATTTCACAGACGGGGAGCATACTGCATTATGTACCAGTATCTCTTCAAGTAACCAAGCAAGATTTCACAAACATCTGTTATTTTTGACAATATAGCTTTACACATTCAGAGAATTCCTCCTCAATAGTACATGGATTTTCTTACATTCAGACATTTTACTTTTCAAGCTCATCCTTCGACTGAATTTGTATTGTCATAATATGTTAATATATATTCAGGTTATATGTACATTCAGCTGAGCAGAAGACAGAGAAAATTGGAAGACAATTTTGCATGTGTGTACATGTTCACAAATTTGTTTTTGAATATGCAAATGACCTCTGTCATATATCAAAGACATATAGTGACTATAATTGATCTGCTTTCAATTTTTAATTTTTGACTTATAATTTATTATGCTATTATCAAACTAATAACATTATGAATTTATAAGCCTTTGATTGTAGCTAAAAACAAATAAGTTACAATTTTTGTTGGATTTACATGCAATTTATGAATATACATGTACATGTATGTAAACAGTACTGATAATATAGTGCAAGGTAATTGCATGTAGTTTTCTGCTATTCTGTGTATGTCACACGTTCTCTTTCTTCCTTTTGAATGCATTCCTTGTGCAATAGGAGTTAGGAATGCATTAAACTCTTGTATAATCAATAAATTTATGTTTCAGTGGAAGCTTGTACAAATGAATAAAGACAGATTTATATGATAACAAGATAATAATGGGATTCTGCTGCCTTTCTTCAACTTGAGATACAATTGTGTGATAATTTCAAAGCAAGAATTCTTAATGAGTTTTGATCAAGCTCAAAATAATTTTAAAGCTCTTAACTGCATCAGTGTTCAAAATGGAATGTGTGTTAATGACAGTACCTTTAAAGCCTATCCACCGCACACTCACCCGACCTGACTCCATGTACCATCTGATTCTGGAAGAATTTGCAACAACATTCTACATGAACATTCCAACATATAAAATCTTCATATCCAAGTTTGGAATGCCTATATTAATGAAGAAATTTTGTGGGTAACAATGTCGGGGGACACAGCAAGCTTCCTTGAGGGAGAAAAAGTCTAATCGGATCAGAATTGGAGTGATGTCATTCAGTTGTGCCATCCTCTACAATTTGAAGCAGGTTTTGCTGTTACACCAACTAAAAGACTTATTTTGACTAACATTTTGATTGTTAGTATTCACATCATTATTCAAAAGCTGAACAAGGAAGATAACATTGTTTATATTTTCATATCAAATGCAACTGTACTTTCCTTAAACTCAGAACACATCATGAATATAAGAAAGAGAATCCTGTATAAAAACAACACACATATTGGGCAATTCATTTCGGAAATAATTTATTGCAAAATCAAATCTTGCTTTCACATAAGACATAATTACAAGAGAATTCAAAATTTGTTGCATCTTAAAAGATCAATCAGACACTTGCCACATCATACTTACTCAACCGACAACCAAAGTTACAGAAAAATTCATGTCTCTAATTGACTTTCTAAAGGGAATGAACTTCTTTACCAATCTCATAACTTGTTAGAGTATGAATTTATTCTACTTTTTTATGCTTAGTAGAACAAGAGGGTGGAATACAATATATGTACATCATAGGTGGTTTCTTGCCATGGCATTGTCTAATATTAAATATTACAAAAATAGTACCATTAATTAGCTACAGATTATTCAACTAGTTTGGTATTTCAAGTGCAAACACAGACTACAAGTCTGTTTGTTTTCAAGGATATTTAACAAACTAAATGATACAGTAAAAATGTGAGAAATGTGTAATTAAATCAGTTTAGATTCAAGACAGAATAGGAGAACTGGAGCCAGAGAGTAATAAATACCATAAATTACGGTCCTATTTCATTTTGCCCCGTTCTTGTCCGCTATTCATAAGGTTGGGCAAGTATATTGAGGGTAATTGTCCTGTAGGGTCTACTTGCTGATTTTTTGCAGAGTTTCTATCCATTAGACGTCCATTAACACTATCCGGTAATGTGTAACGGGGTAAAAGAGATGCAATATGGAACTGTGAGGTCTGGATTTCAAATCAATGAACAATTATATGTGATACATGTATATACCGTATATATTATTGTCCTCCCCTATCTGCATGTAAAACTTGCACTGCGAACATCACAATAATACTATAGCCTGAATATTTTCTTCACTCCGTTGAATAAACTAACAAGAAAACGTCTTATACTACTACGTTTGTGCTTCTTATACATTGAGTATATCAAATACTGATATTTTAGACACAGGGGCACGGTTTCACAAAACTGTCGTAAGTACAAATGAGTACATCTAACATGTATTTCAATGGGATGTCGCCATGTTGAACTTATGACGGTTTCATGAAACTTTGCCCATACATCTTTCTTTTGTACTGGTTATGATAAAAATTGCACATCACAGAATGATACAAGCAGAATGAAATATTTCATTTGACAATTAAAAGAGCATCCCTCACTGCAATGTTTACTATGAATTTTTTATCAAGATTTAAATCTACATGTACAATGGAATAATGTCTAGCTCATATCTGATACCAGTAATGATAAAATTCTGTCTTGGGTTAAGAAAATTTATTGACAAAAGATATATACAGGTAAAATTAAGATGTAGATGGGGGCAGGGTTGAATATCATTCTGAAGAAATTTGGAATGAAGAGAAAGAATGCAAAAGAATTGACTGCAAATCAATTAGGTCTTTAAAACCCCCTGCCTTAGAAACTGAATTATAGATGTGAACCGCCATGACAATGTAAAGGTACCAATAAAAAAAAGTTTGGTTGCCAATTATAACACAGATTAAAAGCATTCCTTTTTGAGCTGATTATCAGTGTGAATCTGATCTGTGCATGGAAATGACCGCTCTATCTCATTCTTCTTGTCTGAGAAGAAGGATAAACTCCATGACTAGTAACGAACTTCTTATTTTTATATGCCAATTATGTGTTTCTAAAACTTTCATTCTACAAGGCATGAATCATTTGCATGGTTTAAAAATGACAGGTAAACATGCATGAATTAAAACTTACCGTAGCTTTTAGTTGCTTTCACAGTTTTAAAGCTAAGAAAACAATGTTTTATATCTAAGATATTTTCATTAATTTCACTGGCAACTAGTACAAGATTTAAAGCTATAAAGTGAACATCATAATGAAATTTAAAAACACACACACACACACACACACACACATGCACCAACCTTATTCCAGTAAAAAGCACCATTCAATTTCATTTAAATATATATCCGCAAAATACAAAAATAAAAGGTTTTTGAAATTTATCTAAACAAGAAAACTTGAAAATATATGACTAAGATCCTCTTACCATTATTCACCACACACATCAAATTCATGTTTTTTTTTGGTCACTTCAAATTGTCCATAATATGATTTCTTGCTACATTTCAAAAGCACATCTTTTAAAAGGACTTTATCACAATACATGATCAAGAACTCACTGATTGGAGCTCAGATACTAAGAACAAGAAGTACATGTATATATATATATATCCTATGCTGAGATCCAGAAGAGAGCCAGAAGGGCATTGTATCCATGTTTAAATAAAGTATGTGAGTTATTGGCATTCTAGCTACCAACAGAGGGCGTGCTCATAGGTAAGCAACCACGAAAGTGACAGCTGTTGGTCTCATCATCAAACTCTATCCTATTCAAATAGTTGAGCAAGAGCACTTTTCTAAAAGTGATCTACAAGAAATGCTCTAATGGATACCAAGTTTCGCCCTACTGGTCCACTGTACACAACGTATGTACTGTACAACCAAATCATCCAGGTGAAATTCCTCCATTATCTTCATAATGGCACTCTTATCACATGCCACCTAAATATCAAAAGGCTCATATTTTGATTTTGTGAATGAAGCCTTTATTGTTTAACATCATGTGAAAATGTGTAAATTTCTAATGAATTCTACAATAAAATATCCATTTGCCTGTCATGTACATCTTACTCGTATTTACATTGGTGTGTTCTGAAGTAGTTTTTCCGTTTCAAAATTTCTTCAAAACTGAGAAACCAAGATCCATGAAACTGAATACTGGAAGAGTCATAAAATATATTGCACAGCTAAGAAACAAATAAATCTTCATGGTTTCCACAGACCACCATTTGATCAAAAGGATTTTGATAAGAAGGGAAACTGGCGAAGGGAAGAGAGAGATTCTAAGATTATCAATCTAAACACACATCATCATGAGGACACTCTGAATCATTAATAAATACTGAAAAAATAACACTCTGAAAAATTATTGCTTCAAATTCTTCAAAGAATGTTCAAACTAAATCTCAACTGAATCACAAAATTTAAGGACAGACAAACAAAAATATCAAATTTCATCCCTTGCCAGTCCCTCCTTGTAAATGAGTGTTGTGATAATTTAATGATCATACACAACTGCTTAGATCAGACAAAACAAAGTGTATCATTGGATTTCATTCAAATTGGTCTGGTCTAATGCCCCCGTAATACTAAAGAAACTGACATCACACCGACATCAGATCAAACATTCAATTCCATTTACCGGTACATTGACCCAAATGGCCAAATACCTGTCTATTTGGAGTGGGTTTAGCGCTGTGACTACAAAATAAATGTAAGAAAATGGAATTTTTAAAGTACAGGTATATATTTTAAAGTTGGTCTTTTATATAGCAACTTTAGATGCAATGACATGGCCATATTAAAGTCATAATGAACTTCAAATTTGTGGTTTATGACATAATATCTATATGGATTATAAACCTTGTCTTATCTTGTTCTGTAACAGATAGTAGTACATTTAGATGGTCAAACTCTCTTCAGGCTCTGATAGTAGTACATTTAGATGGTCAAACTCTCTTTAGGCTCTGATAGTAGTACATTTAGATGGTCAAACTCTCTTCATGCTCTGATACTAGTACAATGACAATGTTTATCAATCAAAATCAGGGGCCTGTCTTACAAAGAGTTATGATTGATCTAGATTGGGTACAAGTCCCCTAATCGATTACAAACATACAAACTCCTATCTCTCTGTTACAGAGATGACGTACCGGTAGAGACAAATTACTTTTCAGATGATTCTGGAAGGTCTTAGACAAAATAGTACTCTACCCTAACGGTTCATTAGGATTGGTCTCAAGTTAAAATTCAAAACGGAATGATTTTAACCTAATGATGCAAGTGTATATCCTGACCTACATGTACTGTATTCAAACATGTACACTACAGCCCAAATTCATGAAGGAGATTGTGCACCACGGTCAAACCTATGGTTTAAAATCACAGTTTACAACTTCACTGTGGACTGACATCAACATCGTTTAGTGTATATTGCACCTTCATTGGACATAGGGTCACACATACAAAATGTTTCATTGGCATTTCAACCATGACCTAAGAGTAAACCTCTGTTGTGAATCCTGAACTATATGGGTGACCAATGTCTGTATCCAACCACAGAGTTGGTACACTTACATGTAAATGCCTTCCATTAAAGAGCTCTCTGGGAAGCCAGACAGAAATGACAATGATCTTGATGTTGGTGGCACAATCAGACAGAGAGAGGTATAACTCCAACACCCACCCCTCCCTCATGGGATTGCATCGGTGAAACAAAAGTCCATTCATCTTCCTGTGGATTATACATCTCTACTGTGTTGAGATTGGTGAGTCCATCATAACCTCCCACAGCATACAGGCGCCCTCTGTTGGCAACGAGAGCTACACGACTCCTTCTAGAGTTCATAGGTGCTGCGTAGGTCCATGTGTTGGCCACTGGATCATAGACTTCTACGGTGTTGAGAAACTTGGAGCCGTCGTAACCTCCACAGATGTAGAGTTTACCATTGAAAGATGTGACACCAAGACGACATCGTTTACTTTGCATAGGTTGAACCACTGTCCAGCGACCAGTGAATCGATTGAAGCATTCCACCTATGTCAATCACATAGACAATGTTTACCATTAATCATCACTACAAACAAGAACTCATGTTAATTCATGTTAAAATTGATTTATCAATAACAATTTATACAGAATTAAACGGGGATTGAAAGTACATGCTTTCTTGCTTCTCCAAATACATCAAACTATTAGTACCAGGTACCACTGAAACCATACCATAACTGAAAGCATATTTATCACATCTAGCTTGACAGCTCAATGGAATCTAGCATTTCTAACTCTACACTTTACAATCACATGAAACAAGTTATTTTCTTCAAGATGACAGGATCACATACTTTTATCGACTACATAGAGGTAACTTACCGTGCTAAATATTTGCAGACCATCATGCCCCCCTGCAGCAAAGATCTCCCCACTGAGTACAGCTACACCTGCAGCACTCCTAGACTTAGTCATGTCAGCAACAACATACCACCTGAATATATATACACAGATATAATATATCATAGGGAGACACTTGGTGATTTCACATTCTAGCACATTTATCCTTCAAGAGTTGATAAAGGGGAATGTATTTGTTATTGTTGTTATAACATAAATGATTTCCTACAAACTTTCATCTATTTCACATCATAAGAGTTATCATTACCAAGTTACATAGTAACTGTTATGGTTATCACCATTATCAATATCATCTCTTGGCGAGAGATAGGAGGGTAATCTTAAATCATGGATATCATGAAGCATTCTTTACCTACTCACTTCCTCATTCATATACTATATCAAATGTAATCATGATTTTGAACTATGAGTGACTACTAGTACATGCTAATGGCCTAAACACTTTCCTACACTCCAACAAGGGGAATGTACTCACTTGTTTGTTTCTGGGTCATAACATTCCACAGAGCTAAGAGAAGATATCCCATCATAACCTCCACAGGCATAGACACGTCCATCTAATGCAGCTACTCCAAGGGCACTAAAATGTTTATCAAAATACATCAAACAGTCATGATAAAAATTTCCATCATAAAGATAAACAAAACTAATTAATCTCTTGATAATTCTCTACATAGTGATTAATCCCTGAGAGCATCGTTTGACAAATGTGTAAAACTTGCGTGAAGTCAATCCATATACGTAAGCTGTTATTTCTTCTCTCATTTTTACAAGTATCTTCTGTATACAAAGCATGATGCTCTTTTCCCCCTTCGTTTTAATCCTAAACTAACGAGTCTTCCATATTCCTCTTCATATCCCACATGATGAATTACGCCTACTACACTCAATGACATGTTGAGCTTTTAAGGAAAGGATTACAAGTACAATTCAATGCTTTATGTCATAATGACGCAAATACTTAACTTTTCACTCATGCCCATAATGAATAAAAACCAAAGAAAAGGGTTTCCATCATTTATTGGAGAAAAAAATAAGTCAAAGGCATTTTATGGTACTAAAAATAAAAACCAAATATAATCAAACCTGTATATAAAAACCATCCCAGAGAGACCAAAAAAGTGGTCTTTATAGGCAGGCGGTTTTTACATACAGGTTCCTTCTCTACATGTTTCAAGGAGAAACACTTTTGAAGGAAAACAAAAAGGTGGTCTGTACAGACAGGTGGTCTTTCTATACAGGTTTGACTGCACATGTATATGTACCTTCTCCTGTGATTCATTGGTGCTACATCCCACCATTCATAGCTACTAGGATCAAAGACTTCTACTGTATTCAGTCTAGACTGGCCATCATAACCTCCTACGGCATACAGACGTCCTGATAATACTGTTACACCAACCCTGCTACGTCTGGTCGTCATTGGCTTGGTTATACTCCACTTCTCAGTGACAGGTTCATAGACCTCTACTGCATTCAACGATTCACCTATGAGCATATAACAAACATTTGATCTCTTAGGCTGGTTGATAATTTATAATAACAATAATACAGTAGCTACATTTATATTGTACAAATATTCAGTCTAGGCAAAATCCATTGTACTTGAAACTGTGTGAAGAATGACTTGGCTTGAGGAAGTCCACAGGAGTGGATAAAAGCTTGCTGTGAGTGTCTATACTTTAAGGTTGATCAAAGCATAAATAAACTGTTCATTGTACTTGGTAGGAAATGAAACTGACCTGAGCGTGTCAATCCTCCTACTGCATAGATGAGACCTGATATATCATTGCAGCATCTTGGTTTGGTGCGTTTACTTTGCAGCATGGAACGTCTCTCAGGCATTAGATGGTAGTCTTTAGCTTCATCTACTAGGTCCCTACAAATGGATAAGCAGACATTTATCATCTAGTTGGAGGCAGATGGACATTCACTCACATACTTCAACACAGAGTTAACTCCCTTCTGAGTCTAAACAAGCGATACGTACATGGATATTCTTAGAGAGTCTATGAAATATGAAAATTCAAAATGATTATATCTTTAGTTTTAGAATAAATAAAATCTTGAATAGCAAATCTAAATTTAAGGTGCTTGCACTGAGGTAGCTGCATGCATGGAAAACATATGCGCAACCACCAATGAAAGGTTTTAAACCAAAAATTTGCTACAACAATTAAAATTAAAGATCAAATGATTGAATATAGCTCCCCATTTCATATAACTTTGAAAAGCTTCCTTGTTTTCAATTTCTCTTCACCAGGACTAATACATTTGTATAATAATAATAATATTGGATGTTTATATAGCGCACATATCCACCCTGCAAGGTGCTCAAAGCGCTCCAATATTACCTTTGAAGGCTGGCTGGATTAACTTTATATTTCATTTTCACAGAACAGGGCAATGGAAATTATGTTCCATTCCGTAAAACTTCATAAATTTCAGCAACTTCGTAATAATTTCCTATTCTCTTTTATCAAGCAACTTTTTACTAATTTACAGTAGATCTTTGTTTGAACTCAACCCATCATACACTCCTAATCCCACACAAATTTAAAGTGCAAATATTGAAGATGAATTGAGGGAAAACACCTCATTGGCTTGAAGCTTTCCTCATGGATAAACAGGATCCTTTAGAAAACAAGAAAGCTTTTTCACAGGAAGGTGTATCACACTATTAAAGGCCCACTGCACTACTTGTAGCTACTTGCGCCCTCTATATAACAAACAATGCCTAATCGGTGACCATTGGTCCCCCATGACCCTTTTTTTCTTATGTTAACTGAGAGCTGAGTTGATGAGATAACCACCTGTCCAGTGACCTTGTAGGGCGGTCTAATCCCTCCTGTAAACTATGGCAGATAAGCTTTAAGGTGAAATATCACATTATAAAGCGTTATCACTCTTTTCCATTAAATGGGTTACCTTTTCCTGCTCGACATTTCAAATATTCTTTGTTCTTATTCAATTATAAACATGTAAATCATGCCTCCCACCCAAAAAAGGGATTCAATTACATCTATATGTACATTTGTAAGTTACAATACAATACAATTATTATACTTTGAAGGCTTGTTCACATCCATGTATGCCAAGGTAAGCCTTGTACTGCACTTCTCACATTTGTATCTTACAACACACAGATAAGTGAGAACACATGGAACATTTATGTGCACCGCTGAATTCTATTTTCCACTTGCCATTCATGAAGTACACACAAACACACATAAAAAGAAGAATCGCTATGGTTCACTGCAGAACTTCATGTATATCCTAATTCAGGTGTATCATTAAATGTCAATAATATGAATATAACTTGATAAGGTTTTTAACGACTGCTACCAACCTGCATTTATGGCAAGCTTTGACCCTCTCTTCCGTTGATATATGGTCCGTTAGAACCTGAGGCCTAATCAGAGGTAGTCTTACTAGACCAAAGAGTTCTGGCATATCTTCCTGTCTTACTTGCTCATCATGTTTGACCCATCCTATAAAAGCATCAAACACCTGTAGACACAAGGGAAAGGCAAAGTGCACTAAGTGAGTGTATGAATCATACCCTTTTCTAACTGGCCTAATTTTCATCGGATGCATCAGGACGCATCCGATGAAATGGCCAGTATGAAAGCAACAGAGGAGAAAAAGGCAATTAAATAGCTGATGAAAAGAAGAGAAATAAGCGATTAAATTCTCATCTATCGGTATGACACCGATGAAACGACCAGAATGAAAGCGATCGGGAGAAAAAGGCGATTAAAACAGCGATTAAAATGGCCAAAGGTCGCAGTATACGCCGCTTTATCGTCAACACTGTGTTTGTTGACTTATTGTTTAACATGCTGCATGCTAGCTAGATGGAGCGCAGGCTTAATAATTACGCAATAATTCTTAACTTCCGGCAAGGGCTTGCCACAGCAAGTGAATTTCACCGGCAGTTAGAAAGCGACAGGGAGAAAACGGCAGTTTCACCTTTGTTTACATAAGGAAAATTCAATCGGTATTTTCATTGGTGTGACTCCGATAGAAGCCAGTTTGAAAGCAGTATCATTCTCACATTACAAATAATACATAGAATGGCTGAAATATAAAATTATCTTTTGGATTGTAAACTACCATCTGACTCTACCATCTGACATTGAGCTTCGTCAATACAATTTGTAATACATCTGTGACTACTGATGGAATAAAATGATTTACAACAACTCTAGGATCTTGATGAATTCTGCCCTGCTAATCATCATGTATGAGCTGTATCATCCTACCTGTTCCTCCCCTGTGACATTGAGTTCATCCATCTCTAGGATCTCAATAAACTCAACCTTGCTAAGCATCATGAACTCGTCTGAGGATGAAACGTCTACAAACTGCTTATGAAGGAAGCTAGTGGAAGCTTGGAACAGATCCCCACACACCATGGTGTCCGCAAAGCGACGTATACCAAGGCAGTTTGAAGGATCCAAGCTGAAACACAGGATCAAAGAAGAATCAAGTGATTGTATGAGTAGAGTTAAGACACTTTGAGAAATACATTTAGAATGTACCTGGACACCTGACCTAAAATGGCAGAAGTGTTTCTCTCACAAGAATTCTGAAATGAGGATTTGTATTTTGAATACCAGTTTATCTTTTTAGTTTTGGAGGGATATATTCAAATTCAATACAAATCTAAAATATGAAAGGTCATTGGATAATGACCACACACAGATGGCTGTTTACATGGAAAACATGTAGACCTATAGCATCTGAACAAATACAAATGAAAAGGTGAAACTGAACTGTAAACCCTTCTGTTAAATAACTTTACAGCATTGGAATGGCCCTCAAATGGGTGCATGACATGTCCAAAAGAAAAGTAAACACTAGGAAATGCTAACAGTACTTTGAACTAATGCAGATGCAACTAGTTTCCCTGACCTGGATAAACAACCAAATGATTGTATTGACATGTCTTATCTTGATTATATTAGTTGCCATGATGTCTCCAGAAAGGTGTAAACTCTAGGGCCCTTCTGGCTCTCTCTACGCCATTTATTACTACTCATATTTTGGGGTCATGGGTCAACAGATAAGATGAACATATACTAAATTTTAGAGAAAATAACCTAAAGATATTTCATACATATTTAACTTAATATTGAGAAATGCACTAATTAGTGACATTCTACAGATCTCTAAAATGAAAGGGGAAAGAATTCTAGAGGATTAATTAAGTATCAGTAAAAAATATGAATTCGTATTTTAAGAAGGGTAAAAAAGAACAAGACTTTGACAAATATTTTGACCTTTTTCCAAGAATGAGTCAGACCCTTACAATCTTTGTGAATACAGGTTGTTTTTCAATGAATGCATCATTCCCATTTAAAACATTTTTCAACTTTTAGTGCCTTTTCACCTTCTCTCATGAAGTAATGAATATAATAGTAATAATACTCAGCTTTTTATATAGCGCTTATTACAATCACTAAGTGCTTCCAAACTTAGAGATTATTACCCCGGCTTTAGCTGTGCTGCCATTAGGGCGCTCTCGCATTTCAAAGAATTAATTCCTGCCAGGTACCCATATCACCTGGGTTGAGTGTGGCAAATGTAGATCAATGTCTTGCCAAAGGACATTAGTGAAATGAAATGAGAGGACAAACCGATCTTTGAGGAAGCTGCAGCAAGCCTCTTTGATAACTTGGAGTTGAAGAAAGTTAGCACACGCAAGAATAGAGAGGACATTCTGGGTATTAATGATGACACGACCGCTGTATGAAAAGTTGACTAGGACTTCCAAGGCACTGTACAACCAAAGAAAAAGAGACAAAAACATGAAGACCATCTTCTTTATGAAAGGACTCATTATGAAATTGTGATTCAAGGGAAAGGAAGATCTGTTAGATGTACAAAAAGAGGATCTTGTAAAACATTTAAAGTAAATAAAATTTGAAGAAAAAAAAACAAGAAAAAGAAGAAAGGAGTGGTATTACATCATTATAATTACTGAGTTTGGGACCAGTACATATGTAACCTACTGGCAGCAATTTAGTGATGAATTCATTGCCTCTAAGACCTGGGTGGCTCGTGTTTTAAAAGCCTATAGGGATTGCAGAAGTTATTACTCATCAGGTTAATATCTCTTATGAATATATTTTGCCAGACATCAATTCATTTTCTACTTTAGTTACAAAAATGTACGGTACGTACATGTAGTAGGACGTAGATACATGTAAGTGTGGATTACCGGTAGTCACCTTAGTTCTAGTTTCAATTTGTACTGGTACAATAAATGTTTGACAATCCAAAGTGAAAGACAATTCAGAGTGTCAGTCTTGAGTGTGTAGGTACCATATCTCATTAAATATGTCATGTACATGTATGCATGAAGATGCTGGAATGCTTCTGCATTGTCATTTTCATGTATATCATAAATGCTTTAGTGTAGACAAATATTCATGGCAGCAATGCAGTATTTATAAAGTATGTGGAAGAAAATTATCCTTGTAAGTTGTCCGACAAAAAGTAGAGTTGTTTACATGTTGGCATGAATTTCATAAGTTCTGTCTACTTACATTAATCGGCAGATCATAAATGTGCATCTACATTTTAATGTCCAATTAATTACATGTTGATAGCACCCCCCCCCCCCCCCGAAAAAAAAAGCATTCATTTTTTTATGTTTACCTTCAGTATACATGTACATAAATATACATTTGAAAATAACCATCGATTTCGCAGACGACACATTTATACAGTTACATACATGTAAACTACAAGAGTAAATGTTTTAATTTCTCAGATAAGTATTGATATGAAATCTGTATCTTTTTCCAGGGGCAAACACATTCATTCAATGATTTTACTGCAAAGAGAGACAGGTTTGTGGTTGTCCCGTCCATAGTACAGGGTGTACATGTCCATGTACATTGTATGTATGTTTACAATGTTCTGTAGTTTCCTTATATCTGCCTCTGTATTGCCTTCTGAATCTGTGAAACAGGAAATCCTTTATTTGGGTTAAATTCATTTCAATGTATCAATCATTCCAAGACAGGATGTCTGCCAAGTATTAAACCTCAATCAGAGTCAGACAATGCCATTTGGCAAGCTGCAATCTGTAGAATGTTAAGAATGTCTCAAATAAATTGTTATCAATACCTGAATATTATTGTCAGAATTTCTGTATGACTGTATTTCGGAACAATAACTGAGTCCCCCAAGTTAGAAATAAATCATTCAACAGGATGTATAACAGAATTAACATTTGGCAGCATTTTCAGATATGTAGAATTGTTAAAAATCAAGTTGAAACATTCGATGAGATACTACAGTTTTAGAGGAATCTATGTCAGCTCCAATTAGTTTTCTGTCGTAAGTATCTAACAGCACAATGACGTATTAATCTGAAAGTAAGCTGCTAAACAATCGATTTCATTTAGAGGCACAGCAAGTTAAATTATATTGTATTTAACTCTTCATTAATTATTGGTAATTTTTTTATATAAACATAATTTAATTTAGTCCTGACATTTTGAATTACATGTTCCCTATGAAAAGAAACACATGAGTATCAAACTCCTTATAAAGTCCATAGAGTCTGATCACAATAATGGCTTTCAGCCAATCTAAAAGCAGGTCTGTACATGAACATGTATCTCTAGTTAAATAATCACTTCAAAAGGTTAAAAAAAAAACTATTCAAAAAAAGAAGGAAATTATCAAATCATAAATCTATCTTACACTACTTTAAAGTTTCCAGGCAAAAGGATTATTCTCTTTAGTGTTAATTTTTTTTAAATTGTTTCTTCTTAAAAATTGTTATGTAGGCCTACAGTGCATTATGCATTCATTTTAGCTTGATGCCAAATTACCTACACATTTAATCTTTCAGAAATGTTTCCCAAAGTGCTTGTTTTTAATTGATTAAATCGAAGTTTCCAACTCTTTTGAAGGATATTTCATTTGATTGTGTTTCTAGAGACCAAATAATGTTAACGTGTACCAGTCACCAAAACATGTTTTGCTCTTTAATAATGTAACAGGTTCAATGTTGCTATACTTTAGTCAAACTGAGGATTTCCCCTTAAGCTCAATTCCACACCAAGATACTGTAATTAAATACATTTTTTACATGTAAATCTTTTTTTTTACAGATGACTAAAAAATATTTTAAAAACTTTTTGCTAAAAACTTGAGTTTGACTTGTTTTGGAAAGACACCAATTAGTATTAGTGCAGAACCATTTCTTTGGTTCTCCTTTCTTTGATTCTCCTAAGATTTTGCTTGAGGTTGATGAGATAAGCTACCGCCCTTTGTACTTACCTTGGATCAATACCAGACATTGTTATTTCTTCTTGTTTGCTTTCCACCATGTCTGTGGTAAACATTGCATGGAAGTACGGTATAGAGGCTGCCAACACAATGCGATGTGCTGAAAATTTGTGGTCATCAACCTAACAAAAAGAAGAAAAAAGAAAAAGTAAAGGGTTTTGTCTTTTGTGTACATAACAGGCTGTTCTGTGCATAACATATGACAGTAAAAATTATACTTTGTAATTTTATAGAGAAAATTTCATGGGGCCTTTAAGAATACGATCAGAGAGGAAGGGGGCTTCTTAATATTGTTTGGACCTGAAGCTTTACCCTTTTTTTTAGGGCAAGTTGTTGGTCTATGTTGGCCATTTGTCTTTTTATTTTAAAAAGGAGGTAGAGCCTAGGCCTAGTACGTGGCATCTTGACTTCAATCTTATTTTCATATTTCAACTATTTCATATTTCAACTAGACAACATTGTAATCTTAAGAGTTAAGTTAGATTTTGTTTTCAGCATTTCACCAGGATGCTCCGGCTCTAGAGTCGAACAGTAATAATGACTAGTCTAGGCTACACAATACTCAATAGAACTTAGACTGAAGAGTCGAGTGAAGATCCAACATGATACATCGGTTTCGGTTAGACCGAAACTAAAGCGAGCGCTAGAGAGCGCGGTTTAAATCAAGTTGACATTCGTTCATTCATGTCTCCTTAGATCAAGATAGTTATGTAAATTCCTTAATTAAACTAAATTAAATTAAGTTCTTCCATCGCTTGATTACTGCAATGGCCGTTTCATTAACAAGGGCCAGGTCTTTATCTGTGCAACCCGTTCCGCCGCACTGCAAGATGTGGTCCATCGTCTGAGTCTCTCCGCAGTCGCAGAGAGTATCTTCTTCATGGGCATAGGCCCCGCCCCATTCTCATCCGCATTCGATTTAGGCATTGCCACTCCGGCCACTGAGGTTAGTTACAATTTACAGCTACAGTGGAATTCAGGCTAAGCTCGAATGTCATGCTACGACTAGTACTATAGTAGTCTGAAGTTCGGAATGAAAAAAAGGTTCTGCGGGTGAGCAGGTAAATAGTTCTAGTTTTCCATTTCCTTTACTAATTTTCTTTTACATGACATAGGTCTACATGTAGGTCTAGACTAGTCTAGATATAGGTCTACATAGATCTAGGTCTAGACAGTAGACCTATTTGCACAATAATAGTAGTCTATAGGCCTAGTCTATTTGGTCTTTCAATAATTAAAAAAGAATTAGTCTAATGTTTTCCCCCGTTATGTCATAAGTGTCCGAAGTTTGGCGGTCTTAGTCTTACTTACTCTAGATTCTAGACCCTAAATAATGCATCTAGGGGTCTATGATCTAGATTCTAGGCCTAACAGTTAGTGCATTTTAAGGTGGAGGTTCAAAATAAGTGGATAGTATTTCTTGCTTTCACGTAGACCTATGTAGACTCTACATGCACATAGTAACACTCACAACTCGACTCCTCACTCAGCTCAGCTCATCAACTTAGCTGAGCCCGAGGTTCATTCACTTCTCTTGCTCATTATACTTGGCCTACTGCCTGCCGTACCCATCCCGTACCTTCAATGTAACGTCGCAGAGTTTCCCTTGGCGCCGTATGCTTTCCATTGCCATGTAACCGTCTGCTGGCAGATCGTTCATACAGAAGGCCACTGAATCCGACATATCATCTGGCAATGTAGGGCTTGGCGCCATAATAAATTCTGAAGAAATTGAGCAAATTGACAAGATAGCTTTAGTCTTTCACAGCACTATTGTATTGATTTTCGTGTGATCCAATCAAGATTTTAAAGGGCGAGGGTAGCACTGATGTACGGCGACGTGTGTGTACAGATCGCATGCATATACACACAGCAACTCTATAGTACCACATAGTACTAGCGCTAAGTACGTACGCTATGCACTTATGGAAGGCCAACCCCGCCATATATGGAAGGCCATCGCCGCCATATATCGCAAGCGAGCTTGCGTTACTGGTTAGTAGCTTACGGTAGTTAGTTGTAGTGCTTGCGTTACTGAGTAGTAGCTTGCGGTAGTTAGTTGTAGTGCTTGCGGTAGTTGATCGGCCAATTACTGTGCAGGATTATCGTTTACGTACACAAAACGGGAAATACAGTACCGCATGTTAAACATGTGTACGTATATTTAACTCTGGCGAATCAGAGCACTTGTTATAGCGGGCCGCCGGGTAGCCTTTTCGGCCGTGTCGCGAATTTTGTTATGCAAAGGTACTACGATCGGGGCGAGTATGTGTTAGTGTTACAGTATAGTTCGTGCTATTTAGTCCTTATAAGACTGGTCTGTATCTTTTAATCATACTTTATCACTTCTCAAATGGGAAGATTCTGGCATTTTACTCTCTGAAAAGTTTACAGTTTGAACACCAAAAAAGGGAAACAGATGTGGCGCGGGACGGAGCTGTAATTGACTTGGCCTGTCAATTATACTTTTTAATACGTCTTGTCGCAAGCAAGGAGGGGGTGGGAGGAGGGGCTCAGGCTGTTTTGCAATTTAGGGCGTGGACTGAAAGGGAACTAATAGGAATTGATTGCGAGTAGGTCTATTTTTAATATTTTTTGTTTTATTTAGGCCGCAGATCTCTGCAGATGAGCACATGGAATGCGCACGAACCAAGCGTAAGCGAGGCGCGGATCCAGGGGAAAGGTGGATCCAGGGGGCCTCCCCCCCCCCCCAAAAAAAAATATATTAAAACAAATTTTTTAAAAAATTTAAAAAAAGGAGAGAGGGGGAGAAGGAAAAGAAAGGAAAGGGAAAGAAGAGAGAAAGGGAAAGAAAGAAGAGGAAGAAGAAAAGAAAAGGGGAAAAGAAGGAGATCAGGGGGGCCGAAAGGACCTTGCCCATGCTGTTGCCTCCCCCCCCCCCCCCGCAGCAAAAACAGAGAGCAGGAAGGAAAGAGAAAGAAAAAAAAAAGGAAAAGGAGATAAAGGGAAGGAAAAAAAGAGGAAGAAGAAAAAAAGAAGGGGGATATCGCCGACCAGTCGTGGATCGGGGGGGGGGGGGCAAAATGCCCTTGCCTCCCCCCCCCCCCCCCACCTCAGCAAAAGAAAGAAAGAAAGAGAGAGAGAGAGAGAGAGAGAAAGAATGGATAGGAAGGGAAGGGGAAGGAGGAAAGATAGTGAAAGAAAATAAAAAGGACGAAGACAAGAAAAGGGGGAAAAGAAGGGAAAATAAGTTGCGATTTGTATCGCTTCTTCTTTCGTCATTGAGACCAAGCGCCAAATACGCACCTGATCAACCCTGGCGTACTGCAAGGGGGGGGGGGGGCTTGGAGCATTTGACCCCAACACAATTTCCAACGTGGTTTATTTCTAAATCAATACCAGTGATTTGCAAATTTTGCTTAAATGACATAATTTTTCGGGATTTTTCCTCGCTTTTTAGTTCACTAAATTTGTGTATGCATTTGTTGGAAAATGACAAATTAAAAAATTTACAGTCAGGCAAGAAATATGCTTAATAAGAGGCCAATATGCCAGGGTCCGCAGAACAGTGGGGTCAGGGGACTTGACCTCCCTCCCCCTCTTTGTTTAAAAAGTATATTAAAGAGAAATAGAAAGAAAGAAAGAAAGAAAGAAAAGAGAGTGACCTGCATGTGTCACAAATATGGTCAGCTGACCGTAATTAAATGCCTAAAAACCCCTGGTCCCCACCCAGGGCTCTAAGGCGGGCCTCTGGATGCTCATCAGACGGTAATTTAATTCCTTAAACTCCTGAGCTTCTGGGGGCTGCGTCCCCTGGACCTCACGCCAATTAGTGACATGTCAGTGTCATGAATAAGGTATCGAAATATGCTCATTTGACCGTAATTAAATGCCCATACCCCTAAGCTTCCGGGGCTTCCACCCCTTATTCCCCACCGGGGTTTGCCCTAGACCCCACGCCAATTTACGTTTCGCTGTATCTGAACGTAAATACTTTATCCTCCCCCACCAACTTAAAAAAAAAACCGTTCAGCGGGGCCTGCAGGTAAAAGTGGTGGTGATGATGCAGATTGTTATCTTCTGACCCCCCCCCCCCTCCCAAAAAAAAAAAAAAAAAAAAAAAAAAAATTACACCACTGCTGGAAACCATAACGTTCCGATATTTGGCTCGCATGATTTTAAATCCCCCCCCCCCTGAGAAATCCTGGATCCGTGCCTGCATTTGTTTATGAATATAATGACTGTGATCTGTCCATAACACAAGATACCCTTTTGTAATTTGATGGTTTATTTTTGGTTCTGAAGTTTATAAATGAGAAATAAAGAATATTACAGACTAGCACAACCTCATGCTTCGGGATCTGAACCACCCATCTCATGATGCCATATTAGAAGAAATTGAATTAAACTCAAATGGGAAACTTCCATAGTTCTTACAAAGTCCGTGTTTATTGATTAATGAACCATTGCCCTTTAAGTTTACTAGTTTCATGTATTGAGATAAATATAAGAACATAAATAAATAAAATCATATGAGTTAGAGTACTAATAAGTAGGCTTATTAGACATTGTAACAGTGGCGATATAAATATTGTAAATAGTCGTCAATGAAAGTTGACCACTTCACTTTTCTCTTGAAACTTGAATATGGTCCAATAAACGCTTGTGTCTTTTTTAACTTACCGCCATCAGAGTCATATATTTTGAAGAAACAAACAGTAAAATTAATTGTAGGTGCCCCGCCCTTTTGCAAATAAAGTTAAGACCTAATTTCTTTGACTGCTCGGAAATTGTTGACATCAATTGGCATCTTACGAAAATCCTGACAGAGTTTATGACTTAGTAATGAAAAATTGTATAGAATTAAATTCCCTTGCTGAGAATGGGAACGATTCCGCCATAGAGGTCGGGGCCGCCATAGTATTGTTAAAAGTTGGTTGAAAACTAATTTCCTCTATTTGTGAAGTATGAATATTATTAATAAATGATCAATTATCTGTTGATACACAATCAAATTGGAATAGCGTCATCTGGCACCAAATTTAATTCAATTTCAACTCAATTCAAATGATTTTTACTTCAAAACTCAATCAAAACAAGAAAGAATGCTTACATAAAATTAACATCTAATGACATTTAGAATATTCGAGAATTTTTTTTAAAGGGATAGGAAAAAAAGAAAAAAAGAGAAAAGAACACACGCACTGCTCGAAATGTTGAGCTTTCATATACATAATAAAAAACACAGTCGAGGAGTACATGACTGTGCAGAGGTAGCGCTCCCGGGGGGGGGGGGGGCGGGGCGGGGGGGGGGGCACATCCCCCAAATTTTGAAGTACCCCAAAATTGCCCCTTCCTACAAGAAAAGTGTCCCTTACCGTTGTAAGAAGTGCCCCTTTTTACATAGGGAAAGTACCCCTTTTAATTTGACAAGTGCCACTATTACTTTTAAAAAGTGCACCTTCCCCTTTCCGACTCTGATAAGTACCCCTTTTATTTTGACACGTACCAATTTTCCTTCGACAAGTTCCCATGTTCCTTTGCAATAAGTGTCTATTTTTCATTCTCACAAGTGCCCTTTTTAATCTCTAGTAAGTGCCCCTTTTCACTTTTGATAAGCGCCTCTTCACCTCTGATAATTACCCTATTCAAATCTGAGAGGTGCCCCTTTTTCTTTTACAAGTGCCCCTTTTGTCTTGTAAGAAGTGCCCCTTCCCCCTTTAATAACTAACCCTTTTTAACTCGGATAAGCGCATCTTATATTTTTCCATGCGCCCCCTTTCCTTTCTAATAAGTGCCCCTTTTCCTTATGATAAGTGCCCCCATTAATAATATCCCCTTCCACTTCTCATAAATGCCCTTTTTCATCTCTTGTAAATGACCCTATTTAATTCTGAGAGAAAATCGTTTTACTTTGACAAGTGCCCCTTCCTCTCCTGATAAATGCTCTTTACATATCTAATACATTCCCCTTTTATTTGACACGTCCCCTTTCCTTCCTAATAAATGCTCATTTTCCTTCTTATAAGTGCCCCTTCCTCTTCTCATAATTACCCCCTTTTCATCTCTGACAAGTGCCCCGTTTATTTTAAGATGTGCCTCTTTTTCTTTTTAATGGGAGCCACTTCCCCCTTCTCACTTCTTATAAATGCCCCTTTAAAATCTGATGAGTGCCTTTTTTCCGTCGACGAATGCCCATTTCCCATTGTCATAAGTGCCTTTTTCATCCCTGGTTAGTGCCTCTTTTTTTAGGTGTAAGAAGTACCCCATTTTCACCTCTGTTAATTAGCCTTTGCACTTTGACCTCACAAATCTTAAAATTTTTCCTCGCTCGCAAATGAATTTTCAGACCATCACACCCAACTGCAAAGTATGATGCTTAAGCTATATCTTATATGATGTATAACGAGAAACAAATATTTAAAATCATCCCTGATAATGTAATCATAATATATGGGTATATACCAATATCTAAAAACTTGTCTATTTTTGCTTTAACCTTCCCTTTGAAGGTGCCCTTTTTTCTCCCGAATGTGCCATTTTTGGTTGGTGTCCCCCCCCCCCCCCCCCCACTTTGGAAGTCGCTCCGCCGCCTCTGAGACTGTATACATGTCACATGTGTTAATGCTCCAACACTCAAGAGCGGTCGAAGATTTCATAAATTAATACATTTAGTAGTTGCATATTTTCATAGGCTGTTAAGTAGACCATTGAACACGATGACGATAGTCAAGACTCAAGACGAGGTCAGAGACAAGCGCAAGGACACGGATAAAGACACGGATACATTAGCTCCCGTCCTTCTCTCTCTCTCTCTCTCTCTCCTTCTCTCTCTCTCTCTGTACAATTTATAATATTAACATTCCTTTCTATTTTCTGAAATTTACATACGGGTGTCAACTTGGAGGGGG